TAAGATATTTGTAAAATTTAGACTTCAATATATTAATTTTTATACATAGTTTTGGGCTTCTTCAACATCCTGTTTGCATAGATAAAGCATATATAAAATTTTTATTGTTTCATAATTATAATTTTTTATATGAAACCTTCATTTTCTCTTAAGTCTGTGTCGGACAGTGCGCTTTCAGTTGATAATAAGATCACCTTTCCGTTTTGAGCATGACATTTATTTTCCAATGAGGCATTATTATGTTGTACTAAAATACTATTGTGTTGCTGCCAAAGCACGTAGTTTAATTTACTCTTACTCTTACTTTCGGTAGTGCTTTTTATAAGTGGTCACTTTGAGTTCTCAATTCAAGTAGCTCAATAGAACAGCTACCATGACCCCGATGATAAAAATTTGTGATGAATTTTTAAACTTAATCTGCATCATTAATGAAGATGATTTCCTCTCAACGACAATAATTATAATGTGAACCAGGTTCATTAATTCTTGAGTTTCCATACTCGAATTCTTCAACCAGTCCAGAGCTGGTAATTTACGCAGCGTGTTTAATTATCTCTCTTCTTCCAAGCAGGTTTTGTGATTTTAGTTGAAGAGAAAGACGAATTTTTCTATTACTTTGATTTTAGTCGTACTCAAAACGATCGTCGTTATTGGAAGTTTTGAAGACTAGTTTTCACATAAATTCTGTCATTTTTATAAAAATGCTGTGAAATTGATTTAGAGCATTTGTTAGAGAAATTAATACACATGTCTCTGTTGAGTATGCCTCTAATACTTTTTTGGCTATTTCACTCACCCTTACATTACCTTGAATTACTCAGTTTCCTGATGAATCCGAAATCCAGACTAATAATATTAATCATTGATCGCTTAATAATTTCAGTTGCATTTTGAACTAGTTCACTAGCTTCGATGCGATCGTATAAGTAGACACATCTAGTATTACAACTCTCCTATTAAAAAAATTGTGAAGCAATGGTTTTACAGGCTCGTTTTTATAATAAGTTCACTAGCTGTGAACTCCAAAAAAAGTCCAGATAGGAAAGGCAAACAGATAGTTAGATGATTTATTCAATGATAGTTTATTGTAGATAACATGTCATAGATATATGATAATAGGTAAAGACCATCTACGAACTATATTGATTTGAATTTTAGTTTAAAAATCCATACTGCATTCATCTTCATATCCAGTTTTATTGGATAATATCATCGAATAATTTGTTATAAGAGTGTTAGTTAAAAGTGTCTTTCAACTTTTGATAATTAAATACATTGACTTTTACCCAGCTTTATCCATATGGTTTCTTATTCAATGCTTTAAGAAAATTGCGGTTTCTAGTCTATTATGTAAACTATGTTTGTTCCGTCTATGCTTTGTGGTTCCTTATTACAGAGATTCCTTTATTCCTCTCTTCCTTCATCAATGTTTTTGGAAGTCAGGCTATAGTAAGGATCTACAGCCTATGATATTAAATTTTTTTGTTTTTGAACAATACAAGTTATTTTTTGATGAAATATTTTTTGTGTTGTTTTATCACCAAATCACTATTATGGTTTCTGCGTCAATGTTAAAACAAAATTGGGATATTGTAAAGATGTGTAGTCTATCAGGAGAAAATGTTTGCAAGTACCAGGATTACTCTATGTGGCAACCTATTAATCGTCAAACCTATTGTATTAAGCGTGATAATGCCGGAGTATCTTTATGTGGTTCCTGCATAAATCTTAGATAGTCATGGTACCGTAAGGACTACAGACTATGATGTGAAATATGTTGATTTGAACAATGTAACTTCTTTCTTAACAGAATTCTTCAGTCTATAATACGATATGAATTTGTTTAACTAATTTAAGTTCTTTTTTGATGGAATTCTCCATAGAATAGGATCACAGTTTTCTTTATATAAAATAGGATCGAAACACTTATATCAGGATGACGAAATTAATTAAAGTTTTATTATTGCATAATTTAATTTTTTCAGAATATTCTGACTGTGATTCTATTAAAATACCATTCACATTTCAATTCTTACAGATATTAAGCATATGTTATATAACTTTATATAACTGCCAATTTTTCTGTTCTAGAGATCTGATTTCTCCTATTCTGTGAAAACTTTTTTCATTATTATTAAAGAAATAAAATGTGACTTTAGAACTCGTACTTGATCAACTAAGAATTCATAAGTTGATCATGTAATTTATTTTTATATGTTAAAACCATTCTTCTATATGCATAGGGGTTTCCGTTTATCTTTTCATAGATATCATACACATATCATCTAATATAAAATTTCAGTCCTTGAATAGTTTCAGTCTTTCCATATACATTGCAGTATTTATTCAAGGCAAGAAAAACAAAAAAAACTTGAACATATTAACGAATTCGACAGTTTTTTCGAAAGAAAGATCTATTTTTTATCGCCGGCTATTCTCCTATTAAAATGCAATGTAAAGAATTAAAAAACTAATAAATAAAAGATACATAATATTTATAAACAGTTCCCATAATATATATTCGTTGGAAGATATATAAGATATTACTAAAATCATACTTCATTGTACTTCTATAGACTATTAAAATAATATAGTAACTCTAACATCAGAGATTTTAATTTCTATATTAATTTATGAACCCCCGATCCAATACTCTTGTCTCGTTGGTATGTTCATGCAATAGGAAAACCAAATGACCATACGATAACGCAAATTTCACAGATGAAGATAAGGACGAAATGAGTAAGGTATCCAAAGCCTGAAAAAATATTATTAAAACCTTAGGGACCATTATTTTATCCTACTTAACTTCCATACAAAATCTGATACTACGTTTTTTATATAAGTATTTTACGCATAGTGGGACTAATAATCATTTCTTTTTATTTTAGAAAAGAAAAAATCCCCACCCCACTTTTACACTTTTACATACGTTAAGTACATTTTTACTCACACATATTTTTTGCCAGATTGGCTACAACTATACCACAAGACAATGCAGGATCGTGCATTCTGGAGATACTGTAGAAGCTGGTTTACCGAAAAAAAAGAATAAGGCTAGAAAAATGAAGAAAATACAATGAAATAACTAATTCATTTGTGTTCTTTATTACTTGAGAAAATAAAATTTTAGAAATTTTATTTGCATCAATCCATTCCAAACATGTGTAGACTAATCTATCTTAATGGATTTATTCAATTTAAATGGCATTAATTATTTAAAAAAAATGTGAATGTGAATAATCATGATCTGTGTTCAATATTAATTTGTTATAATCAAATCATTTTATATTGATCTACTTATATTATTCAAGTTAGGATAGTTTAGGTTGTACCGGCGATGTAAGGGATCCACTTACGCCTATTATCTCATTGTGTTACCGTATAATAGACAAACTCAAAAGTTTAAAACCACCTTGAGCCTTAAGCTAAAAATGACTATTTATTGAGATGTGTTGCATTGACCAAGATCCTCAAAAAAATATATATTATTATTTCACTCATTTTCTTAACATGCGTTGCGATTCTTAATGCCATAAATAGTTTATTAAGTAATTATTAATTATTATTTTTCCGACAATTTATTATTAAGCAAATAAAATTTCTTATTAAGAAAAATTCTATTGAAATGCTCAGGAAGAGAACTCATGTCAACAAACTACTGATGGTAACTACGTGGAACACTCTTCCAGCATTGCATATAGTGTTAGATCTCACTGAAATGCAATTTTCTACTTGACACAACATATTGTACAGATGAATGTTACTGCTTAACTAACTAAAATACATACTATACGTTCTTATCAAACAATTTCCACTCAAAGATATAAAATTTTTGAAAAAAATTGTTTGGCATTATGTCATTATAGATTTTCCTACTGAAGCCCTATACGTATTTCTACTACCATAAAATAAATATAACTGTGTTTCGGTATAAGTTGTTAATCTTATAAAAATAAATTATTTTCGATTTATCGGTAATAGTAGATAATTAAATAAGTTAAATACTTTTTCAAAACTAATTGAAATATTTGAAATATATAAAGTTGAGTTTGTCTCAAGTCAAGTTTTCTAAAAATATACATAAATTATTTCCTTCTTTGAAATAAATAAAATAATAAAATGGCACCAAAAATATTTTAATAGCAATAAATAAAATAATAACTAGAAAATACATTTATATATTAAAACGAATTTTTAATGCTCATAAAAATTACTTATTTTATTAATAATTCGGATTAGATATTATATATTTGTGTATTTAGAAAAATATGCGTTAATTACTATATATATATACTGCCAATATTTTTATATCTTTCATTATTAATAATTTTTATAAAAGTATTTAAAAATGAGTAATTAGTTTTAGAAACATTAACTTTGTTTTTTTTTTATTACAAATACATTTTAGAAAAAATATTTTAAAATAGTTTTATTTTATTTCATTTTAGTTAAGATTATTTTTATATATCATTAGAACAGCAACGATTATTCTTAGAATAAGTTCCCTGTTTTTTAATAATTAAATTATAATGCACATTCCCTTAGTGCTTCTCCAGTAAACCACGTTTAACATCAAAAGATGGAATAGAAATTTCTGTTTTCTTTATACATATATGTAAATGTATCTGTATATATGTTATTTAGAATTTTAAGTTAACAACACAATAAATTTTATTAATCAAAATTTATTTAAAATTTACTTTTACAAAAATATACATATTTTTTTTATTTATTAAATTATTTATTTTTAGTACACCCAAAATTGATTTTCGTTTATTCACAATTAGTAAGAATTATAATTTTTTTTAGTAATATTTATTGCATGAAAAATTATAAGCCACTCTTTTTCTAATAAAAAATAAATTGAATAAAAAGAACAAATCTTTTTAAACACATAAATTGAATCTATAATAATATTTTAAAACATTAAATTTTTATTTATAAATATAAAGAACAAAAAATAATACAAATATATAATATATATAAATAAGTGTGCATGCAATATCAATTGATAATAGATTTTAGATTTTAGATAATATTTGTGCAATAGAGTTCTGCAAAAGTACTGCCGTTACATATAAAGAGTTTTATTTTATAAAAGCACATTTATGCGTTATATAAAATATGTAAAAATATATTTAGTTTCGTTAGAATAGTTTGCTTTTAATTTAGTATTGATTTGGAATGAGTAATCACATGTTTAAGTATATTTAATTACAGAGAATCTTACGCGTTTAGTGTATATATGTGTGTGGTATATGATGATTGTTATATGCATTTTTCTGATTGCGATATGAGTATATGTGACATTAGTTTTCTAATTTCAGAGATGTGTGAATACTGCTATTGTTATCTAAGCTTAGCAATATATGTTAATTAAATTACACTTAAGCATTTATAGTTGTAAATCACATTAATTTCGAGGCATTGGACCCAAACGGAACCAATCGATCAACTCTTTATTCAGATCATATTTACTTAAGTCAATTTGAAAGCCACCCAACAGTTCGTTCTCCTGCAGAGTATCATGAGACCATACTGTTACGTGTAGTATACGATTTTTTATATAGGTCAGAGGCATACGATATTCCAACTAAAATAAAAATAATAAATATTTACAATAAATTTATATAGCAAGAACTTACAGTTTCCATAAAACTGGGAACACAAGTCTTTCGAACAACCTTTGTTTTTCGTTTGGTAGCCTTAGTAGGATCAGGTTTAAGGTAACACTTAACATAGGTATTTGGCTCCTGATTACCCTGTAACATAGGTAACCCTTTTGCATGATGAATCTATGAAGTGAATTAATATAAAATTTAGTTAAATTACTATTTTAAAAAATAAGTTTCTTTAAAAAAAACATTTATATTTTTATATTAAAATATTCTAATTTTTTTTATTTATACTACGGCGAGTGTCAAAGTAATTCAGAATAATTTTTAGCGAGTGGAAGAAATCGTTAATCGTAATGATTTACAAACTATGCAAATAACATACCACCTTAGCTTTCATTACCTTCTATTAAGTTTTTTAGAAAATATTTTTATTGTAACTGTCGCAGTGATTATACTAATTTGGCTTTAAGGAAAACCATGAAACCATTAAGTAGGTTAATCATATAACAATTTAAATCGGATGTATTGTATACTAAAGTATAAGTTCTAAAGTATTTTGAGTTTTAATCACACATTTTAAATATTAGCACACCTTAAATATGCCTCGACTGGCTTATTAAAAAAATCAAATACTTATTTCCATAAAATGTGGACCCTGCGCTAAAATTCTATCATCATCTTCAATCTAAAGCACAAATCACATATATATCTTCGGCCCCTTTTTATATGTTTTGTCTACCTTAAATATAATTAAAAGTAAACGCCTTATCACTACTAAATTTACTGAAAAAACAGCAGTACTATATTTTCTGGTATTAAGAGACACTAAAATTAAAATCTGAGTTTAATAAAGTTAATATATAATGCGTTGATAAGTTAGGAGCATATGTCCAGAAAAGTTGTGACAAGAAACTCTCGTCTAAAATTTTCAGAACGACGAGTAAGTAAGTCAGTAAGTATTTATTTGGTATTCTAAGTTTCAGGAGCGTGGACACTTAGATGAAACTTAACCACAAACGAATTAGAATTCAATTATGGGGCACAATGAAACATCGAAACTTGTGTATACAGTGCACAGATGTTGGTGCTTAGAGTATAGATAAACATCAAAAATTGAAAGGTTTATATGCGATAAATAAATATTAAACACCTGGCTATGCTATCACACAAGTATCGTCTGATCACTCCCTTGCCTTAAACGGTCAGAACGATCAGCTCTAAGTCAGTAAGTATTTTTTTGGTAAGCTAAGTTTTAGGAACCTTGACACTTACATAAAACTTAACCACAAGCCAATTAAACTTCTACTGGTAAATGCAATGAAACAATAAAAACAATCTATGCAATGCACAGGCGGCGGTGCACAGCTGAAGCTTAGATATATATTAGAAACTGAAAGGCTTATATGCGGTAAATATATATTCAACACCTGCCTATGCTATCACATAAGTAGCATCTGATCACTTCTTGCTGTACTAAATAGTGCTCTTTCATTACTGAGAAATATTTTTCGGAAACCGTTTGAGTATCAAATTGTAATGAAACTCTAATATCATTGAATATATGAACATTACTCATCGATAATAAATATATAGTACAATAGGTTAGGTTAGGTTATACCGGCGCTCTCAAGGGATCCACTAAGGCCTACAGGCCCATATCATATAATTAAAAACTCAAAACATGGAAACAATTCATGATGCAAATAACTAATTTATAATCATAATGTCTATATGAAAGTTAATTTAAATCGATTTATTTCTGTTGAGGCTATAATAACTGTTAAGAGGCTTTCATAATTCAACAGCAATGAATTTGTGGGCTAAAATATTTTCATATAATTTTTTTTACTATAATAAGCATTATGAGACAATAATATATTATTTATGTTAAACAACTACCATAAAAAAAAACATTTAATTTTCATATCCTTACCATAACAGTAAAAACATCACGTCGATATTGCAATGAGATTTTAAGTTGACAAATTTGATTGGGATCTTCGCGTGATGCTTGCTGCTTGACTTCTAAAAAGCAATTAAAAACGATATTGTTTAGTATTATATTTTTTCTTACATATATATGTACATTCATACCTCTCACTTTGGAAACTTCTAATTTAGCCTCTTGTTGGTCCCGCAATAAAGGATGGAAGAATGTATATACCAAATCTGAATGTGCAATTTCATCCGCTGAATTGAAGAGTGAAATCAGAAAACGTTGGATTTCAGGTAGACGTCGTTCAGCTACGGATTTGACGTTAGACCTACCAACGTGCATACCAGTAGGTAAGCTAACAACAACAAAAATTAAAAATAAATAAGTAAATAAGTAAATATGTTTAAAAATCATGAAAAAACCATATGTGCTTTGTTTTGATATGATGGTGGGCTATGACTAAGAGAGAGAGTCATGCAGGCTAATAATGCGGTACTAGCAGTTAAATATCTATGTTCTCAGTCACAATTTACTTTTTTCTCACATTATCTTTCAACCTCAATTGATAAGAAATATTGTCAAGTTCAGTCAGTTCGTTAAAACATACAAGAGTATTGGGAGAGGTGTGCCGATACAGTCAGTCAGTCAAATTCAGTGATAGGTGCTGATTTTTAATTTATAGAAATTATAAATAAAAAAATTGGCAAAATAAAAGAACAAAGCACAATTAATAAAACGGGGAAAAGTTATGAGTTGTAGACCAAGTCACTTGATTCGATAAAGGCAACTTTCGAATACTCAGTCAATGTTTAGCGACAAAGCAAACATATTTACACCAGCATTGAGGCATTTTAATTGATTTTTGCTTGCAACAAAATTTTGATAAAAATTTTAAAAACCAAATTGAAGAGACAATGTTTAAACAATAAAAATGTGTTTAATATTTGAATAAGTTCGAGAAAATTTTACCACGCAAACAAACAATTCGAATAAGTAATACTAATAGGAGAAGTTACTATGGCTTTGACGAGTAATACACCAAACGTAACACCAGGTAACATCGGAATAGATTGAAAGAATCAATTGAATATTTTTAATGATTTGTTTTTAAGATCACAACTTCTATGTGTCACTCGGTTCTGTAGGCGTGTTGCTGTGCATGATTGTTTCATTGTTAGGAATCAAAATTTGGTGGTTCAAACATCGCCTAACATTTGACCAAAATTCCACAAGGAACGGCGCCGCTGGCGGTGGCCCACCAAGTGTTGTATCACGACCACGAAGCTCGAGGGATAAGCGATTTTCCCAACAGGTGGGTTTATTTAGATTCGTCGAAGTAATGATTTTGCACAACTTCAGCAAAATTTATGAACATAAAAAGTTTGAAACAAATTTCAATCAAAGGCAATTATTGAAATTAAAATTAAAAGATAATTTTGTTAACAAATTTTCTGATAAGCGATAAAATAACACCACCATTATGATACAAAATGACGCATGTTCAACATATTTAGAGCAAGAAATGTTAAAACACAAAAAAAACGCAACTAACAAATGAATTTTAAGGAAAAAATTACCAGTTTATGTATTTATATCAAGAACACACTTTGTTTATAAACCAGAACCTCTTATACCGCTTGACATATATTCAGGATATAAAGGATGAAAGAAGTAATATACTTAAAACATTAACTTTTTTAATAGTGTATTAGAAAAACTCATATTGGACATGACTAATAACATCTCTACACGTTTGTTCTAATAAAAAAATATGAAACTCCAATAGACGTAAATAAAAACGCGAAACCTTTGCGAAGGTAGAAAAGAAATTATAAGTGATACCGGGATATCGTCTTTCTATAATACACGAATAGTAGAAACAGCTTAAATGCAGTAATCACACAATACTCTGTACTTCTTATTAGATACTTCTTAAACAAGATTACCAAGACACCACACAAGATTAACTTCATGGATATAGTCAAAATATATTTGTCTTTATGCTAAATATTGAGAAGTTAAATGTGATATTTTAATGTTTAGATTAACTATTGAATTCTTGTGCTCCAAACCATTCTTCAAGTTAACAGACGGAAAAAAACCATTCAAATAATACAAATATCTTGTATTCTTTTAAAAAATGTGTGAACTTAACACAAAGAAGAATTACTGAAAGCAGAGGATATGGGAGAATATATCAAAATAGTTCCAAATTTAAAAAGAAGCCCAAAAGATATCCAAAACACTAAAATCTATAATATAAAATTTTAGTTTTTAATACTTCACTTGAGCAACAAACACCTCAGAGGTCCTGGTAATATTGATATTGTGATATAAAATATATATACGTTGTTATAAAATTTAACTGAATTTAAAAAAAACTCTAAAAGTACTGGATCTAAAGATATGATAGTAGCAGCAATAGTAAATATCTAAGTAAAATATAAAGGAGGCTAAAAGAGTTTTTTTTTACAGTTCGCTAAGACTTTCAGTTTGGATGTTGAGAAATCAATCAATAAATAAAAATATCAGAAAACTGTAATCTGAATCACTTAATTAAAAAATATTGCTGAAAAATTCAAATCTATATAAAATGCGTTTAATGAAAATGTCTAACACTAGGCAAGACCTAATATACTTCATATTAAGAAAGCAGTAATTAGTGATCGGTACGTTCGATAACACCTAATACAACATTTTTTCTACACACAAACTGCTACAACAACAACAATATTAGTTAAGGTTCAAAGACCTGGGTTATAAAAGAAAAGAAGCTACATCATATATCTAGTAAGGCAGCTAATAGAAAGAATGAACTGTACCGACTTTTATTGGCTGAAAATATACTAAAGTAATTATTAAAAAAAATGCAGTTAAGTAGCTTAAATGAGCTGAAAAAGAACTAAAAATGGACTTAAAAAAACCAATCAAAGTCATTATCACAAGTCATGATGGAATGCGATTTGGATAAACAAACTGGAATATGAACACATAGACACTATAGATTTATAAATTTTATATTATTAGGAAACTAATGATAACGATAGGTGTAGACTGTGGATGTACATTCAGGAACTACTCATCTTTTCAGAACTACTCATCCTTTGCGCCACATTACACACAGTTAATAAACAGTGATCCTAAATGGCTTCCAGTAACAATAATAGCAACATGAATCCCATATGGATTACAACAGCAACAAAAACAATATGAATTATATTTATATAGATATTATTATAATTAAATATAACGAATGTTAAAGAATGTTATTTTCAGTAAATTATGACATATAAAAGTGGTACAAAAAAACCACCTGCAACCCCTAATGACTTATCTCTTATTGGGAAAGTGTTCGATGAAGAAAGAGATAAATAAAAGACCTATTCTAGTTTAAAAAAATAAAACCAATTAAGTATGAAGGATTGTCGGCGAAAAAGCTTAATAAATGGTTACTACCATTTAATACGAAAATATCAAAAATAAATATTAATAAACATAAAATACTGTCGAGAAAAGAGATTTCAACGGGATCTATCAAAATCTCATCCATACGTTTAAGGACACATTCGCTTTTAAAATTAAACTGAAGTAGAGGTTACTGTTAAAATGTGTGTGAAACAGAACAATTTCTTAATTATGTTAATTTCAATAATTTTTCAATTTTAAAAATTAAATTATAATTCTTTAGTTCTTTAATGACTCTCTTTTATAAAAATTACAATATAAGAGAATAAATATAATAATAATCTACCCATAATAATATTATAACCTTATGTTTACAATATAAGAGAATAAATGAATAATAGAATAAAAATCTAGCCATAATAATATTATAATCGTATATGAAAATAATTAAAAATTATTTTATTGTTTGTAGATTGATGAACCTGTTACAGTGCACGGAGTTTTTCGTAAAAGACAAGAAGATGAATTACTAATAGAACGACCCACACGACTGCCACGTAAGTTTATTTAATAAAATTTCTAAAATTATTTTATATGCGAAACTATTTTTGATTATTTGATTCCAGCGATTCGCGTACGAGAGCTATCACAAAGCACACCATCTCTGTTTGTGCCCCCCGCACCACGTAAATGCGAAGAAGACAAAACTTCACTTCATATTAACGACAAAAAGTTGCAGTATGAAGAACCAAAGATGCCATCCTTACCGACAACACCTATACCAGATATAGCAGTAATGAAGGAAGCTGATATACAGTTTCCAAACATGCTTCCAGCAAGCCGAGCAAGTGAAGAAAATTTTGAGAAGATCGTAGTTAATGAAATAAAATTAGAGGTACCCAAACCACCGCCACGTTTAACTAGACAAACATCAGACAATGATCGCAGCAATGGTCACAAATTTGTCAAAATGAAACCAGCACCAGAAAATGAAAGCAAACGACTAATGCATCGCAGACCAACTGGTTATCTACCGCCAGATGAAGACGAACTATTAGCTATGCAAAACAATATGAAAGCTTTTGGCGAAACCAATACAAGTAATGAACAATTTGGTGAACGTCGCCCCACTGGTTACATTAAATATGAAGAATTCGATGTTGAGGGTTTAGAAGCTTATCAAGAAAATTGGGATAATTCCGTTGTAAATCTAAGTCAGGAGGATTTTCAATTTGAAAACAACTTTACTGAACAAAAACCAATTTTTATTAAAAACGGAAGACTTACAGAGTTGCCTGATAGCATGGAAAACGACCAAGAAATCCAAATCACTGATCTAACTGATGGCAGTTTGAAAGGAAAAGAGAATGAGATAAATTACTTTGAAGTTACAAAGGAACAGTTGAGTGCTCCATTAAATATTCAAGATGAATTTTTGGAAAATCGCACTGAAAATGCAAAATTAAAATTCGAATTAAATTCTACTGAAATTAAAAAAGACAAATATAAAACGCCAAATTCTCCAAATATCACAGAAGTCGAAGAAGATTTTAGCAAGGATGCGAGTAGTTCAGTTTACAATGAAAACAATGACAACACATCGAGTGGGACTGTAGAATATTCAAGTACAGGAAATGTGAATAAGAAAGTATCCTTTGAAGTGGTTGACGATGAATCTGATGATGATGGTAAAGATACAATAAAAATACGTAGACCTACTGGATACGTAAGAAACCAAGAAATTTTATTAGAAAATGTTGATACTGCTAGTATTTCTAGTGATAATAGTGATGATAGAAAACGCGTGTTTATTGCAAAGCCAAATGAAAATATTAAAGTTCAGAAAGAATATGTTACCAGCTCAGTACTGAAAACCAGCGCACATAGTACAAATGAGAGTCACATGTGGTTGGAAATGGAAAAGGATATAGAAAACAGTGTTGCAAGCAATTTCGAGGAGGAGTTTATAAAAATACGTCAGTCGTACGAAGAGAACGAGGGTGACTTTTTAGAGATTCAAGAGGAAACTGTAACCACGCCACAAGGCTTTGGAAAAAGTATTGATGACGATTGGGAAAATTTTAAATATTTAGAAAACACGACTAATAAAATAGTTTATTCAGATTCTGAAAGAATTAATAAAACAACAATAAGCGTTAAAGATTCTAATGACCAACGTAATGTTAAATTTGATTTGCCAAACTATGATGAAAATGAAGAAATAGAAACATCTTTACGTACTCAGAGACGAGCTACTGGCTATATAACAAATATTGAGGAGTTATACCAAGAATTAGATTTAAATGACATCAAAAATTATGAACACGACACTAAAGTCAGATTCAATATTGATGATATGCATGAAGTTCAAGAAAACAGAACCAAAAACATTGGTATCAAAGAACGCAGGCCAACTGGCTTAGTCAAATACGATTTAAGCAATGAAAGTGATCTTAGTGATGACTGTGAAGGTGAGGAGCAAGTGAAAAATGTGGAGCCAATACGTAAAGCAAAACCACGTCAAAAGGTAACCTTTGATTTCAATACAGAGGAATACATCTTACCAGCATATTCACCACAAAGTGAATCTGAATTCGAACTACCACCAGAGCTGCCGAAACCAATGGAACGTATAACAAAAACTCGTTACACAGAAGAAACAACTAGAACAGCACCCATATCTCCACTACTTTTTAGCTCACAAATATCAATAGAAGACACTGAATCTTCAAATCTGAACGATAGTTGGTCAGCAATACGTAAGCATCGAAATTTAACAGAAGAATTTCAACACTTATCTTTTAATCGAGAACCTGTAGAGCCGCCAAAGCCAGCATTTCGCAATCCACTAGCACAAATGCAAAAAACCAACGAATCCAATCCACAGAAAGAAGCACTTTATGCTAAGCCACGTACAATGCGGGATATGAAAAAAGCAAAAATACAGCAAGAAGTGACACAATTAGAATTAAACGATGATAAATGTGCTACCAGCATGACTGAAGCTTGAGATACTTTTATTAAAGTCAGATTTTCAATGTTTTTTAGAAATAATTAAGCCTTCTTAGTTGCATTAAAAAATTAATAAAAATGTAATAAGCAATAAAATTAACTTAAAAATATTACTTAGAAAGCCGTGTATGTATTTTACTTCTTAACTTACCTGTGCAATTTTGCCAGTGGAAAGTGCAAGCATAATTTCTGATGGAATTCAGTAAACTCTTTATATGACCTGAATAAATGTGTAGGATCAGTTTGTCCATGACGTGTCACTCGTAGAATATACGTGTAATATTTTTCCATATCGTAGTGTTTTTGGCATCGTACAACCATAACACTTTTTAACCGACCATCCTGTTGAATTCTAAAATAATTTCAATATTATATAAAAATAATAGCAAATTTTGATTATCATTCAACTCACGTATATTTTCTAGGCACAAACGATAACAGTTCACCACTGCCTTCATCATTTGTAAATCTCATCTGAGCCAAGTTATGCAAAAAGAAATTGAATTGCGTAAACCAACTTTTGAGTGAAAATTGTATCATTTTTGCAAAGGATGCGGCTGCTTCGGGATTGGATTGCGATGGCAGCAATGCACGGCGCACATATGTAACAGCATCAGCAGTTACTCCAGGTATACCAGCAGTTGCCATTAAAGCTAGCATATGCAATAAAAGATCACCATGCTTCCGTATGATATTAAAGGCGCGGCAACATAAGTCGACAAAGTAATGAAAATCTGTTGATGGCTTATCACCACCATTAATAACATAAGCCATATCAGATGTGAGCACAAATGGTGTACGATCTCTGCAAAACATAATGTACTCAGTAAAAGAATATAATTTTAAACAATAAAGTTAACATATATACAATATATGTGGAATATGACTATTATATTATTGAAATACGATTATTTTTCATACCTTTTAAAATTGCCAAACATCTGAGCATCTCCTAAAAACTTTCCAAAATCTATATGAAACAGATGACCTGAAGTTTTCAACATAATATTATCATTGTGACGATCGCAAATGCCAAGTATATATGTAGCAACGCTATAACCAGCGCAGGAAACTAAAGGGATTTGAATTATTTGATTAAAATAATGCATATTGATTAAAAATATTTTCGTTACAAACCAGTAAAGTTTTTAACTGCTCGCTGATATTCCAATTGACTTGGGTTTTGTTTCGCTAACCATTCTGCGATTGGGCGGTCTTTAAATGAACCCGTTAACCCATATTCGACCTGTATTTTCCTTAAAGTTTCCGCCTCAGAGACCATTTCAATCATACCTTTCTTATATCCTGTTGGTACGCAGTTAAAAGTCACAATTTTTAAATCTAAACCTTCAGCTAACCACATCTTATTCATAACACGAATAAGTTGAATAGTTAACATATCCTGTTGCAAATCATCTCCAGACTATAATAACAAATAATATTATTAAATTAAATTCTGAACTACAACATTTTGAATTTACTTTGAATATAGCTGGTAAGATTTCTGTATCGGGACCGACATAAGAAATTTTCAGTGGCAGAGTGTTCGAGTTAAAATAGCTGCAACTACGCACATTTACGCCAGTAACTTCTAGCTCTGGACCAAGTGGTAATGACGTCGGTTTATCGATTAAGTCCTGGTGAACTATATCCATTCCTAAGCAAAGCGTTTTCTGACGTACTGACTCTTTAGCTTCTTTAACATTTTCCGCCACTTTTGCCAAAGTCTAAAATATTTAAAATGCAAGTTTAGAAAATATTTCGATCTATGACTTTGTAAATATATATACCTTGCACATCATGTTTTGTCTCAAAAATCTCGACAATAGTTTTTCTCCACAAATAGCTAACAAAGCGCGCAGCATCATTTTATTACGCCGATAGTAGCGCGCTTGTGTAATGAGGGAATCATCAAGTTCATTCGCCACCGAGGAAGCATCAATTGAGTTTTGCGGGTCATCGCCTGGCAAACTATGCACGAGCAGCCAGTACATATGATGAGCAATACGCGGTGACTCTAAACACTTGCACAGCAAGAATCGACACATAGAAGATGCTTCATAAGTGTCATGTTTCAGTGCTTGCAGTAGTTGTGGTAAGTAGTCCACAAGCTGATCGTTCGGCAAATACGAAATCCATTCTACAGCCTTTTCACGTACTTTAGCATCTGGATAACGTGGTAATAGTAATTCTAAGGCTTGAAGTGGAGCTAGTGGTATCCAAGAATTAAGCAATGAATGTAAATCCATAAGACTAGCATAGTCCCAACTGTGCGCGGCATGTAATACTTTTGGCAACGCATTTGGGAACTTTTGTAGGTAAAACCTTTTTTCCCAAAACACCTCACGTTTCTCAGTTGCTCCGGGGTATCCTTGTTCTGCTGTATCTAAAAGTTCTTGTTGTAAATTCGTATCCAACGAATTAAAGTCATACCTTCAAAAGAATTCATTATATATATTTATGTATTATTATATTTATATTATTAGATAAAATAAGTTTTATACCGAGGAGCCGTTGGTGGATCTTCCAGGGGTTTTGGAAATTGTATTCGTCCTCCGTATGGTGGTACTTCTATACTTAATACTGGGCAAATATCGGGCAAGGGATGACAACCACGTGCTGGCGCTGGACCTAAAAATTTATCAGTTGTTGCAGGCCACACGGACAATAAGTAGGAACCGCATATCATTTCACTTTTGTGATCAAAAAGTTGTATTGCACACCAACCAAGCTCAGTCGTAATTTGCCGTCTTTCACCATTTGCGTCATTATTTTGTTCGTTTTCAGTAGTTTGTGTGCCATACAGAACGAATATAAGTCGAGATTCTCGTGGCAGAGTGCATATTGGATTCTTTTCAAAAGTGATCCAGGATGAAAAATTTAATCGCGGAAACAGACCTCCGGTAGTATTGTTTGTACATTTTGTTACTACTGGGTCTGAAATAAAGCGCGTGCCATAATTGATTTGTACACCGAGAGAGTAGTCATCATATTTCCAGTTGGGTGGTGGACGATGTAAACAATTTATGCTAACAACAATTGGTTTTATAACACAAGATATAGGTATAGGAGCTGTAAATATATATTTCTTTAAATATATTTAAAAATTATATAATATTGTTAAAAACCTACTTATAGAGTAATCAATAGATTTCACTGAAAAACCAACACGGAACACATTTGAATACAATTCTATGAGTTCTTGCACAGCATCACGTAATTGGTTACATTTAAGTTTGACCTGTTCGAGTGTGGAACGTGGTCGCAATGATACTTCGGCATAATCTCCATAATCGCTCACAACTTCAGGATTTGTCTGTGATGCGGAGGCATATTTTACTTGATTGGTATCACATATATGTTTCAGTTCTGATACACAAGTAGCTATTTCTATCGTATCAATTGACCCTAATAGTGCACAAATGGCTTTAACGCCTTGTACAACACCCGAACAGGATAGTATGGTACGTGAATTAACATCACCCGCAGCTGATTCTAATTTATCTATTTCAGTTTCGAGAGTTTCTAAAAAAATTGTGTTTTTTCATTATTTGTTATATACTTATAAAAAAAGCAATATATCGGTAAGTACCTATAAGTATCATCATATCATCGTAACATATGGTAGAAGCCATTTCATTTGGCAAAATATCTTCTGGACGTATATCTGAATCTCGTAAGTCATCACGTTGTGTTCGAGCAATAACCTGCATATTCTCTTCGGTTTTTAGACAAAGTCCTAAATGGACATCTCTTTCTAGTTTCAAACTATCGTGTACACATTCCAGTTGGCTTAACTTGGAAGATGGCGAAAGCCATTCAGATACACCTATTGGCTAAATTATAATTAAATTAGTTTGCTTTGAATTTTTTAGGTTAATTTATATAAATTTACTTTTTAAAGTAAAGTTATTTAAAAACCACAAATTTTTTATTATTAGAATTTATTATTATAATTAGAAGACAATTTATACATATTCCACTGCTATTGTTTTTATGACATTTATGATAATCTGTATATAGGGTACAACCATGTTTAGTAGGGATCCACAATATAAAAAGAATGTTTCTGGTAGTTCCTGTAGTACTGTAAAAACTGTAGGTTTATAAAATCTTAATAGAAACAGTATATTATAATAATTAATTTAATTTTGCAGGTTTTGCAAGGAAATAGGGGAACTAGCAGCTTTGCCTTTGTCCTGTATATCATATAAAGTTAAGTACAACCTAAGAAATAAAGTTTATTTTATTTTTTACTAAACATTTCACATTTTTTTGTTTTTGTTTAAAATTTAATTTTCAAAATGATTAACCCTCATATTTTCAGTTTCTTTTTATCAATGTATGGTTGCCACATTTTATTGTTCTGAATTAGCACTCTACCAGTACAAGACAATTATATATTAATTATTCTGTTCTGACGCAATTATCTTGCAAATGCTTGTGGGCTTTGTATGATAATTACTACACATTTACAGAGATAATTACGAAAATGCCATAGTGTAAACGTGCTGCAGATAAGAGAATACTACAATGCTGTTATTATACTGATGATTTCATTATAACAAATATAAACATTAGATTCGGCAATAATTAATAGCGTTTGTATGTAAAATTACCTTTAATACGTTTACTATTTCTAATATATACTTGGAAGGGTTTTTTTAGCCCTTATCAATTTTATAAACGCACAACTTATTTTTATTAGAGCTTATGGTTATCAAGCAGGTGGGTAAATTACAATAATACTTTATATTATTTGTTGCATTTTTCGAGGAAAATAAGTACTGATCTTCAACTTAAGACTTGAGAAACATCTATTTATGAATGTATGAATGAATGTATATTTGAATATATAGAATTATATATAGAAAATACAGTGCATTAAATTTACCTTTACAACATAATCGTTAACAGTGCCTTTTATTTGACCCTCCAAAGAACAAAAAGCTTGACCAATAACTAATTCCACAGCAGTATTAACTAAAATTATTTAAATAGACAGAATTTTATTTTAGAAAATAAAATAGTATATCAATAACATACTATCACATGTGAAAACAACTGGTACACCGTAACCTTTCACTTGCCCCTTGGAACTACTGGCTGCATCAGCATCTGGATGCAAAATATTTATATTGGGATGTACAACTATTTTGATGCTAGTTTCCAAAGGATAATGATAATTAAATTCTGATGCAATTATATGTCCCACGTTGGTAACCTCATCATCGTATAAATAACGTGAACGTAACTCCTTCACCATAAAATAAAATTCTAGCAATTCTGGATCAACTGTACGTTGATCGGTTACCATTTCGTATAGACGCGTACAGGTTTTTCGTCTATCCAATACAATGCTAGGAGGCACTGAAGATATGATACCTTCTTTTGTATAGTATTCACTTTGACTATGTATATTACCACTACTGTTACGCGGCGGTAGTGGTGGTGGCGGTGAACGGGAACCAGAAGGTTTCTCATCTAGTTGATATGAAGAATTTGTTCTATATTCTTGTCGCCAACCTATAGATGATACTAAATAAAAAAAAAATATATTTAAAAATTATTATTTAATCAAGAAAAAAATTAAGAGTATGTGCTTACCATTTGAACTCATAGCAGATTTATCCAACTTGTTGACAGCCTCATAAACAGGATCTGAATACTGTGTACCACCAGCACTGTATAAGTAATCAAATGGATCATATTCTGAATAGTAGGACGTACAATCCGACGCATTATCGTTGCCTGCAAGAGGTGAAAGTATGGTTTTCATGTTTAACAATGACGATTACGATTTTAATTGTAATAAAAAACTTTGAAGGACTAAATATAAATTTGTTGGATAAATCAAAATACGCCTACGCGTCGCACAGAACTAACAACAGAATATTGGGATTTAAACAAATTAAATCATAGTACACATTAATATTTTTTTATTTATTTAATATTTTAATTTATGTCTGCTGTATTCGAACATGCTTAGCTAGACGTTTATTTCAGCAATGCTCAGTTTTGTTTTTTCTAATGAAAAAATGGTTTTAAAATAAAACAAAAACTTTAAGAAAATATTAGCGGACAATAAATTTTAATTTTTCTCAATTTTAAACTGAGCCAGATTAAGAGAATGAAAAAGTTCTCGCAGAAGTAAATGTACATTTGTATTTTTAGCATTTTTGACAATTGTTAAAATTGGCTAAATTATAAATAAAACCGCCACTCGGAGCATAAACTAAATAAATTTTATTAAATATGCCGAAATAGTAACAAACAGAACTGGCCCACTGGCAAAAGTCAAAATGTTATAGTAACAAAATATTTTAATATAAAAAAATATTAAACAAAATATAAATAATGTCTTAGCGGTAAATATTTAATAAAAATTTAAAATTTTTCTATTTACAAAATATTAATATTTCAACAACTGTTTATATAACATATATACATATACAGTGCATAACTTTCAGTTATATAAGCATTTATGCGAAATATATTAAAAATACATCAGTAAATTGTTTAAAGCAAAAATGTGGCAGGAATTGTTTATAAACAAATTTATTAACAAAAATGTTTAAAATTCTTTACAAATTTAAATATTAATTTTAAATACATAAAATAAAAGTGCCAATTAAGTTTAGTAATTTTCCATTAAAAAATATTTTAAAAATATATTAAAAAATCAATTGTTCAAAGCAGAAATATACCAGGAGTTTTTTATAAACAAATTTATTAATAACAATTTTAAAATATTTTTATGAATTTAAAAATATATTTTTAAATACTTATAATAAAAGTACCAACTGAGTTTAACAATTTGTCTAATAAAAAAAAAATTAAAAATGCAACAATTGTTTGAAACAAAAATAAAGCAGAAATTATTTATAAACAAATTATAAAATTAAAAATTTTAATTTTAATAAAATTTTAATAAAATTTTAAGTTTAAATTTTGAAATTTTAATATTTATTTTCAAATACATATAATAAAAGTGCCATTGAGTTCAATAATTTATCAAATAAAAAAATATAGTAAAAATCTATTAAAAATAAATCAATCTACTGTTGAAAGCAAAAATATGGCGAGAATTGTTTATAAACAAATTAATTAATAAAAATCTTTAAATTTTTTTATGAAAATTATAAATTCAAAAATAAATAATACAAATAATAAAAATGCCAATCGATTTAATAATTTTTCTATTAAAAAAATATATCAAAAATAAATCAATAAATTATTCAAAGCAAAAATATGGTAGGTATTGCTTATAAACAAATTTATTAATAAAAATGTTTCATTTTATTTATAAATTTTATAGACCAATTAAAAATTAAATCCAATTTAAATTTTAAAATTTTAATATTTATTTTTAAATATATATAATAAAAGTACCATTGAATTCAATAATTTATCAAATAAAAAAATATAGTAAAAGTCTATTAAAAATATATTAAAAATAAATCAATCTATTGTTCAAAGCAAATTTATTGCTTATAAACAAATTTATTAATAAAAATATTTAAATTTTTTTATTAATTTTATAAATTTAAAAATAAATAATACAAATGATAAAAATGTCAATTGATTTAATAATTTATCTATTAAAAAAAATATATTAAACATATGCTAAAAATAAATCAATCAATTGTTCAAAGCAAAAATATAGCGGGAATTGGTTATAAACAAATTTGTTAATAAAAAAGTTTAAATTTTTTTATAAATTTTATAGACCAATTAAAAATGAAATAATACAAATAATGCCAATTGATTTTAATAATATGTATAATAAAAAAAAATAATAATAAAAATGTTTACATGCAGCTAAGAGCTAAAAAGCAAAATGTATGGCAAAAACGGCAACAAAATATATTCTTTCAATTTGGAATATTAAAAAATAAAATCAAAAACCTACCCATTCCTCAAACATCCAAGACAGTAAAAACATCTTTTTAGTTTTTAGTTAAAACGTTTTTAGTAAAAGAAAAACTCAAAATTATATTTCGAATACTTTATTGGTAAATTGAATATTTAGTTTACATTTAAAAAATACATTTGTTATCGCCTATATTTGAATACATTAAGTTGTCTTGAAAAGAAAAACATATATATACGATAATTAATCTTAATACAATTGAAAAATAAATAAAATAAAAATACATCAAATATGTATACTCAAATTTAATCACAATAACTTAAATCAAATTTATTTTATAATTGCATTTTTTAAACATTTTTGCCAGTTTTAATTTTTAACTCTGAACTGCATCATAACCCAATTAAACACCCAAAGACACAGAGATAGGTTTTATATCTTAAAATTAGATCTATTTATTTATTTATATGTGTTATACAAGTACTGTGTTGAAAGTGCAAACGGTTCCACGAAATTAATTGCCATTACAGAAAAACAACATCTCAAAAAGTGTATTAGTAGAAGTTACAATATTAAAGTTCTTTTGCTATAGAATTAAGTATTCTTTATTAATTTGACATTTTACTGTAGTAATGTAGAACATTTGAAATAAGTGTTGTTTATTTTTTCCAAGCTGGAAAGTAAAAATTATTAAAAAGAAGTGATTGAAATTAAACATTTGCACAAAGCACACAAAATGCTAATTAAACAAAACTAAAAAGAAATAATGCATTTAAATGAGATGAATTTAATGAACAATAGATAATGGATGATAGTAGATAATTAATCGTGTTTTTTTATAATTAACATGAATCTCTTTAAAAGTCTCTTTAGTTTATGTTTTAGTGCTGTAAATTGTACGAGCACTAACTAAGATGCTTTAACAGTTCATCTATACTCGAAATCGAACTCGAACATTTATGTTTAACATTTTAAATGCTCAAAGATATTCGAACTGCTGATCTGCTGTATTTTACTTTAGATCTAAAGCACATTGGCGACACAAAATACTTGGTGCGGCCTCTCCGCTTCTTTAGCGATAAACTAGTACAAGCAATGGTGCCGCTGGTTATTAAACACTGCTCAATCTGATCTAATGTATCACACAACCAGCCAAGTGACTCCAACCGCTTTTGGCCGCTAGTATGCACTGATCTTTTTTATAATTGTTATACAACAGCAAATATTCGAACACTAAATGATCGAAAATTTTTAACAAGCTCGCTGTTTTCGAACTTAATATTCGAGTATAAACAACAGCTTTAAATATATTTTAAATTCTGTTTGGTTTAGAAAATTTTCAAAGTGCGGTTTATTTTAAAATTACTAAAAGAAACATAACTAAACTTCCTAAACAATTTTAAAATGATTAAAGTATAACAGAAATAAAAAATATTAATAAAATAAAATCAGTAATTATAATAAATTAAATCGAATAGAATTAAATTGAACTGAGTTAAAACAGTTTTAAATATGATTAAAAAATATTTAATATTAAATATTTTGATTTTCATTTAATGATTTTTTTATATTATTATTTTATTTTATCTTAAATATTAAAATATTTAAAAAAACTTTTCAATTATTGAAATTTTAAATAATAGTAATAAATTGAGACATATCTCACCTTAAAAAAAAAACTATTTTTTTATTAAATTCATCTGTTTTGAAGTTTTAAACACAAATAAAAATTGTTTTATTTGGTATATTGCTACATAAGCAGGTTTATAGCAAGTTTCAAGTTTTACTTCCAATTTCATTTATATTTATACAATTTATAATGTAATGTCGTTGAGGCCCTATGCTCCTCCTAGGAGTTAAAGGATTTAATATATAACCATGCCAAAGCAAAATACCTCGTATATTTTTTTACACAGCGTCTATTGAACTTGTCAACAAATTGAAATAAATAAAATTTTTATATATTAGATATAAATAACTCATCGTCTACACTGGCTGGTCTTTTGCAAGCATTTTATGTTCGAATGCAAATTTTCGAATTTCGTGTGCGAAAAAATGTGTATTTCTTTAACAAAAAGTGTATCCAAAAATCTTGGCTAAATGTAGCTAATGTAGCTGCTAAGTAATTTTAATTGAAATTTCCTATAAATTTGCTAGTCTTATGTTGAGGTTTTTCCGATTTACTTTTTCTTAGCTGAGGAGTTTCTACAGAGTCCCTCCCTTCTCTTTAATTAATTTATGTATTCCTTACAAGATTCGCTGATTATTCGATGACTGATCTAAGTTCTGTATACCGCCCCGTGACTGCTCTGAGATTAGATAGTGCTTAAATAGGGCAGCCTGTCAGTTTTCGTGTAGGGCTCTGTCCCTGAAGCTTAGTGTAACTGGGCAAATATGAATGTAAATATGAATTTCTACCATTTATATCATTAGTTAATGATGATCAAAATATCATCAGTATTATTAGATAATGTAGTGCTCATTATCATTGAATAAAAATCACTTTAATGTAATATTTTATTAATAAATAATACAAAATATTAAAATCGGACATTTCAACTTAATGTTATTTTATTGTATATGGTGAATTATGCCAAACCTCAATAATCTTAATATTTATTAAGTATATAAATTAAAAATAATCTTATGACGCTAAAGTTATTTGTAGACTTTTATACATATTAGTGACGATTAACACTTAATGAAAGAATAAATGGAAAAAACACTTTAGTTATAATCGCATTAGTATCTTGGATGAATCTAACTTCTTCATATTATTAAAGCAGGACGATTGATTTCCTATTCATAGAATTAGGCATTAAATATATTTTTTATTACAATTTATGATTGATTATCAAAAATCATTGACTCACTCACTTGGACCATATTAGTAAAGTTAATTTTTTTAATTCTATAAATCAAAATATAAATCCTACTCCTGTGATACTTCTACATTACAGTGTTAATTTTTAAATTTAATTAAATTTTAATTTTATAAAAATTTTATAAGATTTTCTTTAGAAATCTTAACACTAATGGCACATTTATTTGCTAATTATTAATTTTATTTTAATCTATTATTTTACTGTGTGAAAAATATTGTGAACTGAGCTAAAAGCACAGGGACAATAATGCTAAAAAATTTGCAACACAACGTTGTTGTCTTCTGAGCCATAAAAGTTTGTTTATATCGTACATTTATTTAAGTATAAAGCATTAAATATCAAATGCATTACAATTGAATTTTTGCAACATAATTATTTATTTAGAATGTAATTATGTGCGTTAAGGGAACATATTAACAAAAAAAAAATTTATTGAGAAATAAGGAGTATGTCTGCTTTTATTGCTTTAGTATTTAGGTTAAGGTTTTTCTTATTCATTGTGTAAATTAACTTAAAATGAATTTATTGGTATCAATACATAAAATGTATGCAGGATATAATAATATAAATAAGTGCAAATTTGATATTCTTACTTATTGCAAAAAGTCTTTCTCACTAATGTACCACATATACATAGTTGACATTTCTTAATTTCCATAATGCGATGTTTTTCAACACCCAAATATCTAACACCAATTGGAAGTATTTTTAAGTTTTGATATGGAATAAATAGAATTTAATTTAATTTTATTCTGAATTCCTAAAAGACAAAATACAAAAAAAAATAAAAACAAATAGTTTTATATTTTATATCAATATTAGTTTAATATTTCCTAAAGTTTACTGCACACCTTAAAGACTTTGATACCTCGATACTATTATATATGTAAACTTATAATAATTTCGAAGAAATATGAAAAATGAAAGAAAATATATGAAATATATGAAATTTCTTTATTAAATCATATTTACTCTAAAGAGTTTTGGATGAAAATTTATTTAAAACAAGCTTTAAATGTACGAATATTAAAGAGACATTAAAAACGATTAAGAATATTTCACAATCGATTGTAAAAGTACAACACATAGAAACCAATATAAAAATTAACATTTTTAAAGAAATTAGATTAAATCTACGATTTATATAAAATATTATGCATAATTGTTAAATGCGAGGTCTTACCTTCATTCTCTTCGTTTAGCAATGGGTCGAATGCCTCAAGCACACTCACGCGAGAACTGTATAGAAAAGAGTTTATTTATGAATTAAACTGTTTAAATACTTTAATCAAAAGCAAAACGTACTCATCTTCATGACTTAAATCAATCAGATCATCAGCAGTGCGCGGTTTTCTTGCCGGTGGCGTTTGATTGCGTTGCGTATTTAAATTTTCGACGGTTCCATTTGGGGCGCTCACACTTGAGGCGGAATGTGACTTTGAAATTTTTGGGATGTTCAGATTTGATGCATTCGATACATTTAAATTGTTGACTTGATTAAGATTATTTGAAGGTTGCATGGGTGCAATATAATTAGTAGATCCTGCTGAACCTGATAAAGTGTTGTACTGATATCCTTGTTGGGCTTGTAAATATGCCGTAGACATTGCGCCTTGCGTCATACTTTGTTGTTGAAAATTTGCTGATGAATGATAAAATCCTTGCGGTGGAATGAAGCCTATATGATGAGGATACGCAGTCGTTTGTGGATGTGGCATATTGTAAAGTTTCTGCAGTTCTTCATTTGTAAGTGGAACTTTAGTTTGCTGTGTCGGTGGAGTGAACGGCACTAACTGCATACCACCGGGACCAGGCACGTACTGTTGAGGTCTATATATCACAGCTGGTGTCACAGTACGATAACTTGGGTAAATTGGTGCAGCTGCCGTGGGTCCCAATGGTACAAGCGCTGTTTGACTGTTTGAAGTTTGTATTTTTTGTAGATCCTCTATTAGTTTTTCAAATGTAGCATTTTCAGGCTTCTTTGAAGTTGGACTTGCAAAGGAAATTAAGTCACTTTCTGGCAGCGATGATGATGGTGTTTTGGAACGTTCTTTTGCTGTAGTTGTATTACCAGCTAATATATTAGCATTACTCACTTCTGAATGACGTCTCTGAGATTGTAATACTGATGCACCAAGAGGTGGTGGTGTCATAGAATTGTTTCTGCTCATGTGACGGTTACGTAGTTGGGTATAATAAGTGCTTGCATCTGATTGAGTCGACTGCGATCTCTCATAGTATGTATTAGCTGCTGTGCCATATTTTTTTGAACGTCTATAATCGTCAAGAGCTTGTTGTTCTAGACTTAGAGCAGTTGCTTTCGCTAAGTCATCCTGAAATTGTTTCTCATAATCGATTTCTGCTTGATTTGTCATATTCTCTATATAAACAGTTTATTAAAATCTGGAAAAAAAATAATTCTGTTATTTAATGTTTTTTGAACAATATAAGCAAGAATGAAAACTTTTTATGGATTATCGTCTGAAAATACAATTGCATATTTAGTCATATTTTGTTAAGGTGGGCATCGATGTGCTTTCGTACATTATCAAGAATGATAATTAACATTTTATCTTTTGTATTTTCTATTGATAACACGACAAAATTTGTTCGAAATACGATAACAGAACTCAAAATATAAAAAAAAAATCACACATATTAAATTGTAATACAGACATTGCTATAGATTGGTAAAATCATTACTATTGAATATAATTACCGTAAAATTTATTTCAAAATATACATGAAGTATTTACATTATACTAGGTATCACTCAAACAATTTTTAAACCAATTTTTTATATACGTATATATTATACATGCTTTCAAATCTGATATACATGCATGATCTGAATTTTGAATCTGAAGAACTAATCAACAATAAATTAGCAAAGAAGTTACAAGTGTATTTTAGCAATAAAGTTAAATCTTTTAGTTGCTGTGGATCACTTTTTCCTTCGGAATAAAACATATACATCTGTTCTGTAATAAAAATTTGACAAAGGAAAAGAATATGGAAAGGAGTTATTACTCCTAGTAAAACATACATATATGTTCTGTAATCAAAATTTGACAAAAAATTACAATATGGAAAGGAGTGATATAAATTTAGCATACCATTTAATGGTTCCAATTCTATTCAAACTCATAAAACATATATAAATATATGATATAAGTTTAGCATTCCATTATATTGTTCCAATCCTATTTAAAGTCCATAAAATATGTTTATTTTATGCTCCGCTAATATGTTTCGTGAGATAATTAAAAATATTTATTATTTCAATATAATACATTTGACAAAAGTATATTAATATTATTATTATAAAAACTAATAAATAAATAATATTAAATTCAGTTGATTATAAAGTCACAGGTATGTATGTATATAGTACGAAAGGTGAAAGCGGTGCTACAATTTCGGTAATTAGATTCTTAACATAATTTAATTAAATTTTAATTTTCATTTCAAGTAAAAGTTTATGTCATTTCTGCAGTTTCTAGGCGGGTAATATTTTAGTTCAATACTTTTATTGATTATTTTACTAGAAACTTGATTGTTATGCAAAACTTATATTATTTAAGCGATGTCAAAAAGAATAGTCCGATTACCTGTTGCACATAATCGAAATTCTTTGTGTGTTTTTAAATTATTTAAAACGAATAGTTGAAATCATCACCCATTAAACGAAATGTATTTTTATTATGTCAGAAGGTTAAAAAGGCCCCTAAACTCTGTAAATCTATTATTTTCCTCCATGTAAGATAAGAAACATATTTGTACGCATGTGTGTGTGTGTGTGTTGGATATATTAGTAGCGGCAATTGTTTATGTAGGACAATAAACGATAAGAATTTTTGAAATATTTCGCATTTAAAAAACTTTCAATTGTTTTAAACATAAATTATTAAAATTTTTAGACTAGCGGTTGGGAGGGGCCCAATGGAAAGGGTGCAGTAATTAAATAATGAAAAAAAATTGCACCTTAAAAAATATTAATAAGACAAAGCATTAAATTTTCTTTTTGATTTGAGAACAACTTTAATTAATTCTTAATGTGTTTTTTATATACTTTATTATACTCACTGTTTTTTTTTTTTGTTCTGAAGAATGACTTAATTAGGATTTATTGCTGCTATAATATTTGAAGGGATATGTATTGCAAATGAAGAACTTAGTTGAAACTATTTATTTTTTAAATGCACATTGTGATAATTAAAGTGTGCTATAAGATGTATCCATTTTGATATTATCCAAAAGCACTTTTCCCAATTTTTTGTGAAGTGAAATTAATTTTTATGTTGTTTGCCTTTCTTCTTAATTAGTTTTCATTTTTGTTTTTGCAATTTAATTAAACATGTGTGAGAACAGGGTTGATCAAACGATATGAGTTACGCGATATAACGCCATACGTATATCGTAAACGTGGTTACATATTAAAACACATATTATTTCAAATTAACGATATTTTAATGATGCAGCTGTTTGTAGAATATATATTTTACGATATTGATTATTAGAAATATATTAAAGTAACAGGCGAAACGACAAATTTTAAAATTATAATTCTATAAATAAATAAAAACTCGTAGGCAACCAGAATAATATACTACTATTCACAAATTAAAATTTAGTTATAATTTAATATTTCAAAAGTATTTGAAAATTATTTTGACATTTCTTTATTAGCAAACTTCAAATAGCAAACATTACATAGATAAAGAAAGCTGTTTACACAGATATGATTCAATTTCAGATAAATATTTTTTAGTTTCAAAATATTAAATATTTTTTAAATAAAAATAATAATTAAAAATTGAAACATTTCCTATATAATGTTGGTGTAGTTTTTATTGTATATAAAGTAATGAATGTTTTTAATTGTACAAAATATATATTTTTCAAGGATACACAACCTGAAAGAATTTCTATTGTTTTAGATTTTAAAAACAACAATTGTTTACTAATAAATTTAGTAATTGAAGAGCAGTAGTTAGCATTTTTATCTTATATATTTTAACAAATGTATTTATTTATTTATTTGAATTTATTAGTAAATGAAATACTTATATGATTTTAACGGATGACTGGAATTTTGGAATATATTTCCAGTGCATATTCATAATAGATTGATTTTTAAATTTGGCTACACTAAAATTTAAGACGGAAACATTTTTGCGAGTATAACCTAACCTGAAGATTTTAAGGTTTAAGATTGTTGTTGCTTCACATGTTTTCTTTCGGAAGTATACACGTAGTATTTTTCTGCTACTGAGAAAGAAATGCTACACATTTGCCGAATTCTTCTCTAAATTTTATATAAAATGTTTAGTTGTGCACAGTTACCATAACAGTGAAATTTTTAATTAAAAAACTTAAAATATGGTATTTATTGCACATATAGAACATAAAGTTGGTATCCGTTTTTTAATTAATCAGTTTTAATTCTTAATTAACATATGAAACATATGATTTCCTTTATTTGGAGCAGTATGAACACTTTCGAAATTAACTTAATTCCATTTTTACGAAATTAAGTAAATTTGGTCATCTGACCATAGCATTATACCATAACATCATTGTTTACACAAATTGTTTCCGTTTTTCTGTTATAGTAACAAATCAATTCTTCATTTATTGTGTTTGCCTCTTTTCATTGATAAAATTTAAATAATTTTTACTGATTCACTTAAAGGTACACAAATTTTGACATAATTATAGAAAATATATAACACTCGAGATTGTACCATTTCGGATATTTTGCCTGAACAGCAAGATTACGCTGTAATTGACAGCTGTTTTATATGATTTGACAGATAAACTGTGATTTGATTCGATATATGGTATGCATTTGTGAAGAATATAAATGTTTACTAACACAACTAAAAAAATGTCAGATTACTCCAAAAGTGTTCGATTGGACAACAAAATTTAACAGATCAAGAGTTAATCTAGATTAAATGCAGTTTTAACAAACGAAAACGCCATAAAATTCAAGTGAACTTTGTAAAGTACGAAATGACAAATTGGTCTTACGAACTCATTTATCTTATACTACATTTCCACTACGCACTTAGTAAACCATATAGTAAAATTGAGGTTTTGGTCGTTTACATTATGGAAAAGAGCTTTTATGTGTCAAGAAGTTACTTAAGAAATGAGAAAGAGCTTTTATGTGTCAAAAAGTTCTAGTTTCAGAGCTTTTGTTTGTTTACATTTTAATTGTAAGCAGATGACATTAAATTTTGTATTGTTAGAATGTTAGTTTTGAATTTTGAGTGTTTGTTTATGGTTTGTTTCATGTGTCAAATCTTTCAAATTCCGATAATTTCCAATGTTGCATTCGTCATTTTTGGTATAATTTTGGTCGAATTTTGCTTACTATATGCTATAGTAAGTAAAAAAGCACAGAAGCTATTTGTATGGTAAATGAAATTTACTCAGTACGATAAGCTTGCTAAGTACGTAGTGGAAATGGCCTATTACTGGATTTTGATTACAAAAAATAAGAAATGCTAGTAAGTTTTTATTTAATTTTACTACAACTACTTGCAAGAACAAACCTATAATAAATCTATTACAATAAAAAGTATTATCTTTTATCTCAACGTCTAATGTCGTAGTGTCGCGAAAATTCCGCAATAACAAATGTGACACAATTTTTTCAAGTTACCGAGCAAATTTCTTCAGATTGTTATTTTATATGACATTTACACTGGTCTCAAATGACTGATTTGGGTTAAAAATCAAAAATGATGAGCAAATGACTGATTTCTGCATATAAAATCTTATATGTTCCATTTGCTGATTTTGTACAAATGAGTTTCAACGAGTTTCAAATGAGTTCCAAATACGTTCCAAATGCAAATGAATACATTGAACATACCATAAATAAAAGTTTTTAATGGCATTTTGACAGTTTGAGAAAGCAGTTTTTGAAATACCTGCAAAAAAAGGTTAACAAATATTTTGTGGTTGCATTTTTTTAAAAACGATGCACCACTTTTTGGAACTTCACTTCTAAAAAATTACTTAAAGCTAAAAACAAGTTTTCAGTTTATATTAGACGTTTTAAGTTTCTCGCAAGTGTGGCAAAAAATGTGTCCTGCCTATATTCGCTAAGCGAGACATTGGCATCATATGTTATGTTTTGGCAAATAGTAAACCTTGCATATGTGCACATAGTGCAAGCAAATCACATTTTGTATAAGAATAAATAATTATTATAAATGGAAAATTTTTATAAATACAGATTTAAAAAGAATAGTAAAAATGTTGAAAATACAAAATAAAACATTGAAATTTTTTCTTTTTTCCCAATTCTTAAATTTATAAAATATTTGAATTATATTTGAATTTTTGTTTACATGTGATTTTTAACATATGATTGCAATATTCGTTAGAATTTCGCTTTTTGCGTTGGTAACACTTTTTTCTTTACTGGCCGAAGTGTGTGGACAGTATACAACTACTGACCTAGATAGAGAAAATAATGTTAGGTCTTTTTAGTGGTTCGCAAGTATGGCAAAAAATGCATGTTGGCCTGTATTGGCTTCGCGAGACATTGACAGCACTGTTGCAATCTGTGAAGTGTTATATTTTGACAAATAGCAAAAATAAATATATTGCAAATTACATTGTGTATAAAAATAAATAATTAACATAAATTGAAAATTAAATTGAATACAAAATAAAAAGAATAGTAAAAATGTTTAAAATTTCAAATAAAAATTAAAATTTTTTCTTATTTTCCAATTTTCAAATTTTTGAATTTTTATTTATATATAATTTTTGATATATGATTGCAATATTCGTTGGAGTTTCCAATGAATGTTCACTATAGTTCGCTTATTGCGTTGGTAACACTTTTTTCTTTATTGGCCGATGTGCTTGGCCGATGTAGAGAAAATAGTGTTGTTGTTTTGTGTACATTTCTTGATATGTACTATACTTTCAATCTTATTGTAAGGAATGAAAGTATATTTTACTCCAACATTTTTTTGGCACGTGCCAAAAATCATATTGGCAACATCAACAGCTGATAAATCAGCTTTTTGATATGAGAAAATATTAATAATAACGAATGTAAATACTTTCAAATGACATTCGAAATGAGTCATTTGCGGTCAGTGTAAATGCCATATTACTTTATTATAATTACTTTAATGTGTCCTAAAAAAATGTTTACAACAACCATATATATATGCTACAAAACACATACCGTACAAATAGTTTTGTTGGTGTGGCAACTCTAAAACGTCTTGCAGCCTTCCATATTCCAATAAGTGTACGGGAAATCTTTTCCAACTGCGACATATACACATTCTATTCGCTTAAGGTGGTTATGTATTATCAATATTTTATTGATGGGATAATTTAAATTACTTATCTGCAGTTTTTGCAATTAAAAGTAATCAAAATATAGCAATTAAAATATTAATTTAAAGTTGCGAAGTGAAAGAAGTACATAAACAGGTAAAAATTGTATTCCAAAGAGTCAAGTTAATTTGAAAAAAAAAATTTTATGTGATATTTGTGTGCAATTAAAGTCATTTATTCTGCTTATACTTTTAGTGTTTTATAACAACTCACAATTGCTAATAAAATGAGCACTAATGATCCCAATATTGGGCCAGGTGGACCGGGCATCGGTGTGACTGGGAACACTGGTGGAGTAAGTGGGGTTTCTACGGCTGCAGCAGGTAGGTTAACGTGAATATGAAAATAATTACTTTTATATCATGGTAGGTAGGGTGATTATGCTCCCATCGTTCTGTTTTTGTGTATCATATCTTTCCCTGTGTCAAATGACTGTTGCGTTTTGTTGACGTAGATGTGTACGTGTGATTGAATATATCCTCAGTTGGATTAAATGTTTGTTTATGTTTTTTCAATAATAAAAACTAAAAGTAATGTTCTTAGAGTATATCCTTTGCAGATATTAAATAATTTTTAGGGTTTGAATATGTTTATTAGTGTATTCGTATTATATATTACCCAAATAGTTAGAATGAATTAAATTTCATAAAATGATGGACGTCTATAAAGGATTGAGTATCGCTAGTTACATAAAGTTGGAAGTAAACCTTAACCATAGAAAGTAAATAATTTATATGTTATCGGAGTATCTGACGAGTTTTATATCAGATTGTTCTATTAATGTTTTATATACGTAGCTACGGCGTAAGGGTTCCATACTGCAATGCAAAGAGATTCATAACCGACATACAAAGATATACAATTTTATCATTTACAGAACCTTTTAAAATTATTAAAAATCAAGTTATACAACAGCAAACACAACAAAATTCACAAATACCACCAAGAATAAATACACATAATTACCCGGCTAGCCCTGTGCACAAAACCTATTTACCATTTCAGTCACAAATACAGTTAAAAAATTTTCAAAATTCCTTCAATTCAGTTGCAGCCAAGTTGACGCACGTCAAAACCGCCGCTATTGATTCAGGAAGTGGCACTCTCGTAAGTGGAATAACTATAGGTGGCGTTTCTGGTGGAGGTAGCGGTATGTTGGCCAGTGGCGTGTCATCCGCAGGTGCTATAAAAGTAGCCCCAGCGGGAACAGTTAATAGCTCTATTGTTACCCCGATTGGGATGAATGCTTCACAATCGACTACTGCAATTCGAGCAATTGGAACTGGTGGCCAATCAACACAAGTACGTGTTGTTATGCCAAGCGCTATTATGCCGCCGACTATGATTAAACAGTTTGAAAGTGTCGCTACTGGCCGTACACAAATAACAGCAATACCCGCAGCTGCTGCTCGTAATGCCGCTAATACGTCAATAACTGTGACACGTCCTGGTACACAGACTACATATTTGCCACGTGCTGGAGTGAGTGCTACACAAATCACTGGAATGGGTGTTACTACGGGACAACGTGTGATTACCCCAATAAGAACTGCTCCAGTTGCAGGAGCTACAGTTACTGGTTTGACTGCTGCCGGTAATTTTGTACGTGGCACTGCTGTAAGCAAGAATTCATCCCCGGCAACAACAGTTATATCTCCAGCTACAAGCACAACTTGGATGGCAGCCAATAACTCTGGACAAGTACAACTTATAAGAGCCATTCCACATCAGCCAAGACAACGTATAATCACCACGCAAGGTATAAATAATGCCGCGGTCGGAACTGGAGTTTCGGGAAGTAATACTTTAGTAGCAAGCTCTGCTACTGTGGCTCCAACAAGTGTTGGTCAAATACAAGGTCAGCAGAATCAAAGTGTGGCAAGTGAGTTTAATATATTAAATATTTAAAATTTTTTATTTTAAATTTCCTTTTTTAATTTAGCGAATATACAAACTGTGCAGCCACAACCAGTACCCCACAGTCAGCAGCAACAAACTTATGTAGCTACTTTAGCAACAGTGCTACCATCACGTCAACATCAGGCTACATTGGTTTATTCTTCTTCACAGCCGCTGTCGCAGCCTCAGGCATACAGTCAGTCTGTGGCTACTGGCCAACGATTCGCAGTTGCTAGCAGTTTGGCTAATGCGGCCACAGGACAACGCCAAGTCCGACCTATACCGCTCGGAAAATCCTTTTCTACAACAAAACTAAATACTACAAGCATAAGTATACGTCCACCGTCATTACCGCAATTGGCGCCATCGATTGGAACTGCTGTTTCTAATACCAATGTATCAACAGCGGCCATGGCTTCCAACTCACCACGCAGTACAACAGTTGCTGGTGTGTTGGCCTCCACCGCAACTGTTATTCCTACAACTAACTTGTCATCTACTCGTATAATACAATTGCAACAACAAAGCGCACAACAGTTACTTGGGCCTGCTGGACGCTTAACTGGCAACGTAATGCTGCAACCAATTATAGTAAATGCTTCTAATAATAAAATTGGCAAGTCAACATTTTATTTTAATCATATATAATTTTAAATAATAAATTCTTTTTTAATATTATAGCAGGAATAAGACCATCTGTGACAATGGCTGCCAAATCTCAACCATCTCTGACTATTACTCAACTAGGAATAGGAAAGTTACCCGGAGCAGTCTCTGCCAATAATGTAGGACCACAAAACATAACAGCCAATATACAGACAATTGTCAATAACGGTGGTGCTTCTCCGTCGACAACTACCTCGAATGTGAGTGTTCCTAACCTGTCGTCATCAGCGAACACACAACTGGTAAATGTGTCACAGGCACAAATATTGACTACACAAAACATATGCTCATCAGCACCAACGGTTGTGCCACTTGCAATTACACGAACACAAACTGCTGGAGGAATTATTTCAGGTACTATACCGATTAAAAACGCCAATACCGTAACTGTGGGAAAAGTAATGACACAAGCTCAAGTAAATGCTGCAAATAACGATGCCAACTTGCCAGCTAGCGTAACGACTTGGCATGCCGCCGCTGCTTCTGCGCGACCGCACAGTGGCAGTAATACTGGAGTGCCTGCTTCGTCCACAACTCCCACATCCAGTATCATGACTGCAACAAATGCAATGCTGTCGTCTACAGTTGCATCTGGTACCAGCACGTTTTTACCACCTGGTAGTACCATATACTATGAGTCAGTCCCTGCAAACTCAGTACAAGTATCGACCGGGGTTCTTTCTCTCACCACCACAACTGTGACCAGCAGCACTGTATCACATACATCAGTAGGCAGCACACAAAGTACTTTACCAATTTCTTCGATTCCTTTTGTGTCCAATTCAGCAAACTCAACAGCTACGTTTACAGTTGTGCCGTCAAATGCACGCAACTTGAGCCAGCTTCAAATACCAGTTTCCAGCACAACGGGTTCTATGCAATCAATGCCAGTACGTTTTAACGCACAATTATCAGCAAGCTCCGTGGGCCATGCCGCTACAGAAGCAATCACAGTTTCTCAGCCAACTACTCAATTAGTGCAGGGTGCTGCTGTGAATACTGGACAACAAATCATAATACCAGCCCCACATGCAGTACAAACTTCTGGACCCATAACAGGACAAGCACCGCAACATATGGTTATACCATTGCCAACTTCTATTAAAGTAACATCTGGTGTAAATACTGGTGGTACGGTTGTATCTAACTTTTTACGCAAACGAGAAGCTGATGGTTCTCCCATTCGCGCTGCTAAAAATCTTGGACCAACTCTGCTTTCAATGAGTTCTAATGCTACGACATTGAATTCACCGATTGTACCTTCGGTGGGAAATTCCTTAAACGTTTCAGTTGCGACTACATCTTCAAATACGACTCCGTTGACTGTGGAAGCTTTAGCTAAAAAAGAAGGAAGTAATGTGCGAGTTAATCGTGCTGATTCGCCAGCATCGTCTGATGGTTCTACTACAGTATCAGCCAATTCTTCTCCTGGTGTAGAACAGCAAATGGCAGATGTTAACATAATACTTAACCCAACATCTGTTGCCAATGACTCGACTCATTTCAATCCCATTAATGATGTATGTATTCAAGAATCTGATATGTTTAAATTATTTTATTGTATATTCAATTTAGTTGTATCCTAACCATCACTCCGTTGTAAATCAGAGCAATGCCGGAAGCACACCAGTTAGTTCGCGAAATTCGTCAGTAGATCAACAACAGAATTATGCGCCATCACAGAGAACAAATGGAAATGTTCTTGATCATCCACGCAAAAAGTTGCGACGCTCAACGTAAGATTTGTTAAAGATATGTGTGTATAATGTGTATTGTGTCTAATGTGTCTATTGTTTTTTCTTATTCTCTGCAGCAATGATAGTCAACAGTCATCGCAAAGTCAAACTTCACTCAGCTTACCACCACCGACTTCTGCTGCTATGGTCAGAACTAACACAACTTTAACCGAAGATACTTTGGCCCCTAGTGCAACTAATGGTACATTATTACCAGCACCAAGCTACGAGGAACACAGTGTGGTTTTAAATAACAATCACAAAGTGAATAATGTGCCACCAGCCACAGGCAACAAGGAAAACACTAAACCCGTTGAATACATTTTACGAAGACCACGTAATTGCACATTGCTACACGTAAGTAAAGTACAACATATAGAAAACCCTTCAATCAATTTATTTTCTTTTTAGACCTACAAACAGACTTGGAAATCCGCAAATAATCATTTCCAACGGCATTCAGACGTAAAGCCACGTGAAGAAAGACGTCCAACTGTTATTGATTTGGCAAATCAGACAAATGTCCAGGGTAAAATAAACGGTTGGAAAATTCATCATTTGCGTTCGCAAATGGAAGATTTGGTATATGCGAATTAATTTTGTAAATACTTAAAATAATTATTTTGTATATTATTAGTGCGAGAATGAGTCGAACGGATATGACAAACTTGCTGAAATGTTGCAACAGATGGAGACGCACGAGACAAGTCCAGAATTGGAACGCATCAACGAGCTACTAAAAGTTTGTATATTTTCTCTTTTTTTCTTATATTATAAAGTATAAATATTAATTTATTATATTGTAGGGAAACATGCAACGTAGCAAAATTATTATTGACGGCTTAACTGACGCCCAAAGTCAGATAATGAAGATATTTGAACACAAGTCTCATGTCTCCGACATTATCAATCGTTGTGCATCGAAACGTAACTTTAAGAAGCGCGAAAAAGTTTAGACTTCATTCTCATTTATACCATTTCTTTCTAATAAATTATTTTTAATTTTAAATAAAATATTGACTGCTACTGAATACGGTAAAAAGTTAATTTAGATTTTATTTTTTTCTATGAACACCCGAAACGGGAATATCCATATATTTTAAAACCAACTATTTTATATTTTTAATCAATAAAGAATTTATTTTGAAAATAGTTGTGTTTATACTCAGATTATGGTGCTATTTATTAATTAGCAGTATTTGTAAATTCATTATTTTAGTGTTTTTATATCAAATAGTGTATATTAAATGAATAGTTTAAACAATTTTTTTTAATGTAACCTATTGTGGCGAAGATTCAGAAAGTAGCATATTTTTATTATATATTAAATCTAAAAACCTTCGAAAAACCTTAATTGAAAACAATAGTTTATATTAAGAAAATAGTTTCTTTCATTATAACTGACATTAAAAATTAATTTAATATATTAAATTTTAATTTAGAGGGATTTTGAATAGCAAAGAAAGAAATAAAGGACAAACACAAAAATTTATTTTTAATTTTATTGAAGTTTGGCTGACCATACAACGCTGTTTCGAGTATTGTAAAGTACTCTTCATCAGTGGTCTTTGGAATTATCGAATTTTTATTTAATTAGTTTATAGTCCGTATATAATTTGTTTGGACTGCAAGTGCCAGGCTTAGAACAAATTATATACGGACTATAAACTAATTAAATAAAAATTCGATTATTCCAAAGACCACTGATGAAGAGTACTTGGCAATACTCGAAACAGCGTTGTATGGTCAGCCAAACTTTAATAAAATTAAAAATAAATTTTTGTGTTTGTCCTTTATTTATTTCTTTGCTATTCAAAATCTCTCTAAATTTTAATAAAGCTTCTTTGTCACCATACAAAGAAATCGTAGCTTTACAGCAACACGAGTACTTTATTCATTAAATTTTAATTCAATATTAATTTTAATATTTATTAAAATTATTTTTATTAAATTAATTTTATTTAATTAAGTTTAATATATTAAATTCTGTACATATGCAACTCCATGCATCATTATAATTTAGTGATGATGTAAAAATGAATATCTGATTATGTTAAGCACTTGATTGGAATATGTAAAAGCATTAATGCTATAACACTTTTTTGAAATCACAAAAATGTTATTCAAGAAATTCGAATTAATAGCTTGAGAGTATTGATTCGTTGCACTTTTTTACGTAAGCAATGATCTTACGAGCAGAGTCGGAGAGCCGTAGACATAAATTTTTAATAAACAGAGATTTTAATATTTCAATAACCTACTTTGACTAACAAAAAAATAGATGCACTGCTTATAGTAGAATAAGGGGAATCAGAATCCAGTGTAGTAAATCATTTGAATTAATGTTTTTATATATGGAAAATATGGTAGCCCTAACCTTTCTGAACTTACTATTAATTTCTTGTGTATGAGACAGTTTGTTTTTAATATAAGAAAATAAAACTTCGACTAAAGGTAGATTTCATAGTGTTAACTTAAGCTGCAATAACAACTAAGTCATGTTTAAGCCACCAGCTTTGTTGATTTAATTCATAATAAAGTTAATTTTAAGATTTAAGTTAAGTCTGTGAACTCTGCCCTAAGTATTGTCTTCCTTTTATTAAATGTTCACGAAGAAATAATAATAGCTTCTCTAACAATTTTAACTTTAATCTAGAATAAGGCATACGAAACATATATTTCTCCTTTACCTAAACTAGATATGCTTTATGAACTCAAATATGGAAATATGAAGTATTTTGATAAATTAATTATATTTTTCCTTAATTACATTTGATAATTTTAGTAAAAATATTAAATCTATATTTTTTAAATAAATGTTTTTACATTGGTGGTGGTGGAACCGGTAGAACTCCCATGGGTGGAGGTGGTGGCACCCCGTTAAAAATATGATGAGGTCGCGGTGGTCCTGGAATTGGAAAGCCTGGCGCACCAAGCGCGCGTTGCAATTGTGGTGGCGGTGGTGGTATGATTTTCGGTTCAAATTTGAATGAAAATTGCAGAAAGAATTGTTTTGTGTCACGATTCCAATGCGTCCAAAACTTTCCTTCTGTCTTCTCCACCTCACGTGATGGTACTTTAAACGCAATTGTTTCGTATGGTTCGGCGGCAAAAAGTAAATATTGCCACTTACGGTCTGGTGGTTCGATTTTTTGTTCATAAGCTGACATAAACCGATGTCTCGGTATGATACCTTCGGATATCTCAGGATAGTCAATTTGAAAAAGTAACGATTGCTGTCCATTATTTGGATCACGTTGTTTTGTGACACGATAACCAGGTCTACCAATTTTAACAAACTTTTTTGGTTCAACTCTAGGTTTTTCTGGTGCTAACATTGAAGGTGCCTCCTTCGCTTCCTTAGCAGAACGACGCGCAAGATTTTCTTGATGCTTCTTACCCTGGGTGTGCGCTAAGTAACTGCCTTCATTGTTATGCAGTGTTAAGCAAAGCTTGCATTCGTAAGAACCAAGATGATTTTTCATAAAATACGGATCTTTGTTTAAATCAATAGTCTCCAGCGCAAGTTGGCGGAGACGTTCCTTGCGGTCGCGATTGGTTTCCGACCATGATGCAACGCCACCACTACCAGTTTTACCACCGGCGCGATTTTGAAAGTCCATATTGTATGCGATTGAGTTAACTTTGCCGTATACTAGATAAATGTTAAATATTTAATATTTTGTATATATTAAAAACTTTATTTTGCTTACACCGCTCAATGCGTCCTTCGCTATCGTATCAACGTTGCTAACAATTTTTTAAGTTATCTATCGTCGCTGTCAAAATTACGAACACCGTGCAGATAAAATAAACGTTTGGAAAATTTTATATTTTCAATTATTTTTTAACTAAGGTATCTTAAAATATTTTTTACTTGCAACATAAAAAGAAAAAAATAATATATGAAACATGTTAAAACTTTATTGTTATTAATTCAGAATAATGTTTTGCGTATTATTATCGAGAGATAACAACCCTGTTCGTATTTGACGTGTCTGCAATTGTTGTAAACCCAAAAAACGAGGTGTGATGTGATTAATTAAGACTGCAAGTCTTTAAAAAATATTTAGTTGAAAATTAAAGTTATAGTAAAAAAATTTGTTTTTAAATAATATGGCTTAAATTGTGTAAAGTGAATTAAAAAATAATAACAAAAACGTCTAAAAATGTTTGTTTCTCAGTAATATAATCAACACCTGGCCACAAGCAATTGCATACTGCAGGCTGATGCAAGAATAAATCGCAAATATGAATACAGAATTAATTTTATTTGTTAAAATATTTTAAACAGTTTATATATTTACGAATTTGGTTTATAATACATAAAAATTAAAAAAAAAAATGAATACAAGTGTTAAAAGGGATAGTGTTTCGGACGCTAAAGAACAAGCAGCAGATACTGCGGCTACGGCTACGGCGGAGGCTTCCGGAGCTGTACAAGATGAAACGAAAGTAGTTAGAACCTACAAAGTGATTGATTTTACTAAGTTGAAAAAAGCTGGCTTGGATCGAGAAATTGTGGAAGCTGTAAAAAAATATGAGGTTCAAAACCCAAGAAAAGATAATGTTAACAGAGATTCTGTAGCCAGTTCTTCGAAATTGGCCAAACTAAAAAAAGGTAATACTGTAATGTATGTAGTATATTATTTTATATTATTATTGTGCTGCTTTATATTTTTACTCAACTTTTTGTGACAAATCATAGTTTTACATTAATAATTTTATGCAGGCGTGGCGTGATGGCCAATGTCTTTGCACAGGGATCGAAGGGTTGTGGTTCAATTCTTGTTTTACTTTTCTCTGATTTTTTTTTAAATTTTAATTTTAATTTTTGTTTAAACAAATTAATTAAAAAGTCTAAAAAATTTGGTTTCATATAAAATAAGCACTATTTCTTTGGATTTAGATTTTTTTGTATTTAATTAGTTTTTAATACGCAATAACTTTTTTGAATTCTTAGTGCAATGTTGTTTGCAGCTATCAGTAAGTGCTCTTATTGACATCTTCATGTAAAATTTTAGTTCTATTGCAGATCTAATCGAACAGTTAATATAGTAAATTAAAATAATACCCACCATTTTTTTTATTTTCTATATATGTATATTAAATGTCAATCCATTATAATATGAGCTAAAAATCTCTAAGTACCTGAAACCTGTATTACTTTATATTAATTTTTGTAAATAATATTTTTTTACTATAAATATACAAATTATTATAAATATAATAATTTAAGCATATCCTAAAATCGGATATCATTGTTATGTATTTAAACTAAAATTAAATAATTAAGAAGTTTATGGAGTTAGGGCTTAGATGAGTAGAACCGTTTGCATCATGTCCATTAATAAGTCTTTTTTTGTTGTCAAATTTCTGTGGTTTTTATTTACCAAATTTTGTTTCTATATTTTAATTGACCTTTTCTAAATTTAAAGTGTCAAATCTCTTGATTTTCTAAGGCTAAGAATAAGGCTAGAATTTTCTAAGGTTTCAAGAAACAATAGCAGTTTTAGAGCAAGTTTATTTAACAAAGGATTTGGGTAAGGACAGAATTTTTTCCCACTACGCTATACGCTTTTTAATTATTAATTATTTCAAATTAATTATTTTTTTTTATATAATATATAAATATATAAACTGTGAGTTTTTAATAATCGGGACACTTAATAAATCGCTCTTTTTTTATTGTAATTACTATTCTCCGGTAAAAGTAAAAATAAAATACCTCAATAATTTAAAACGTTTTATATTTGTAATTCCTATATAATGTGTGTACGAGCAATATCGATTTTTTTCTTGTTTAGGTCTTTAATGTAGCCATTACATTGAATTTAATTATAAAAGTAATTTTGCAATATATACTTATACAAAGTGTATCAAGGTGTGTCATTTGAATGGATACTCGGTGGTTTTAGAATATATGAATGGTTGTTTATTGCATTAAAAGAGAAAATAATCTGGGCATTTCAGTATACCGGGAACACTTGAAACATAAATATCTAAATTATCATGAACTTTAGGTTTTTTTCGGGTAAAGTGGCCACCTTGTGTTTAAGGAAGCCCACTTGAGCTCAAATAATGGCCCGGTGTGCCACTACAGGATTGGCGTTTGTTCATACAAAGATTAAAAAAGTCAGTATGCGACCAACTCCAAAAGACAACGACTTCCCTATTAGGTGTAAAGATGAGTCAACGTCGTAGTTCTATAAATTTGGCTAGGACTTTAATTTTGCTGGATGATAGCACGGTCAAGTCAGTAAGAAAGGGACCCCGAAGATTTTAGATCTTCTTCTAGCTAAAGATGGGTACACTGAGATATGACGTGAAGCACAGTGATGACCTCATCCTTAGAGCCACAAGCACAACAAATTTCATTATAGGGTAGATCCAGTCTCATAGCATGATCCGCATTAAAACTTACTATATATAAATATTTGTAGTAAAACCCTTAAAAGTAATAAGGAGTCATAAGAACTTAAATCAAAATTGAGAGCAGAAAATGTAAACCCTATAAATGCACAATTTTTAGTGGTGTATATATTTTGATAAATATATTTGATTTATAAAAGTTCATATAATCAAATTACAACATATATCAATAGATCAAAATTTGACGATAGTTTATTTTGTGTCCATCCAATTTCTGCTTTCCTAATTTTTATAAACGTATATGAGCTAAGGGATCAACTCAATAATTTCATTTTATATTTTTAAATTTCTTAGTCTAGTTCCACGTTTTATTTAGTCTTCGTATGGGTTATCATTTTATTAGAATTTTTAATAAAATAAAAACAGTTTTTACTCCAAAAAGGACTTAATTCTTTTTTTTTTTTTTTTGTCATCTGTAAACTGAATATAAAGTCTTGTTTCTTTTATTTGAGGTGTCTTTAAATCGGACTTACTTTTTTTTTTTTTATTAAATTTTTATATTATTAAAATAAATATGTATGACATACGCTTTTAGACTTGCCGTAACGATAGTGGTAAGAGGGTTAAACATCGGTTTCAATAAACCGATGTATTTTCTTATGTTCCGAGTTCAATCCTTCGCACATGTGCAAAAGAGAGAGCATATGAATGTAGGAATATTTTATTTATTAAAAGCTAATATTTTTTTATAAACAATTGTTGCATATTTAAAAATTTATTATTATTTAATTGTCCCAGAAAAGCCTTGCTAAAACTATTAAATAATGTATATATGTTTTTAAATTTATAGTATTATTCAGATTCAAATTACCATTAAATTAAAAATAATTTATGATTATTTGTTAAAAAAAATTAAATAGTAGTTAATAGTTATAAAATAGTTAATAGTTAAAAACATTGAATTAATTTAAAAAATAATATTGATTAATTAATAAAAATTAATTTAAAAAAATAATTACAAATAAAAAAAAATATTTTTAAATGAGTTTTGAACTTGGGTATTCGAAATACTTGACGGTTTAAAAATTATTCCATATTTGTCTTCCATAAATACCTACATGACTAAAAAAAAAATAAAAAAAAAATGTTATTGTATATCATAAATGTTATACAATAAATATATAAATAAATGTAATTGTATTTTTATATTATTTAAATACTAAAGTAATATCAAAAAAATAGTAAATTTGTGAACAAAAATACTAAACCTAAAGAAATATTAGATTATGTTTTATTTAATATATATAACAGCGGTTCGATATTCCGCAAAATTTCTGTCCTCACTACCGAAACCTATCTCAATACAAAATTCATATAATTTAGGTTTAAATTTAATTTAGGATAAATCATCTCCTTTGCATTAGTCTTTGATCCAACATATTTTTTATTACGTTTGATGTTGCTGAGTTCTAACGAATGTAGGGTCTTAAAAACTGCATCTTCTTAAATCAGATCATAATGTAAGACAAAAGAATAAATTTTATGCCCTTCACACGATAACCTTGAGATATTATATATTAAGGCGTCTTTAGTCGGGCATTCAGCTGCTGCAGTCCGTAGTTTTTTAAGCGAAATATTAAAATAAGGACAGCTGATATACAAATAGGTAGGCAGGTAGGTAGGTTATACCGGCGATCCTGTTGCTTAGGCCTAAAGGTAACACGGTATTGTATTACCGTATAATTAAATGATATTCAAATAAAATATGTGAATTATGTCAGCTGAAAAACAATAGTGTAAAAATATAAGGCACATCATACATTTTAAGTGACATTATAATGGAAGAGAGCACAAAGGAGAAAAATATACATTTTTGAATGAAAACTATTTCTTTAGCCTTCAGTGTAGTCGTCTTTTGGAAATTGGTCACCTCTAAGATTTATACTCTAAATTAATTTTTCGTTAAAAGAGGTATATTGAAAATGTGAGGATTTGTTGCTCTAATATTTAGATTTTGGATTTATTTAAAATAATGTAATCAGTATAAAATTGTACAACAAATTATGTTAGACATATTTTTATTAATTTTGAGATTTTGGTACATACAATCAATAAAACTCAGAAGAACATATATTATATGTTTTTATCCCAAATTTCTTTTTTTAGTGTACATAATTTTTGTATTTGCATTGTTGCTTCTTTTTTCTTCTCTCTGTTTGATAAAATAGAGTGAGAAAAATAAGGTGCCTATTAAATATTTTAGCAATTGTATTTTTGTACTGAAATTTCATTTTAATAGATTGTTTTTATTATAGTTGTTTTGTTTAGGGTGGTATTAAAATTTTCTGTAGTAAATCACTGTGTAAACTATTCAATGTTAAAAACTGGTTTAGAAATTACCGAACCTTTTTTTCAGTTTTTAAACTATAAAAATTAAATTTGGTATATAGACAGATGTTCTGAGAACCTCAAGCAATTGCTTGAATGATCAAAATCCTATAGCTGCTACATGAAAAAATTAATCCAAAATAATTAAAGTCTGTTATTGTTTAAATATGATATAAAAATATTGATTGGTAAAAATTGTTCTACGAGAACATGAATTTTACCCATAGTATCACACTATCTAATTATATTAGCCGTACAAATTACATTAAAAATTTTATATATGTATGTGAATCTGCCCTTCTGGGCGAAGCATTGAAGGTCTGTTCAAAGTTTAAATCAAACTCTGTTATGGAAATATGCAATTATGTGATTCCAAGAATAATCTGAACCTTTTCAATTTACGCAACACCGTTTTCTTCTAAGTTTGTGGTAATCTTCCATATTTCACTTCTATAAAATTGAACTGTCCATACATTTGTATTGAATACTAGAAGGTTTGCAGCTGTGGATATTGTTTGCATCCATTTTATATCTTCATATAAAAAACATTAGAAACTTCAATTACTAGAAGTAGTAAAATAAATGTGTCGTCGAGACGTTTTTATAAAATACTTTCTATAAAAATCTGCTTCTAAAGCTGTCGAAAGCATTATTAAAATCATTGAAGGTTGCATACATTAAACCTCAATATTTATTATATTAATTGTATACGGACGTATTGCATTATTAAAATCATTACAAGAAAAAGTAGGACTAAACTCTAATGTACATATATTCATTCAGTGAGCTTTCACCAACGTTAAAACTCCTTGCCTGGCAAATCGCTGTAAATTTCATTTGAAATAGAAATGATGATTCTGCTCATTCTGCGGCATTGACCTTTTTTTTGGTAATCTGGTCAAAATACCGTTACTCCTTCATTTTCTATATTTGTTATATGGCGAGTAACTACATAATTGCTTAAATGTTGTCGTTTCCTGAAGACGACAGTATTTTGTTAGTTATAAGATGTCATATAATACTATAACCTATGTTGGTACTGCCCAATTTATTACTCGAATTATTGGGTCAGATATAGTTGACATTGAGTCTTAGCAGGCTGTTATGTACTTCGTTGGAATTATCCGCCCATCTAAGTAGTTGTTCAACGCACCTCGTAAGTAGTTTTTATCTTGTACTAGGTAGGAATCAGCAATTTTTAATAAGAGCCTGATAGATTGTGGTTTTTAGTTGAAATAGAAATTAAAAGTTAGGGATGATAATGAACCATTCCGTGATTCGTTCCTAGCAACATGAATTTTTATTTTATGTATATTTTGATTAGCAATATTATATTCATGTATGTATTCTATTCTATATTAGCGTATAATTGAGCATATTTAACTTCTGTTTTGTAACTCTGGGAATGAAAGAGGTTGCTCAAAGCTGATGTTACCGACGTCTCCAGTTGTTGTAGCGCTGCCAATTTATATAAAAGCAATATGGAATTGAATGATTGGAATAAGAATTTAAATAATAATAATATTATTATTGAAACCCTTTTTTTTTATACAATAATTAACTTATTTATTAGTTGTGGTTCCAGTTTTTGAAATTAGATTTTAATATATAATTTTTTAGGTAAAATTAAAGCTGGTAACGTTTGAGACGGATTTTACCTAATTCCACTGTTATTATTAATCTAATAAAAAAAATCTGGTCCCGGCTCCCGAATTTAGTGACTTTTTTTTTTTTATTAAGTTTTTATATTTTTAATAAAAATATATATGACCAAAACTTCACGACTTCTTGTTACTACAACGGCAGGGAAGGTTAAACGTTGGTTTAACAAACCAATATATTTTCTTATGTTCCAGGTTCAATCCTTCGCACATGTGTAAAAGAAAAATGCGTTGAAATATTTTTATTTAAAAATTTAATTGTTTTTATAAACAATTGTAATTATAAAAACAAATTATTACTAAATTGTATTCCGGAGAGCCATAATTACTATTAATAAATAATTAATATTTGATTTTAAATTTATTGTATTTTTCGGACTAAAGCAGCAATTAAATTGAAAAAAATACAATATTTAATTTTTAAAAACTGGTAATTAGTGTGTTTATTGTTCAAAATAAATAAAAGTATATTAAAACTAAAAATATTAGCGAACTATTAAAAAATGGTAAAAAGTAATTTTTTTTTTATTTATAAAACACATTAAATAATTATAAAATATTTATTATTAAATAAAAAAAAAATATTTATGAGTTTTGAACTCGGGTCTATAAAATACAAGGCGGATCCAAAATCGACTTCCTTTTCTCTGTTCTATAAATAAATTTATATACCACACAAAACCATAAAATGGAAGTATAAGTCATTAAACGAAATTGAAATATAAATATTCATTAATTGAATTTATTGAGTTCATTGTATATCAGTGTTTTTTGTAAGTGTTTTTTATTAAGATAATAATCTCTGCATGGTTTATCAAACCACTGTTTCTCATTGGTCCTTCACACTGTATCGATTGCGGCTTTAGCAGAATCAGTTGAAATTTCGAGACTGTTTTCCAGTTCACAGTTACTAAGCCATTTTTCAGTAGTATTAGTTTCCATTAGAAATTGTTTCGAGTATCCTAGGGAAGCCAAGGTTTATACTGGCCTGCAGTGCCAAATATCCGTATTTCTAGTAAGTTCATTTAAATTTTTAAGTAAATTTTAAAAAACCGTTTGATTATGGTTTTAAAACTTCATGTCACAAATTTCTAGTAGTGGGTTTATTTCATCTAAAGGCGTTTGACACAATGTTGCACACTGTTTTGCATAATGACTTGACTTGTGCATCTATTCCATACTCACAAAACAATTGATCTACAAGTACCACCACATAATTAACAAAACGACTAATCTACAAATAATATTGCAAGTTCAAGCAGGTGTTACGCATGTCTAACATCTAACCTCAAAAAGTGATTTACAGTTATTATTTACATATGTCGACAATTTTGGTTTGTCTGTTAGCCCGTAAGGAATTTTATATTTAAAATCAGCATTTCCTCAAACACCTAACCAACAATTTTGGGTATTATTCCACTTCATTGTGTAATCGATTGAAGAGTCATAATAATTAATGTATTAAAAATGCTTTCTGGATGCTTTTGTGATAAATAAAAATTTTGCTAAATACATAATAAAATATTGGGCGTCTTATAGTAGTTTTCAATACAAAACTCTGCTTGACCCACCGGAATAACACTCAGACGTGTTATAATTCAACACTGTGCGGTAAAGTGTTCCGACATCGCGGCGATCTTTGAAACACAATGCTGCTTCATTTGTGAACCATATGATTTTTATTTTGCTTTTGGTTAGTGCCGAAGAAGTTAAATAAAACTTGTAGTCTAGTTTTGCATAAACGATTATCTTTTTTAATATTCGTTATAAATGGTTACTCACTTAAATTATTATAGTTATATTATTTATAAAAGCAAATATATAATATACATAAAATATACATAAAACATATGCAGAACATATCAAATATTTGCATAATTTTAAGTACTCTTCCTAAAATTTTAATTCAGAAATGTGAATCGCATTTATTTGAATTTGAATTCGAATTTAATAAAACCAGATTTTATAAAATTCTTATATATATCATTAAACAATATATGAGTACTCTTGACAATCTGTTTCTACCTTATATTGCGTTTACACTGGCTGAAAATTCATTTGTAATTCATTTGTTCTCATTTCAAACAGCTGATTTTTCAACTTGCATGTTGATTTGATTTTTGGCCTGTGCCAAAAAAATATTGCATGAAGGTTAAATATGCCGTCAAACCTTACAATATAAATTTAAAACATATTTTTCTAAAAAGAGTGCATTGTTTTCAAGGAAATGCAATCACCAAATATTTGTTTACCTTTTTTTGTAAATATATCAAAACTAGCTTTCTCAAACTGTCAAAATGCCATGAAAAGCCTTTATTTAGGGTATGATCCATTATATTCATTTGCATTTGGAACATATTTGGAACTCATTCTAACCTCGTTGCAACGCATTTATACAGAATGAGATCCAATGGATCTCATTTGCGTTTGAGATTTTGTATGCAAAAATGAGTCATTTGCTTCTCATTTTTGATTTTTGACCAAAATGAGCCATTTGAGGCCAGTGTAAATGCCAGATAAGGCACGGTGCACACAATAATGTGGCTGTTGATTATTTTGGATGCAGTACAAAGAAAGCTGGTGTATTTGATGTATTTTGTGTACTTATGTAATATTTATCTTAAATATAAAAAATAAAATATATTTTAAACATTTTAATCAGACTCTTATACCATGTTCTCACTGCAGTTAAATCAATTTATGTTAATCAAATTAAAAATTGGGCGTCTCCATTGACATAGGTTGATTTATGCATGTGGAAAGGCTTTTATGTGTCAGAAAGTTCTGGGAGAGCTTTTGTTTGTTTACATTTAAATTGTAAGACATCGACATTTTTAGTGTAATTTTCCCTAATTTATTTTAACTAAATTACAAAACACTAATGGGAACATACTATTACTGCGTATGTTTCTGTCGATTGTGCTTAATTTGAGTTATCGTTTAATTAAATAAAATTAAAAAATAAAAAAAAAACGAAAAAAATTTGTTTTTAAATAATTGAATAATTTGTTTGTTTATAAACAAATTGCATTTTTTTTATTATCAATTAATAATTTTAAATGATCATTTAATGTCATTATTATTTTATAATGAAGCTATCTTTTTATTTGTAACGATTTAAATAATTTATTTCTTTATAAACAAATGCATTTTTTTATTATCAATTAATAATTTTAAATGAACATTTAATTTTATTATTATATTATAATGTAACTATCTTTTTATATATAACGATTACTAACAGTTTATGAATTCTGTTGAAAATAAATAATTGTCTATTATAAAAGTCATATAACCATTAACTGTTCGATCCACACTGATTGAATGAACACACCTTTTGCGTAGCGTTCTATTTCTCATCCTATATAATTGGAATATGTTCACAGAAACGTTGACAATTTGTATATCACCACGATAATTAAATCCACGTCCTCTAGTATTCATATTTATAAATTAATTTTATGTTAAATAATGTATCTAATAAAACTTTACTTTCATTATAATTTAACTCTCGCTACTCTTCCTTTTATTTTTAAATGTATACAAAATCAGCTGTTTTCGTAGCCATCAATTCCACCTTAAGCGTATAGTTAAGATTTTCATTTATGTAGAACGCTTCAATTTTTAAACTAATTGAAACTAGTTGGACGGTTAAGGGCGTTATAATAAATAACGAACATGTGTATATAAATTGTTAATTTACTATTATTTTATATGTATCGCTTATTTATTGGTAACTAATTTAACATTTTTGTGTACTATTTCTAGAAACTTCTAAACGTAAATATACAAAGATTGTGCCTCCTAAAATTACGATAACAAGACCTATGGAGTCATATACAGAAGAGGAAAGTCTTAAATGCTTAAATTCACCAAATAAAACAGAACGCTTAGCTCATGTTAAGTATTTATTAAATAAAAAAATATTGAATAAAACAGTGAATACTCAGCCAACAACAGTTATCATAGAGCCAAAAAATGCTGTTACCAATATAAAACCAGCAAACTTCATGGTGCCTGAAAAGCAAAAAATTACACTGAAACCGCCAATCGCTACATATGGGAAAAGTGCACCTATAGTCAAAACACCAGATGATGTCTCGAGGTTATTACATTTTGATACAAGCAACAGGTGTAGTGGGACTTCTACAGAAACTTCAGCAGCACCCGTACACAAAATACTTAATTTTTCTAATAAGATGTCAACTCATCATAACCCCGGTTCGAAGAAACGTGTGGAATATAAACCAGCAACGTTTAAAGAGAGCTTTCAAAATTTTGTTAAACAGCAGAATAAACGTAATCTAAACTACAACAATCAAGCGTATATACCTCAAGCGCATCCAAACACCGAAAATATTAAGCAAATTAATCGCATAGTAGCTGTTACACCAGTTATTTGTAAATCTGAAAGCCATGCTTTAGCTGGACAAATATCCTTTCCGGAGGTTTCGCCCTTAAAATCGCCATTCCCAACTACTAGTTTAACGTGTGATACACCACTGCCAACGATATCTACTTTTAAAACATGTTTTCCTTTAAATTCACAAACTGAGATATTTGGCCAATTTCAACAGTCTACAACATTCTCAAATTTTGCTACCACATCGAATTCTAGTACATTGGAATCTGATAATAATCTCATTGTATTGGAGGATAAAGTGCTTACACAAGAAGAAAAAATTGACATTGCTGCATTGGGTCTGTCAAAGCAAAATATTGAAGTTCCACGAATCGAATTTAAACAACCTGCTTTGCCTGTAAAACCAAGAAACGTTGAATTTTCAAATGAAATAATACTTTCCGAAAGCACTTCTCGTGATGGGAAGAGTAAATCCATTTTGCAAATTCAAGATATCGAATTTTTGCCAATACAAGATACGCAAATTATCAAAATCATTGATCGAAATTTGGTTGATGATAAAGTCCTGACACCGAATTTTGCAAATAAATCGGAAGAATTTTTCGAAACCAAAGAACTTGATACGTGCGAAGGTAAAAAGGATGAAGAAAGTCAGGTGTATAAAAACGTCAAATATGATGAAAAATCCATTCCAGGGAATGAGTTACTTCCTTTAAATACGGATTCTATAAATAATATTATAATATTAGATTCTGTAAAAATAAACAATATAGTTTGTCCCGAAATTTTAGAACAAGAAAATCGAATTAATATTGAAAATACGATAGACTATTTTGATGAAAAATCAACGTTAACGATTCTTTCTTGCCAAGAAAACAGTACAGATTCTTATAAATCTAAAGGAAAACCATCGATAGAATTTGCTTCAAGTAAAGAAAATGAAGTTGAAAGTGCTATTGCCAGCCCGAATCAGATTGAAAGCGAACTTTCAATTTATTTAAAAGACGACAGTACTTCTCAAATTGAAAACAACAATAAATCACCACTAAATCACGATTCAAGTTCCAATCCAAGTAAAACAAATGCGTGCGATAAAATGAGTTCGAAAGCTAACAGTGATGACAAATCAGAGTTATTTAGAGATGACAAAACGTCTATGGAACACAAGAATGTAGAATTACAACGAAATTTAATGTCAAGACAAAGTAACTTAAATAAAAACGAAGAATTGAATATAAATATAAATAGTGATTCTGAATTAGAATTTTTGGAAGATACCACTTCCAATGAAAAAAACAAGAATACGTCAGCGTTTAATCGGGACTCATGCTCCAGAAATTCAGATGAAAGTGAAAATTTGGATATAAGCATAAATAGCGATGATGAATTAACAGGAGTAGATTTCATTAATTCTTTAACATCAGTAGCTGTTGGTATTACAGCAGCAGAAATGAAACTGGCCGCTTCGTTTGTAATGGATGACGCAGATACAGATATACTACTTTCACCAAAGACAGATAATGTAGAGTCGAGTATGTCGTTACATGAGACAAGTGATGAAAATGCTGTGATAACTAAAGATGTCAATGAAGAGTCATACGAAAACATGAAGCCAATTGGAGAAAAATATGAAAAATTTTTAAAAGATGATGTCAAGAGATGTGTCACGCAAGAAGAAATTTCAGAAAGTGTGAAAGAATTGCATGTAGTGAATGTAACGGAATCAGAGAAAGTTAGTGAAAAAATCACTACAACTACAGAAGTTATACTTCAGAATAAATATTTAATAGATTTAAATTCTAACAATGCTGATACATCGTCCGATGTCAGAAGTTTTGTGCCGGTAAAAATATCAAATAAGTCGGAATCGGTTAAAACAGGTTATGAAATACTCAAAGAGGGGGATGTTGAGATTGAAAAGGACTATATAGATAATGTATCATCTCAAATTATAGAAAGTATATATCATGGTAGAGATCTGAAAGTTTCAAATTTACGCGATTCCTTATCAAACGACATTCTAACTACAGAAGTTACAAATGAGCATATCATTATCGTAGATAAATCGATTGAAGCAGATAACTTACTTTCTAAAGATGATGATGTTGACGTCAGTGAATATAAAGCTGATGCATGCATTTATCTTACTTCGGAAATTATGTTTCAGTGTGAAGACAATAAAAATGTCAACCCAGAAAATGCCTTAGAAACCAGAAAAAGTTCAGAAAAAGTTTCAAATGCATTTGAGTCTATTGCAGATGTAAGTCAATCAAATACAGCAGGCTCCAATCTGCTTAAGAATGATGATAAGAGTACAAACGAAGATATAACCCATATTGTTCCATCAATTAAAAATAAAAGTTCAGACTGTGGTTTAGAAAATTTTACAATTTCCGAGAAAATTTCAAATGAATTTGCCTTTAGTACTGTTGTAGGTGAGACTGTTGAAAAAGTCGTTAGTCCACTCGAAAAGGTTGGTAACGATTACAAATGTATAGACCAAGCGTACTTAAACGAAGAAATACGTAGAAACCATATGCAACCGAGTATAAGTAATTTGCAGGAAAGTAATAATAAAAATGTCTTAAATAAAATTGATAGTGATTCGAAAAATAATATTACAGAGATTACTGATATAGAATTACCCAATAAAGAAAGTAATGACAATTTTGAAAAAATAGATGAGAAAGCTTTAATCGAAACAACAACAACAAAAAACAGTTCTACAGAAACTTCCGTTTCGAAACGTCCTTCAAGATTAAAAAAAGGCAAAATTAATTTAGTGCAACGTAAGAAGGTAAGCACACAACCAAAACTAGTTCCAACAAAGTTGGCGATAGAACGAGCCCCCCCCGGTACAGAGATTATATCAACAGATGTTCTCAATAAATTTGATGTGTTATCCTCTAATGCAGATATTGATGTTAAAGAAATTATAGATACATCTATTCATGAACTCAAAGAAAACTCCTCACAAATTGAAATTCATGTAGAGATTGAACGAAGCACCTCAGATGAAGAGATTATATCAGCTGATGTTCTTAACAAATTAGATGTGCAATCGACTGATGTGGATAATGATTTTAAAGAAATTAAAGATGCTCCACAGAAAAATATTTATGGATTCAAAGAAAACTTCTTACAAAATGAAACTCATGCAGAGATTGAACGCAGCACCTCAGATGAAGAGATTATATCAGCAGATGTTCCTAACAAATTAGATGTGATATCGACTGATGTGGATAATGATTTTAAAGAAATTAAAGATGCTCCGCAGAAAAATATTTATGCATTCAAAGAAAACTCTTTACAAAATGAACTTCATGCAGGGATTGAACGAAGTACCTCAGATGAAGAGATTATAACAGCAGATGTTCCTAACAAATTAGATGTGCTATCGACTGATCTGGATAATGATTTTAAAGAAATTAAAGATGCTCCACAGAAAAATATTTATGGATTCAAAGAAAACTCCTTACAAAATGAACTTCATGCATCAGGTAGAAAATCATCAGCCGAAAAGAAATCTTTAATTCTAAATGCGATTAAAGATCCTCCAAAACAAATATTAGCCGCAGCGCAAAATCCATTTAAGTGTATTGATAAGAAGAAACCTGGTATATGTAGTCTGTTGAAAAATTTGGAAAATACTGAAACTTCAAATTCTAATATAAATTTTAAAAGTAATATTAGTTTAAATGAGTCCGAAGTAAATACAACAGAAAAAGAAACAGTTCAAAAGGCGCAAGTAGAATTAAGTACCACAGCCCATTTAGAAACTTTAGATCAAGGCAAAGATAATGGAAAAGTCTTTTCCTTTGTAAGTGAGATTGTATCTGAAAAACCATCAAATGAATCTGCGCATATTATCAATGAACTAATTACAGAAAATAAACCAATTCTATTGAATGAACATAAAAATAAGAAAGAAATGTACAGTAATTGCGATTTGAACAATGCACATGTAGGATTTGAATATCAAAATATGGTAAAAGAACATTTAAAAAAGGACTGTAACACATCAAATCAAACAAAAGATGTTCATTTGAAAATAGAGAAAGATAATATTTCAACTAACTTGATACGAGGTCTTCATAAAACAATTGAATGTGAAAGCATAGCATTATCGGAAAAAAATTTAATGCAAGATCAAATGGAAAGTAAAGAGCGGCATATTGATTTTAAAAATTTAAAAAGTGAAGCGTTAGAAAATAATGAATCTTCCAAACAAAACTTTAAGAGAAGTTACTTTGAAAGTTTCAGTGTTAATGTAGATGAAGTGCACAATTCCTCGGATGATTTATCTTTGAAAAAATTTGAAAAGAAATCTCGAATTGATAGAACCTATGTAAGTAGCGACGATAATTCCCTTAATGATGAAACTGCATTTGAGTATACCTCACAGAGGCAATTTTTAATAAGAAATCGTAAACGATTACGCAAAACTGCTGAGCAATTAAGTAAACATATTACTTCAGTTGTATCTGAATCCGATGATGACAAAGAGTCACGTGATGATGATGATTTTTTAGGGTTCGAAGAATTATCTGTATACTCTGAAAGTGTAAATAAACGATCAGATATTATAAATAATTCATTATATGATAATTTAGTTTTAAAAGACCTAAAAAAGGTCTGCACTTCTAAAAAAGTGCAAACACCACAGAAGGCAAATATGAACTTAGTTCCGAAAAGCAATATATCGATACATAAGAAAATGAAAAAGCGTTGGGAATTACAACAGCAACCGTCATCGGAAACTGACATTACTGATGACACATCACCTGCTGATGATGAATGCGATGACAATCTAAATATTAAAACTAAACATCAAACTCAAAATATTATTACTAATCATTTTCAAACTGATCCGATATTAAATTTGGACTCAGTTGTAAAAGGGACCCCAGTGACAAATTTAGTAATCCAGGAGTTATTAGATTCAAACCATCAAAAACAAAATTTTGAAAGTACCAATCCGTTCTGCCAATCATTAAATTTGAAGTTAAATAATTTAAAAGATGTAGATATGGACTTTGAAAATTTTGAGTTATGTAAAAGCGAAGAAAATAAAAAAAGCGGTGCAGAACTTAACGGAATTCCAGTAATATCTGATGCTAAGGTCATAGAATGTGTAAACAATTTGAATGAATCTGATTATGCACAAAACAATACAGGAAACAATAAAGTTGTCTCATGTAATGAAAATTCTGAATCTCATATTGAGGATTGTACTAAAAATTCAATTCTCAAAGATAATATCTATTCCGAACTTATGATAAAAGATGATGGTGAAATAAAGAAGAAACGTGGTAGAAAAAGAAAATATATTGAAACATCTGATAGAATTTGTATTGTAGATGTTTCTAAAAATTCATTACAGAAACAAACAATGGACACAGTAAAAAATGATCACAAACCTACCACAGAAAAAATGATTCCTATCCCAACAAGTGAAAGTGTAGACACGTCCGCGTCCTATTCTGTTTTTAAATCAGTCGCAGAGATTGTGAGCGATCAGCCGAAATTAGTTCCTACTTCCATTGAAAAATCAATTTCAGATAAATGTCTTGATTCAAAATCTGTTAGTATGGGCGAAACTACTAGCAGTACAAATACTACAACGGAAATTCAATTGTTGAATGTCGATAATAACAAAACGCTACCTTTTATAGGTGCACATCCCGACACATTAAAAGAAGATGATCGAAAGGAGTCTGAAATTAGTGATAAAAGTGTGAGAATGAATTCATCTCAAACCATTTGCACTACAAACACCGTTACAAAGAAAAAATGTGGACGACCTAAATTAAATTCTACAAAAAAGGATATCACACCAAAAAAAATTACTGATGCAAGTAATCTCCATTCAAACAAAATTGTGATTATCTCTGAGGATAAGGATAGTGTATCAAATTCAGAGATTGATATTAGTGATAAGTCGAAAATTGACATTACTTCAATTGAAAATTTACAAAACCCGCTTCATACAACATTTGCTATTGCTGGTGAAAGTAACAACGATGAAAATATTACGGATATGTCAAAGTTAGATCATTCTTTTAAAAAGGAGAATGAAACCAGCTTAATAAGTTCTGTGATGAATTTGTCGCGAAGCAAGTGTGATTTAAATGTTGCTACAAAGAAAAAACGTGGACGACCTAAGCTTACTTCTATCCAAGATGAAACCACACCAACAGATAATTACATTCCAAATAATAATTTAGGCATTAAAGAACAGAAAAAACGTGGCCGTCGTTCAAAAGTTTTAGCTGATGAGGACCCTTCGTGCAATAGCGTGAGAACAAATAATGGTAAGTAGGTTATGAAAAAGAAGAAAATTGAGCAAAAATTTGAATTTATAAAAAATTGCAGAAGACAACGAGACTTCAATAGAAGTTGCACATCAGAGTCAGCTTTTTAATCCGAGTCCAACAAGCAGTTACATTCCAAATGAAAGTCCAATAGTTGAACAGAAGAAAAAACGGGGTCGCCCATCCAAAGTATTTCTTAGAAATGATGCACTTAAAAGTAAGAGGGAAAAACCTATATTAAAAAAATAACTTTTAATTTACATAAAATTGCAGATGAAGGTGATATCTCAGCAGAATTTGAAACTCAGGGAGAGCCCTTTAATCCAAGACTGTTGCTTATACGCCATCGCGATGAATTAGAGTCCGAAAAAGTACTTACGGAACCGGAGGACCCGAATACAGTTGCAACAACTCAATGTGGGCTTTGCTTAGGAAATACAACCAAAAAGAATTGGGTAAAGCATTTGTGTGAACATTACGGTGTTGGTTGGATTCAAGGAGAAAATAGAATTGTAAATTCTAAGATTATTTAAATGTTTTCGTTTAATCGATGACTTTATATTTACTTTAGAATGTTAGATCGCGTTCAATCGTGATGTCAACAATGATAAATTTTTACAAAAAGGAATCAATACAGGCTCTAAAGTGTCGGATGTGCTCCCGGGCATATCGGTCGGCTCTGGGCTTATTAATGCATATTGAAGTTTGTGGTTTAAATTCAGTACGTGTTTCCTGCGAATTCTGCAATAAAGAATGCACCAAATTTACGTTAATAGTACATTTACGCTCGTGTTCGCGTCGATTTGGAGAGAGAAGTCCAAGTAAAGAAAAAGAGAAAGAGAAGGAAATAGAAAAAGAAGAGGTTTTTAATAATGTCGGTCGGGTTAAGAGAACATCACTTATGAAGTAAATATAGAATCGGAATACCCTGTACTCTCAATTATTAATTTAATAATATTTTTTATTTAGAGCTGAAAAGAAATTGAAAGCTATTGGTGAGGAGTTTAAAAACTCAGCGCTCGAAATGGATGAAAATAATTTTAAAAATGTAATATTGTTAATTGTTAATATTGTTTATATTGAATGCAATTAATATTTATATTTTTAGTACTTTAAATATGAACTCTCATTGAAAGAGCATGAAGAAATTTTGGCAAACGCGTTTAATAAACTTGATGTAGTTAAATGCCCAGCAAAAACATGCCATTCAATATTAGAAAGAGAGCAAATCAAGGAACATTTAAGCGTATGTCAGCTTTTGTCAAAATCAGGATACCATTGCTTAATGTGCACCAATGTGTTATTGGCCACTAAGGAAGAAGCTATTAAACATCTCATATCGCTTCATAAAAACGACTTAAAGTTAGATTTCGAAGATGATGGGTCGAACTGCAGCGTAAAAAGTGGAGAAGAACCCAGTGATGATGATGACTGTTCGTCAGGTGTTAACTCTGATGAAAGTAATGATGAAGAGGGTTCAGCTAAAAGTATTACTCTTAGTGTGCGAAGATTTCAGTCTAAGGAAAGAAAAACTCCTAGAATAATTTTGAATAAAAGAGGTTCGTATTTAATGGCATAATAACTATTTGTTGATTAATTACTTTACTGCTTTTTATTTCTTTTAGTATATCCACAACGTTGTTCTGATCCCACAGAGTTGGTGAAACGCAAATGGAAGCAGTTGTAAGTGCCGGTTACTTAAACTTATAATTAATAAATATGTATATAAGAAAAAATATTTTTATTTCCAGTACTTCCAAAAATTTTAATAAATCCCCTCTCTACATTAATGCGTCACCCTCGTATTCGATAAGCTCAGAAACGAATATAAGAAATCGTTTATTGTCCTCAGAAACTTCAATGAAATTTGCTGTTTCTGATAAACATACGTTTACGAGTGCGCTTGGAACTATGGAGCACGATGAATGGATGGAACTTAAACGATTTGAATCAACAAACTTTCATAGTATGCTTCAGAATTTTATTATTTGTTCAGTTTGCAAAAATACTTAACTACTTTATTTACAGACGAGCATTTAATATATATTGGTGGCCCTATCAAAATGATTGCTTGGGTACCACTTCCGAAACAAGTTCAAGAGCAATATTTCGCTGTAATATACCGAAAGAGTATGGAGAAATTTAGCCGTTATCAAAACACAAAAGTAAATCCTACGTTTATTTTGATATACCAAATGAAGCAAAACGCGACAATAATTGAAGCTAAATTACATTATGCCATTAATGTGTCCGAAGGTCCAGTGCATTGTTTATCATTTTTACCAAGTGGCGGTTATGATGAAACAACTAACCGATTGGGGTTATTGGCTGTTGGTAGTGTAAAAAATGAAATTAACATATATTCGCTACCATTGAAGTTAACTGCTGATCCGGATTCAGAGTTCAAAATAATTGATCTAAAACCTTATTTTGTTTTATGCGATAATCATCCTGATAACGAATCAAGTAATGAAGACTTAATAAAAACACAATGTTTACAAATTTGTTGGTCGAAGGTAAGCGAGATTTGCTATAATAATTAAGGTCCCTCTTATTAACATTACTTCTGAATATCAATAGGCGATCGGGCATAACCACATATTTGCTAGTTTTCACAATGGTTGTATCGGCATATGGGATATTAATACCGATGAAAATGTAAACATAAACAGCTTTCAGAAAAATGGTCTCAATATGTTCGTACCCTTAAACTATTTCTTTGTTGGAGAAACAATTGTTAATGGTAAGTATAGATTGTTTAAACGTTTTGGAATTATATTTCTAAATATAATATATAACAAATTTTTAAAAAACTTTAATATTCTCTTCATTATTCATGAATAAAAAACTGTAGATATTATTTAAGTTCACGAATTTCGTTATATTGATTAACTTAAACACGCTTCAGTAACGAAATATTTAAGATTAAAAAAAATTGTTCACTGAAAAATAATATTATTTAACATTTAATTAAAATAAAGTTCGACCATCAGTTGGCTAATGAACGCTGACTCTAACCTTTAAATGTGGCAGGAAACGAGTTCAACCCTTGGTAATTGCAGTTTAAAAAAATTTATAAGAAATAATTAAATAATTAATAATTAAATAATATAATAAATAATTAGATACAAGAAATAATACCAAGCCGACTGATGATGGGTATTTGGCAATATTCGAAACAGTCTATGGTCAGCCAAAATTCAATTAATTAAATAATATAAAAAATAGTTGTTGTTGTAGTTTACTACCTTTCGAAACCTTTCATAAAAAAGTTACAAAAATAAATTAGAATGTGGTCTGTTTCAATTTGTATACGAGTATAAATACATTTAAGATTTTATTATACATTATATGCACAAAAGATCGACCACATAAGGTTTTGAAACTCAATTTAGTTGAAGTATTTAACGCGAATACAAACGAGTAATGAATCGAAAACACTTATTCCATAGAGAAAACTTCTAACTTCTACACAAATAACTGTAGTCTAACTGTAGTATGACGCAAGGGTTGGCTTTGGATTCTTCTTGAATTATTTAAGATGGTCTGTTCGTTTTTTTGATCGCTGTATTGTTTCTCAAGTAGACGTTGTTTGATTCTTCAATCAAGAATTTGGTTGTTTAATAATATTACTATTAATCTCATCAAGTGAATGTTGAAATTAAATGTTGCTAAGTATATCTAATATGGGTTCCGGAACACAATGACATTGAAGGGAACTATATGATTAACGAATTGATTAGATATATTGCAATATCTATCAGCTACCTTTAAAATATTGTTCAGAAATAGTGTTATTCTATAAATCAACAAATACTTTTTTAACGTCAAGGGTATCTATAAGGTTATGATATGCATCAGTGATGTATCTACGGAAGGATTTAGGATTTAGGATACCTTGATTGAATAATGAATTACAAGAATACTAGCAAAAAAATATTATAAAGTATTTCTCTTCCCCGCGGCGATTTTTGATTATGGCACTAATTTGTATAACCGGCTAGAATATTGTTATCATTAATAACGTATATCAGGGCTATCCATTACCCCATACGTTCACGGGCCAAAACCAATTACTGTGCAGATAGGAGGGCTGCTGAAACAAGAACATACGTTCATGGTTTTTTTTTTTTAATAAAAAATACGGGGATGATGTTAAATTAAGTGTAATTAATTTGATTAATTTGAATTTTTTTTCTTGGGTCACCATAAAAATAAAATAATGTGATGTTACTAAAATATGACAAAGAAAAATTTGCCTAATTGTGGTAGATTAGAATCATGTCGCGGAGCACACAAATATTAGCCGCGGACCACAAGAGGCCCGTGAGCTGTGCTTTGGACGTAACAGAGAAAGAAACAGTGAAATAAATCCTCTGCATCTGCTTTTAGCTAGCTTTAAGTAGAAGTGTAGAATATTTACTAAACATTTATGCATTTAGATCTCTTAAGTATTCTGGTCTCAAGGATACTTGAATTAGTTCCATAAGTAATAAGCAGTTAATAGTGTGTGGTACTAGTATCATAACCAACCTTCAGAGTCTGAGTGAATTACTTAAGAACGAGTGCAACTTAAGAACGAAATAATTTAATTGAATTATTCTTTTGCAATTTTTTTATATGTTATAAAATTTTATTGTAAATAATCCAAGAATGTTGTTTATTTTTAGCTTTAGATGTGCATTATGATACAAATGGTCCCCGTTGGCTTGCCGCCGCATGTGCTCGAAGGAAACTCATTGTATTTGATATACGAGACTTGACTCAACCAATTATTCTTAAGGAAGAAAACTTGAAAAATCTTATTCGTAGTTTAGATTGGCCAATTGTGTGGGAAACAGTGAATGTTGGACTCTGTGATACATTACCAGGCTGTACGTATAAACACATTATGCAAACTATATGTTTGGATACCTATAATATTTGTTTAAATTCTTTTTGCAGATGGTTGTACAGCAGTAGCAGTAAGTCCTATAAACATTTGTTACAGCAATTGCAGAATTGATAGCATGCTTTGTGGAATCGGTCAAATACATTATAATCCAAACATTAATATACAGGTCTGTGGATCAGACAATGGTGATATAGTGTTTTTGAATGTACGGGAGCTACACTTGGATGATATACTACTAAAAACTTTACAAAATTCAAGAGCAGTTGCTGCAATGGATCTAAAATGTTTGAATAATACTATAATACCAAAATGTATAAATACTGAATGGCAATTGCATGAAAAAGATTATAAAAATCGTTATGGCGTTGTGTTCGGACCTATATTAAAGGTAAATTGTCGACATAATTGAAGTATATTTGAATAAATTATTGCTATAATTAATTTTTTTTTTATTTTTAGTATAAACCGGAAAATAAAACCAGTTATTTAAATAAAGAACGTATACCTAAGCTTAATTTGTTACGTTATACACAAATAAATTCAATCAGATGGAATATTAATCCTAACTGCAGTAAATTTCTTGCTGTTGGGTATGAAAACGGTTTCCTTAGGTTAATTAATTTTAATAAAAAAGCATATTTTCATCAATAACACATATAAATAAATAAAAAAATTTAAGAATTTGTATATATTTATAAATACTACTTGTAAGATATTTGTTATATTAATTTTTAAGTGCTTCTGCTTAAGGGATGAAATTGTTATTATTTATAATCTTTATAAATAAGTTTATATGAATAAATACAAGAATTCGAAATGCGCTATTTATTACTAAAATAAATACAAAGCTTTTTTTATAAGTCCGTGAATAGTTATGTAATTAGTTATATTTTATAAGTCCGTGAATAGTTATGTAATTAGTTATAATAAAAGTAAAACTTCGAATCTATTTGAAGCCATTTCAACTTGATGCAACAGAGTATTCTTTAAAAATTAAAATAATTTAATATGGAGTAGTGATTAATTTTTCTGTAAAAGAAAGGCAATGGAAATTCTAACAGATTTTTTTTCAAAGTAGACGTATCAGTCTTGAAGATGGTATACGTGAACTACGTTCAAGAACTGCAACAACACAAGAAATAGTGGTAAAAATACAGGATACCAGTTCTCGACGATCATCAATTGACCAAGAGCGATTTGAAAGATGGTCAAGGTATTAAGCTTACTAATCAATTTATAATATAAAGTTTTGAGTTTTGAAAAGTTCTGTGCCAGCCCTTAAACAACCATTAACTTTTGCCCTTCCAGCACAGCAGTTCTTCTTTGTTTTAAATTATTAAAAAAAGTATTTGGTGCTGATTTTAAATCATTCTCATTTTGAATCATTAAATCAATTTATTTGTTTTTCTAGTACAAGGAGTTTAAAATTAAATTAAGTGTAAATATTTTTTGCATCAATTTGCATGCGTAAATTAGATGTTTTCATTCAGCCGGAGCTGGTTCAGGAGGATGTTCAGCAGGGGCAGGTTCAGCTGCTGGAGGTTCAGCAGCTGGTTCTGCGGGCGGTGCTACAGGTGGTTCGGCAGGTGGTTCTGCGGGTGATTCTGCAGGTGCTTCGGCAGGTGGTTCTGTAGGTGGCGCAGCTGCATCAGCTGCCGTGGTTTCAGGTGCAGGTTGCTCAGGTGCAGCTGTGGCACCGTCTGCCGGCATTTCGGCTGCTGCCGTATGCTCTCCTTCACCTTCCTCGCCTTCTGCCATACCCATTTCTCCTTCTCCTTCTACTCCCAATCCTTCTTCCAATCTTTCTCCTAATCCTTCCTCCATTTCCATTTCATCTCCCATCTTCATTTCTTCATCATCTACATCGCCATCAAAATCTTCCACAGATACGATCGAAGCTTTACGCTGTTCTTCGCCTGGAGCATCTTTTTTAGAAGCCTTTGAGAATATAAAAAGTTGTATATACCATTATGTAAAAATGTAATGTGCAGTTATATTTTACCTTCTTTGATTTCTTATCATCTGTGGGACTCTCTGCTTCTTCCAAATAATTTTTGGGAAACAGTTTTAACGCTTCCTCGTGACCAATAACAGTGTTAGGACTCACGTAGCTTGGCCCGGAAGTCGCCAATGCCAGCATGGTTTGAGATGTTGCTTTGTATACTTTAAATATAATTTTATAGTTCCTGTAAGGATACAATAAAAATAATTATGCATTACTTTGTTTTTAGGCTAATAAGTTTTCATGTGCTAGAAATTTTCATTAGAGTTACTTACGGTAAATGTTTCACATGAGCATATTCTTGAGCGTTTCTAGCAATAAGCTGAGCTTCTTCAACTTCGTCGCTTGAGAAAATACCATAACAAGGTATATCGTTTTTGTGCTTATTAACTAAGTACATTAGATCTTTTCTTTTATAAGCGTCAAAGGCCATTATTATATGAGGAGGTTCTGGTGTTGGATCAGGTGGTAAGAATGGAGTAGTTTGATTGTAGAAGAAGACATAAATTAATGCCGCATGTGTGCGGTTATTGTTAGGAACCCAAATAGGAGGAATTTTTAATTTCACTTTACGATACCGTTTAACTGGCTCTGGTATAACTTCTTCTTCTTCAACTTGTTCTTCATTAAAATCATCAAGTGGGTTGTCCATAAAGAAATCCATTTGTTCGTACCCTTCTTCATGTTGTTCTACCCCTTCATTTTCTTCATTTGTTTCGCCTTCTGGTTTCGGTTCTTCTTTAACTTCGGCAGCTTTTACAGAATGTGTAGATCCAGGTTTTGCGTGATGTACTTCTTCTTCAACCTCTTCTTCATATTCTTCACCCTCTATAAAGGAATTATGTTTTTATATATAAATAGCTAATATTAAAAAGAACTGTATTGAATTATCAAACCTTTTAACTCAACTTCCAGCGTAACATTTAATGGTTCTAAGATTGGTGGTAATTCAGGTAATTCGGTATTTAATTCATCAGGATTTTTACGTTTTGTGATTAATTCATGTTCATATCCCATTAATACTTCACAAACCATTTTTTTACTATCTTCAGGCTTTTTCCAATAGCAAAGTAAATGCTCCTTACCATCCATGTAGTCAAGTACATCAGGAGTTAGTGGATTATTACAAGCAAAATTGATGATCTCAAAACTTTCTTTGTTTAATGGCACGACTTTGCGATCCTTGCATTGAATTTTTAGTAAATCAGCTGGTTCCATAACTTTTTTGAACATATCTCGGTTAACTTGTGGCCCAAAAAGTGTAACACCCATTTCTGGTAAGTTTTCCATTATCGTATCTGTTACAAAAGTTAGGTAATCGTTTCGTTCTCTTAGTTTCTCTTCTTCTTCTTTACGTAACTCCTCCGCCAATTCCTCATCTTTCTGCTGTTTTATTGCCAATTCTCTCGGATGTAATTCATCTAAATTATAACGAGATCGTTCTTTTGCATTTAGCATACCTAATTCTTTTGTTATAAGAGACATAAGTTTCGGGACGCTTGATCCAAAAAGAAGATTTACAGCTTTCCCACGCTTAAAATATGAATAAAAAACATCAATACATTATTACTTTAGTTGATACTATGGTAAGTTTTGGTGAATTTTTTCATAGAATAAACTTCTTTTTAATAATAAATAATAATAACTTCTAATGATTTCAATTAATTTTTGAACTTCTTGAAATGTAGCACTTATAAGGAAATAAACCCAAGTGTATAATTAATAATATATGTATCCAAAACAAAATATTCAATTCATACCGTACAAAACATCCATGTGGGTTCACTTTTCCTTCGAAATCGCTCAAATGCTGATATTGTATCAGCTTTGCACTTTTAGAAAATAAATTAGACTCTGTTTCAGTTTGTTTTTTCCTATTTTAAACGAAAATACTCACAATAGCCAATTGCAGATTATCTCCTCCTAGTTCTAGTTTAATTTTTCTTAAACTGCCCACCATGCCAAGACAGGGACCGCACCATTCCGAGTATATGTCCAATACTACTCATAAAATATCTACGACCATTAATTTAATTTAAACTTATTTGAAATCCGTACCTAGTAAACCTGGTCGTTCCATGAATTTTTCAAGGTCTTCATCTGTTTGGATATCTGCTTGAAGTTGTTGTACAGCTCCCTTCTTCGCCATGGTGCGTTCTGTTCTGTTTAATTAATTAACACAAAAATTTCGATGTGGTTTAGCCAAAAATTTTGAAACAAATTCCAAATAATTTAATTTTAAATCATATTTTAATTTATTTTTTATATTTTGACTTAATACATTTAAATCGATCAAACATTTTTCATTCCTTTTTTCCTTTCCATTGTTCAATTGGATTGGTTGCCAACGCAACTCTCCTTGAGGGACGAAATGCTTAACTATCGTTTGATTTCTTTTCTAAAATACATAAAAAATAAAATTAAAATAAATTTATAAAAATTTAATTTGACACTACATTAATAACAAATTTTTTCAGTTCCATATGTATTTTTGAAAAATAAATTAAATCTTTGAAGAAAACATTGGAACCTTGGATTAATTGATGGAGCATAGGAGAATAACATTTATATTCATGAAAATTATATGAACTAGTACTTTGGTTTTACCAGTAAATAAAATAAGGAAGAGGTATTACCCAATAATATTTAGATCTATCTACTTTAGATCTACCTAGATCTATCTAGATACTTTAGATCTATAAGTATCTTTTAGTTTAAGATTTCAATATTTTAAGTTTACTTCTTAAGGTGAGGGCAATTTGTTTGCATTGAAAAATACTTATTATGATAATATTCATAGTAAAATTCTTTTTTTATGCAAAAGTTGTTATAGGACCAGTCATTAAACAAAGGAGGCACAACTTTTTTCGTATATGTCACGTCATTCAAAAGGTCTAAAGTGATATTTCAATACTTCCTCAATTTTGTAACTAGCTCGATTTGGCACTGACAACAGCTTCATTTCCTCAACAATCATTTTACAAAGTTCAGGACCTTCGGAGCCTGAATACATATTAACAGCTTTGCCTTTCTATTGAAATTTTGAAAGGAAAAACATATTATTTTATAAAACATGAGCAGCTACATTCGCTTACATTGACAAATATCCAAACAGGTTTACTTTTTCTTCGAAATCTTTTTAAAGTTGAGATAGTGTCAGCTTTGCACTGTTTAGATAAAGTACACAAAAATAATACATTCTCAACTAATTCGATTAAATATAAGGTTTTTTTATATTTACCACAGCCAAATGCAAATTATCGCCGCCCATTTTATTCCTGACTTTTTCTAAACTACCAACCATGCCAAGACAAGGACCACACCATTCCGAGTACACTTCCAGTACTAAAGTAAAAAATTAATTACGTTTCAAAGTGATCCATTCAAAAATGAAAGATTCTTATGATAATGTTACCCAATAATCCTTTCTGTTTAAGAAACTTTTTTAATTCCTCATCAGTGCTGACCTTTATTTGTATATTCTCTTTCTCTTTCTTGGACATGGCGAGCATTTTTGATACTGATTTGTTTAATGGGTGCGGGCGATTCGCAATTTGTATTGTCTAAATTTTGATAAAGGCCTAAAGGGAAATATGATTAATCTAAAAATAATTTTTTTTAAAAATTTTGTGTTTGAATATATCCAAAATAAAAAATCAAATCATACATGATTATAATAAAATTATCATTAAAACTGATATTGTTGTTTTTATGTATTTCAAGACGGCAACAAAAGGACATTCAAACACTTTTGGTGTGAACTTTTTAACTGAGTCATGTGAGTAATTGTTGAACTTATGTTCGTATATTTGCCAATACATTTGGAGTTTCTCTTCAACACAGGAAGAGTACCGTTAGGATATGAGTCGATGATGAGGGAAAGCTTAAGTAGAAGTTTAAGGTCGGTCTAACTAGCTGTTTATAAGTGGAGAGAATTTATTTTTGAGGTTAAATTTGCGACTATATAAAGATGGCCAATACCGGTCGAAATCTTTGTCTAAAGGATATGAGTCGATGATGAGGGAAAGTTTAAGTAGAAGTTTAAGGTTGGCTTAACTAGCTGTTTATACCATAAGTGGAGAAAATTCATTTTGGATGTTAAATTTGCGACTATTTAAAGATGGCCAATACAGGTCGAGGTTGAGTTTGCATAGCTTGAGTTTCTTTGATGCGTTTGTCGGTGTTTCATGCGAACTGTTTGTCATAAGTAAGGTCTATTATCTTAATACCAAACTCATAGCTCTTCAATTATGCTGTTTTGTATTGTTGTCATCACATTCATGTATAATTTAAGGAAAGACAAGTGTATGCTAACATGACAAAAAATATGACATCTCGAAAGAAAGTATTATGCCAAACAAACGAACTTGGTCCATTGAATGGCAATATTCCACACATATATTTAGGGAATACACAAGGTTCGAAAATTAGCACCACATAAAATCAATACTTTTTGCTAGATATTGAGAACAGTTGCTATTTTTTTATATAAAAGATAATCATCATATTGCCATTAAACCGAGCGATTATTATACTGAATGTTATTATTTCTATATATTACGTTGAGTCAATTAAGGTGGGAGAAATAATTCCAGTAGAAAAATATCTTATATATGTAAATTTTTACAGTTTTTACAATTAGTTTATAATTACAATTTTTACTTTTTAAAAAAAAGTAATAGTAGACCACACTTTTAGGCGACAGATTGCACATCATAACAACTTCTTTACTCCTACTTCACTATTTCATTCATACAATACTTTAACTCCATATTTTCTTAAAACCTTATATTTACAATAGTTACCTTCGCATTCTTGACGACCTCTTGAGTATGTTAAGTTGCGACGTCACCTTACTTTTACTACACAGATAGGAAGTCCAGTGATATTAGTCTACTAATAACCCTAATATAAATTTTATTTTAATCAAATTAAAATAACAGAAAATCAAGACGAATTCTTTGAGATAATAGCGTAATATTGTAAAAGAAGTATTGTATTAGAGCATTCTATAGATGATATAGATATTACGACAATTTTGATCTTTTTATTATGAATGACCTGTTATATTCGATTCTTGCTACGCCATTATTTGGAATTTTTTTGTCGTTGTAACAAAATAAGAAATGAACCACAACACGGCGATTGTAACCGTAGCTCAGAAAGCTAAGCGACGTGACTATTAAGTCCAGAAATTTTTCAAAGATTCGAGTTCAATACACAGCTTAGCCAAACTTTTTTTTATTTATACCGATATATATTTAGGGCTAAACACTTTTTAAAGGAAACATTCTTATTTCCATTTGTCCATTTGCCCATTCGTCCATTTGTCTATTAGTCTAGAATAGACTGGGTCAAATTGCTATGTAAAATTAATAGGCACACTTACACATAACTGTCATTAAATGGACCAATTGACATAGGACTAGTTCAAGTAGTAGTCTTCGGGTACTAGTATCAAAGTATCAATGGGGTTTGTTTAACAACAGTTTAAGTACTCACGAGAATGGTTATTTACTTAAATTTTAAAACCAAAGGCATAAATTTGATACATAATCGTATTTACTCACGGGTTCTATAATTGAAAAAGCTTCTATATATTTAATAGCATATTAAAATCAAAGACCAAAAATGTCACTATATCGTGGCTTAATATAGGTGATTCACAAAGAATAACGTTAGTGTTCAAATGCATCAAACAGATAATATCATCTATTTAGGAATTAACTTAGATACAAAATTAAGATGACGTAAGCACAAAAAAAAAATATCCTGATCAAAGTTTACATTGGTAAAGTGAACTATCTTCTCAACAGCTAATTCCGTTTTAGCTTCGAGTATAAAGTTCTCTATGATAACATCATCATTAAATCAATACGGATATATGATCTTCAATTATATGGCAGTGTAAGTATTTGAAACATTCAGTTGCTGCAAAGAGGTAAGTCAAATATATTAACGATGATTACTGGAGCCATAGTTACTTGAGATCTTCAAGTACCCTAGTACCACGGATCAAACCATCCCACCGTAAGCCAAAACAAAATATATTTTATTTTAAAAAAAGTTTTAAAAAAAACCTGTATTACTGTCACTACTTTTTCTCTTGTTCTCTTCTATTCTTGTCAGTTGTTCGTTCAAAAACATATCCCCAAACAATCTATACTTAGAATATATACCTTTCCATTCTTTCCAGCTACATAATAATTAAGTAAAGGCCCGAGAAGTAAGAATTACTTATTATAGTTAACTTGTAATTGTATACATACAAAATCATTTTTTGATATGTATGTATGTGTTTTAGGATTCAAATACTTATTATTAGTCTGTAACAGAAAAGCATCAATAAATACCTATTTCTAATGCATAAAAACAAAAAAAAATTAGACTGAAATATAAATCATACGGTCGGTCTTTTGTAGATGAAGAGGATGTAAAACAATAAAAAATTGATGACTGTAGTATAAAAAGTATAGACTCTCCTTACTTAATTGGTTATAATAAAACTTCAATAAAATATTATTCTAAAACTGCGTAATTTATTTTATAAATCAAAAAATAATTTACGTTAAATTTATATAATAACATTTATAATTTGCCGAAATTGATAAAAATAATGCCAAAAATGCCGAAATTGTATACTTAAGTGTATGACGGGTGCTTTAAGTTTCAAGTTTAGTTCTTCAAATCCTTCGAATTACATGCGATTATCGAAGAAATCGAGAAAAAACATATATAAGTAGTATAGCGGTTTAAAGGAGTAAAGTATTCTCCAAACCCATTCAAATATATGCGTCTTTGTGATTATAATATAAATATATATATATATATATATATATATATATATATATATATTATATATATATATATATATATATATATATATATATATATATTCATACTCATATCGCAACACTGTTTGAACTACAAAGAGCGTGTAGTAAGGGATTCAGCTGAGTTCTCTCTATTCGATACAGATGTTTTCCTACTGGGGGTTGGTGACTTTACTTTTGAACTTTTCAGTGAAGTGTCGGATTTCTCAGCTTCATTTATTTCTAGCTCATCAATGGTGTACTCTTCTTCTACTGCAATCTCTGAGATTTCTCTATTGGAGGTACGTGAATTGTTTTTCGAAGTTTGTGAGATGTTTGATTCTTGCTCTTCAATGTAACTGTCCTCTTCCATTTCATACACAGAGTATTTTTTACTGGACATTCGTGATATTCGTGACATTCGTGACATTCGCGACATTCGTGACATTCGTGACTTTGTACTTGAAATACTTGATTTAGATGTGAGTCTTTTTTGATCCATACTTTCGTGTCCTATATCTGCATATTCATTAGAAACTGATTTTGGTATTATTGTTGTTACTTTGGAGCTCCGTGCAGCTTCTGATTTATTTAAGTTTTGTCGATGACGAATCTTGCATAAAATTTAAAACACATGTTATTACGAGTGTAAATTAATAAAATATTTTAAACTCTACCTTAGTTTCGACTTCCTTCTTTTTTACTGGTTCAATAACTTTTGGTTTAGTTTCAACAGGCGTTAGGTTTTGATATAATTCCCTTATTTCATCTATTGCAGTAATTTGATCTTCTGGGAAAAATATTTGTGCTTCTTCAAATCCAATTTCAGGTGAAGTGCTGACATAAGTTGGATTATAAGCAGCAAGTGCCAGCATAGTATTTGATGTTTCCTTTTTGACCCTAAGAACAATTTTATCATCCCTAAAAAATAAATAAAAATTACAAAAAATTATCTTTCAAAAATGTTTGTTCGTACATAAGTGACGGTAATGTATTATATTTCTCGGGTGTTTTCGCTATTAGTTTTGCGGTTTCTGGTTCATCGCTCGTAAAGAATCCGAAATTTAATATGTCAGATTCGTTTGACTTCATAATGTTTAAAATATGTTTCTTCTTATGTGTATCGAATGTCATAATAATGGATGGAGGTTCCGGTACTGGATCAGGAGGCAAGAAAGTTTTGGTATGGTTGCGAAAATACTTATATATTAGGGCAGCATGAGTTCTCGGATCACTTGGTACCCAAATTGCAGGAATTTGCATGGTTTTTGGTTTAATGCTCAATATTTCTGGTCGAGTTTTGAGTTTGGTGTATACTGATTTTTCCTTCACTTCAGACTCATATTCTATCATTTCATATTCTTCCTCATATTCTTCCAAATATAGTCCCTCTTCCATGTCTAATTCTTCCAAATCATGTTGGTATGCAACATCAAAAATGTTTGAAACATGCGATTTTTTCGTGTCAGAAATGATTGATTCATGTAATTTTTTCGTTTCAAAAATATTTGTCCCAAGCGATTTTGTTATATCTTCCTTTTCTTCTGGTTCTTTAATACAAATAAAGATAAAATATATGTTAATTATCAAATTTTGAATTGCATTATTAGCAACATATATATCATTCAGTTAATATAAAAGCTTATGTATTACTTTATTATACCTGTTGGTTCATCAAATAGTGGTAATTCCAGTGTTTTTAATATTGGATATATTGAATCTCCCTCTTCTTTTACAGGCAATCGTGTTAATTCCTTTGCGAAGTCGGTTAAAGCCGCACTAACTAATGTACGATTTGGTGTTTTCCATAAACACATAAACAGTTGCTGTCCATCCAAATAGTTAATCACATTTTCTTCCAATGGATTAGCGCAGTATAAGTTTATCACATCAAAATCTTCTTTCTTAACAGGAACTACATGGCGGTCTACGCATTGAATTTTGCGCATTTCAGCTGGAGCAATTATCTTCCTAAAAGCTTCTCGACCAACGTGTGGTCCGAAAATTGTCACTCCAATATCTTCCATGTTCTCCATTATTAAGTCTGTAATATAGGTTACGTACGTATGACGTTTTTGTTCCTCTTCTTCTTTTTGAATACGTTCTGCCTCCGCTAATTCATGTTGCCTTTTTTGTAGCGCTGCTACTTCCATTGGTTGTAATTCAGCGATTTCGTAATAAGTTCGATCTTCCTTCTTTATTTTAAGTTCCTTATTTATCATTTTTACCAATTTCGAAACGTTTGCACCAAAACACAAATTTATAGCTTTTCTATTCTATAAGATTATAATTATGATTAAACTTTAATCAAAATAAATTCATTGTAACTTACTTTTACAAAGAGCCATGTTGGCTCGCTTCTCCTATAAAATCTATGTAAGTACGATATAGAATCCGCTTTACACTAGCAATTTTATTTATGTAAATAAATAAAATGTAATATGTAATAGATGAAATTATTTTTTTAAGAACTCACTTTAGCATAATTGATTTCATTTAGTCCCACATCCAATTGAATTTTTCTTAAAATATTTACCATACCTAAACAGGGTCCACACCATTCTGTATAAACGTCCAAAACTATAGAATAGCGAAGTTTAATATTGCATTGAAATGAAACCAGTATAGGTTCGTTTGTTTACCTAAAAGACCACGGTGATTCTGAAGATATTCATCGAACTCTTCATCTGAAGTAAGATCAGCTTGCAGCTGTCTGACAGCCCCCTTTGTTACCATACACTTTTTTAATTTAAGATCAAATAATTTTGAATTTCATTTATAATTTTGCCAAAAATTTGAAAAACTAAAAATCATTATTTGGTTAACACATTTTCGACTTTTCGAATTTTGACTTAAAAAGCAAGGAATAAAGTTATTTTTAATCCGTATTGAAAGTTTCAGACAGTTAGAAGGGCTAATGTTGCTCAATCAGTTTGGTGCCTCATGCTGAGCAATAGGATTATCTATTTGTTGCATATTTTTGATTAGAGTGGTCTAATTGTATGCAAGATGTTATCGGATTGTTACTATTAGTAGTTATTGCCTACTAACATGTTTGTATATTTCCGTTTAGTTTTCATTCTATTTTTATAGCTTGCACCACACACATCTAATTCAAGCCGTAACATTCTTTTAATGTATAAAATTTTTCGTATTATCCTAGTTTTACATGTATAAGTTATTATTGGCCTCACCCATGACATACCCGCCCATTGACAATTGGAAGAAACATCACAAACGAGATAAATTTAATTATCGTTAGTAGTTCTTTCGCTGGTGCTTGCATTTGAATTACTTTTGCCTCCAAGAACTTCGTAAGAAAATTTTAAATAATAAGAAATGAGAAACTCTCAATTTGTATCTAGGGTATATAGTTTATTAAATAAATATGATAAGAGAAATTTTTTTTAACTATCTTCAATACAATACTCTTGCCTAATTTTCGTTTATTTTTTTGATGTTTTATAGTTGCGATAAGTAAAAACCAGGGTAAAGTCTTCACTAACGAAAAACAGACCTAACATCTATCACACAGCCTCATACATTCCCTTCGCGAGAAAGTGAGAACTTTTTTACGCTCTTCCTGAATTTTTTTACTTATTTATCTACTTATTTGGTAGAAACAAATGAGAGATATTATATGAGCTGTTGAGTATATTTGGTATTTCTTTATGTGCAAGCTGTTCGGCGTTCGGATTAAAGTTTAGTTGTTTGTGTGGTTATGGAAATCTGTTTGTTAGGGAAATCTGCAATAGTCTCTGTTTTTTAAGGAAAGTAACAAATACTTTTCCATATTAGACCTCACAATGTTATATATATTTTTTTAGTTTTTACCTGATAACTTGGATCAGTTATTGGCCAGTAAATGTCAAAAGCTTTATGAACATGGAATATTACTATGGATAATATTATGGATGGAAAACACAATTAATTTAAAATGGAAAATATATAATTAGAAAAATTAAATAAAAATTCAAACTCCATTCTAAATAAAATATTATCTTAGGTATATTTTCTTTACTTTCATTTTTTAGGTATACTTTAGATAGAAATGTATTTCTATTAAAAATCGAAAAATTTTGGAAGTAATTTTATAGATTATTTTTCGATTTATTTGTATAAACAGTAACATCCCAGTAAATCAAAATTATAGTTAACGCACTTTATTCATCATGATATAGAATGATCTCCGTTAACATTATTATTGTGATCGGTAGTGATATTACGTTTCCACAGCATAAATTATCAATAATTATGAGAAAAATATGTACATACCTACATCTACATCACTGATATTTTTCGTATCGCTATATATACTTGTTTTTCAATGCAATTGAAATTGTATAATCGATGTTTTTATTAAATTCGGAATGAACTTCAAGTTCCTTCGCTAGCTATGTGCTCGACCCAGTTTTGCACCTAATGTAATAATTAATATTTTTTGTACATAAAAAATTAATGTACCAAATAGAATTTTTTGTAGTTGGTGTTTTCTTTATTATATAACTAATTAATATTTTAATGTAGTAACTGACAAAAATTGAGGATACACAATGGACACATCTGGTGGCTTAAGAGAATATCTAATTATTATTTGTGTACTCAGAAAGTAAAAAAATGAGGAAAAAAGAAATTTAGAAATGCAATAGTGACTGGATAGGACGGATTCTTAGAGGACTTATTAGTTATATATGTAGTGTATTCTAATTATGTTAAAAAGTTAGTTAAGAAAGTTATGTTAAGAAAGCTATTAACATGTTAAATATTTATGTTAAGAATTCTAGACTAAGGAAGTTATGTTAAGTAAAATAATTCCATTATAACGGTTATGAGTTATGTTAAAAAGTTAGTTAAGAAAGTTATGTTAAGAAAGCTATTAACATGTTAAATATTTATGTTAAGAATTCTAGACTAAGGAAGTTATGTTAAGTATATTAACTTATGTTAAAAAGTTAGTTAAGAAGAAATGTTAAGAAAGCTTTAACTGGTAAATATTTATGTTAAGAATTCTGCTAAGCAAGTTATGTTAAGTAAAAGAATTCTTATAACGGTTATAGTTATGTTAAAAGTTAGTTAAGAAAGTTATGTTAGAAATATTAACTGTTAAATATTTATGTTAAGAACTCTAGACTAAGGAAGTTATGTTGTAAAATAATTCCTTATACGGGACTAAAAGTTCTAAGAAAAATGTGTAAAAACAGAATAAATGGCAGCAATACTTTAACTGGCAGCAATATTTTGCTTCCTTAACGAGAATTCTGCTAAAAACAAGAATATCTTGCTTCCTTAGCGAGAATTCTTATTACTTGGATATTCTGCTCCCTTTGCGGAAATCCAAATATATTCCAAATAATAGCTGAATATTATTTATTGCTCGACAAACACTCATGTGGATACCGCAAGGTTATAGCTGCTCGATCCTTTCTTCTCTTGGAGAAGAATATAAGAAAAAAGAATTAAAAAATTTGAATTATTCATGGAACGGTATGAAATGAGGTATATTAACAAAGGCTATATGCTCTACCTAAGAGGACAAAATTTCATACAGGGATGCACAATTTGGAAGAGATGCATTTTTTGATTGACCATCTCAGTTGATGATATGCTCTGATAATAAATAGTTTAATTTCTGTTAAAATGAAAATGCAAAATTTTATTTTTATATTTTTATTATTTTTATTGTTTTTCTTCCTTGTTTATTTAATAATAATAATTTATTTTATTATTACCCATTATATATACTTTCGTTATTAATATATAATGTAATTGTATGTATTCATAATCAATTATTTATATGTATGCATTTGTATTGTAATTATGTATATATATGTAGTGTTTAGTGTATACAATAATCATATTTTGTTGATTCATTTGCTTTGTTTATTATGTTAAATTGTTAAATTATTATTACTCGTAGTTTAAATCCTTTGCTTATGTTACTTGAATTGAGTTTTTGTTTTTGTTTTTGTTTTTGTTTCCGTTTCCTTTACTTGTTAAAATATTGCAGCATTTTACATATAATGAATAAGCATAGATTTTGTTCGGGTAAATTGCAGTTGTGTCTTGGATTGTGTGAATTGAAGCAACTCATTTAAGTGATTGTGGAAGAATAGAAGTGGGACTATAGACTTGATATATAGATGTATGCAGAACATAACTGATTCGATTTGACATATTCAATGATTTCTGTTTTTCAATGAGAGTTTATAAAGCAGGGCAATTATGATTGAATATTTTTTATTTGGTATTTTTGCTATATTTTCCTTTTACTTTGCATTGACTTCGTATAAGAAATTTATTACATATTTTTTTTTTATTATTTCTGTTTTTTATTATTTTTGTTTTTACTAATTTTCAAATGTAATTTTATATTTAAGAAATTTAAAATTTAAAATTTAGAATTCAAAATATAAAATTACACATTACAAATTACACATTACACATTTAAATTTGAATGCAAATATTTTTATTGTAAATAAAAAATAATTTTTTTTTTTAATGTTAAAAGAAAAAAATAAAATCCTTTTTAAAAGAGTTTTCTTTTAATTATTTTGAATTTTTGAATTTTCGAATTTTTGGATTTAATGATTTTGTTTACTTCTATATTCCATCATAATTATCTCGCATCAGTCATATTAGTTTTCTTTATATTTCATGTTCATATAAATACTTTTCATTAATTTAATGTAATAAATTTATTTATTAAAAGTTTAATAATATTTCCAATTGAATGAAAATTATTGCATTTTATACACATGTTCTGGCTATATTAAAATTTACAAATTTTTGCTTAATTTCCATAAATCTTTTGTTTTTAAATTAATATTTTTTTATTTATATTTTTATTTTTTTTTAAGAAAGTTACTAGTTGTAATGTTAAAAAGCGGTAATTATCGCCCTAAGCATTACTCTTCCATCATTTTACACAACTTCAGTTTCAGTTTTAACTAATTTAATGCATTTTGTTTTTTTTTTATTTTAAATATCTTATATTAAATACATTTATAAATAATATTCATTATATTATTATTCAATAAAAGTACTCTGCAGTTATTTGCTATTTCACTTATATACTTTATGAGTGTTTTTTTGTTTGTTTTTAGTTATAAATCATGGTATAATTCTAAGGGGCAATATGTTTAGTCTAACTTAGCTTACTACTTAATATGTATTTTACAGTGTATTTTAAAAATGTAACAGTTAAACGTTAACACTAGAATTAAACAATAAAAATTTTATAAAAGAGCAGGTAAAATATTTAATTATAAATACAAGTACAATTAAAAAAAAAAGATTTAACTTAAAAATAATTTATTGCATATAAAAAAATATTGTATATAATTAACGTATATTTAACTCATTAAGAGCATCGAAACAAGGACTTTGTGATATATTAAAAGCCTAAAACGTACTCAGGGTTAGGGCTTATTTAAATCAATAATTTATGATCAAACAAGGACTATAGGTCATTTAGACTGAGTGTGTTTCGATAGTGGACTATGGACAGGATATTCCCTTAATTTAAAGCAATTTATTTAAAAATTATGCTTACTAAAAATACAAATATATGGCTTTAATCAATAAAAAAATATACAAAATTAAATTAAATATTTTTACATGGCATTCGTTGATTATTGATATTATTCTTGCGAATAACACATACGAGTATATGCCGTTTAATGATTTTAGTTTCATTTAAAAAAAAATCGTTATAAAATGAAACAAAACAAATATATTTAGTTATATCTAAATATATAATAATATTAAGCATTTTTTAATTTTTAATAAATGTTAAATGTATAGAAATATATATCACATTTGTAAATATTATGCATTTTTGCATTTTTTTCAAAAATAAAAAAAACATATCTGAAAAAGACGCGAAATTAATTAAGAACAGGGTTGTGAATAAATTCGAAATTGATACATTCAGAAATATTTAATTAAAATTAAATAATTATTCGAGAAGAGTGGAAATGAATTGTGTTACTGAAATCATACTGAAATCATTTGGCATTTACTAAGACAATTTGGAAGAATTTTTGATAACTTCAGTTAAGAAGTGAATTTCTTATCCATTGAGATTGATTTATCAACATTTTAAGTAAAAGCAAGTTTTGGAAAGAGTTTCAGAGTAGTTTGCTAATTTGAGAATTTTTTTTTATTATAAAATATATAATAAAATAATTAGATATCGTTTTTCAGTTTGGAAAAGGATAAAGGATTAGAGAAAAAGAAAATTTCGAAAGGATTATATTAATTTTTAAGCTCAGCACACAACGAAAAGTACAATATTTATTGCTGCAGTTTTAAGTTTGTCGTATCACTTAAATTACTAATTTTAACTATTTATACACATTTTTAATTTTAATCTGTGACTATGGATTTTATTAATTTTTCATTTTTATTTTATGTATTTTAATACTTTCAAATGCAAACTTAAACTGGCGCTATTTTTTATATACTTTTATTTTTTAACTTTACTTATATTTAATTGAATTAATTGTTTCTAGCACTAAGCAATTATCCAATTCAGTAAGTATTTATTTTACTAATTAATTTATATAAATTTATTTTTCATATCTTAATTATACAAAAAACATTTAGTTTTGACGTCACACAATTTACTTGAATTCTATACCTTAATGCATAAATAATTTTATATTTTATACAAAACTATAGTGCCTAACATTTCATTTATTTTTTATTATTTTTTATTATTTCATTTTATTTATAACATAAATAATATTTAATTTCTTTGATTATAATCTTAATTACATTAATTAGTGCATTAAGTCGTTTTGAGTTATTACACTACAACAAATTAAGTGTTTTTTTTGCTTTTTGTAATGATCTGACAACTTCTACGAGTCTATTTTGCGTAAGTCTATTTTGCCTACAGAGTTTAAGACATTTCACATTTAAAGACTGGCATACATCAATGCTTATTATTTAATGCTATTTGAAATTCTTTTGTGTTTAATTAATGCTTACTTATATTTCACTTAAATGTAATTAATTATCAAAGTTTACAATTACTTTATAATATGTAATTACCGAGCATTGCTATTTTGCTTGCTATTTTGAGATTTTACAAGTTTCATTCATACATATACAAGTATAGACGTACAAATATATATGTGAGTATTCTAAGTATTCCTAATAGTATAAGTCGTCATCGTCTTCATTTTTGGAGTAGTATTGATAATCATCATCGTTCGTTCGAACATTACCGCTTAGCATATATTCGTTAAACGTTGCACCAACATCATTATAATTTGTTTCTTCTACATCTTCTTTTACATCATCTTCTACACCTAGTTCATTCTTGCGAGTGAAGTTATCATTTACTCACGCGCTCATGTCAATTAGTTTCTGTTGTTGTCTGCGGGATTTGCCAACACGATGTGTGTTGCCCGTCTTCCTGCGTTTGCGTTTAGCATCCCGTTGAAATGCTACATTACCTGGATCGTCGGCCAATTGTGGATATTTGTGTATGCTGTGTATGTCAATGCCAATCCAACCATCAACGTCTCCATGTGACACAAGCTCTTCTTTTTCCTCCTCTGTCCACTCACCACGACCTTGAAAACCGGCAGCTACCAACTCTTTTTCTAACTCCCATGCCCTTTCTACAGCGCGCTTGTGTGCATGCTTAAGTATACGATGTCTTTCTTGTTCAGGATCTACACCATACTTAATAATAACGACTGCTTCAGGACCATGTAAACGTAATTCCTTAGCTGTACTACCGCCGTGGTCAGTTATTTCGTGCGTAGATATGTTAAACATGCCACCCAAACGTCTAAGCTCTTCATTGTCATCACGTATTTTGAGAATATTGTCTTTAACGAAATAGAATACGTCTTGATCATGAATGCTGAAGTGTAGATCCAGGAAGTAAGAGTTGTTAAAAACTGAAGAGACCACGTCTTGCACGACACTGTTAGACCCATCTACCACACTAACCATCGCACGACCAGCAATGCGTGATAACAGTACACCCTCGCCAAATACTCCTCTTCGATAGCTTACCCGAGGCAAGAGGTTACGCATTTTGGGTTCCATTTTGAGTAAAGGTTTTGGTACAAAATCGAAATCACTGAATTTTTCATTAGTTTTCTCCACAATGCATTCCAAACCAGATATGACACCGAAGTCGGGTGCTAAAGTATTGGATTTGATAGTTGCCTGCGGTACGTATTGTGAAGCTTTAGTATATTTCGAGCTCTGCATATCACTCAAATCATAACCAAATAGTTGCAGCCATGACTCTAGATCAATCATGTAATTTTGCGGTTTGTTTGGATTAATAGGATCATTATTATTATAGCGATATATAAACACATCGGTGGGATTAGACATTTCTGTAGCTAATGTTTCCCAAAGTGGCGTCATCCATTGTCCAACTGTAGGATCGTATTGTCGCCCTTCTGTGTACACCAATTTGGTATTAGGATCAAGTAAACCACCATGGAAATCAATGGGAATGAAGAATGCTGGATTAGTATCTTTAATAACTCGCCCGAATGGTGTACGTTTCACTTCCTTAATAATAGCACCGTTTAGATCAAAGAATGCTAGCGGTGAGCCATTTTGATCGGTAGCGACATAATATCTATGTTCTGTGTTTTCTACTGCAATAAGCATATCACGATCGTCGTAGAAGAATTTCAAAGTCTTTCCAGTTTTAGGGAAGTGCACATGTGTTAATAGTTTGGGTGTCTTCGGATTTGCATAATAAAATTGTGTCACATTGCCCTTATTATCATGAGAAGCAACTAAACGACTTCTATCATCATAGTAATACCACGTTTGGAAGCGTTCGCGTTCAAAAGCATGTATAAGTTGTCCGCGATTATTGTAGCGATACTTCTGCTCACCTCGTCGCACTACAAAACCACGGGCATCATAGTTATTGAACTCAACATCACCAACTTGTATGACGCGGTCACCAATATCATAACCAAGATTAATTTTCTCACCCTGATCAACTACACCAACAGTATTGCCATTTTCATCATATAGGTACTTCCAGTTATTTGTGCCTAAAACTTCGATTACATGTCCATCTGCATTATAGTTGATTTTATCAAAAGCGGTTGAGCGTCCAAACGTTGTCTTTTGTGATTTAATGCGATTGCGCAAGTCGTAATCCAATTCAAGACGGAAGACATCGAAGCTTTTAATGTTCATAAGTACACTCTTAATACGCCCATGCTGATCGTAATCAACAATTGTGAAGAATTGTTTACCCGAATCTTGAATAACAGTGCGGTTGAAAGCATTGCGTGTTATCTTAAGATCCTGCACAACTTCTAGTTGACCAAGATTCTGGGAATACTTATAGCGTGCAGTGGGCATTTCCTTGTCATCAATAGACATTTCTATACCACTTAAACGTGCATTGCCATCATACGAATACTTGTAATGAGCTGATGCCAGTGAGTTTTTGGAACCAAATCGAAGTTTTTCATCTTTTAATATGCCAGCATGATACTTAAATTCACGACGTAGTTCAAAGCCAGGTTCTTGTACTTCTACCGATTTTATTAGACTTGTGGTATCTTGATAGTTATAGTGTGTGCTTGATAGACCGGCTAAAATAGTTTCTAAGCGACCAGCATAATCGTGTACAAATGCTACCTTGCCTGACTGATGTGGATGTATTTTTGCTAAAATTTGGCCTTCATCGTTGTATAGTATCTCAAACGGATGTCGATTTATTGGTGAATAGTATTGATATTTAAAGAATCCAAGCGATGTTTGCAATGAGAAGGAATGTATATGACCTCGTGGTGTTGTTAAGCTTTGTAGTGCTCCAGCATCATCGTACTGCAGTAAATAATCGGATCGTCTAGGAGTTGTGACCTTCAGTGGTAGGGAACCGTAAGCGTCCTTAAAAGCGTATACCATGGAAGAGCCATCACCATACTTAATCTCATTAAGTCTTCCAATACGATCAAAAGTATACACTTCTTGTAGAACACCCCACTTCCAACCAGTTACACGGCCAAAACGATCGTATTCCAATTCGACATCAGCATAATCACCTGATTGCGGCCTAAAACTAACTGGGCGAGCAGTGCGATCGTAAGTTACATTTAGTAGCTCTTGCTTATCATCTACCACTACAACTACCGATTGAGTTTCACGATCGTATTCAAGTGTTAGTACATTATCTCCATTAACGCGTAACTTACGACCAACCTGCGATACTGGCCGTTGACCTTTGCCCTGTTTTCCTTGTTGAATGCGGCGTACAAAGTAACGCCATTCGAAACGATTTGCAAGATCGCCAGCGATTTCAGTACGCTGCTTAGCGGGCACAGGATAACTCTCTCCTATTAGTGGACTTATTTCAGCTAATACGGCATACGGAACAACTTCCATTTGCAGCATATGACCCCAAGGAGTAATACTAGTCATTGAGCCATCCATTTCTACAGCAGTCTTAGTTTCAGCTTCTCCGTTTCGTACAACCACAGTTGAGCCTTGTATAAGCATAGTAATTTCTTTTTGTGAATTTTCTGAAACTTTTACTTGTGCACCTTTCATGCTAAGATCGAAAGCCAAGTCAATAACACGACCAGTAGGAGTAACCGCTGAAGTCAAGCGACCAAATTCATCATAATTGTAAACATATGATCGTCCACTTGAGTCAAGTTTAGTTTTAAGTAAACCGGTGGGACCTTGATATTCAAAAGTAAAATTGTAGTTGTCTGGAGTGTTTAATTCATGCAACATTTTCATGCGAGTCATACGCAAACGGCATTTTTGACCTTTGGTATTTTCAATAGAGTTGACTTGGGAAGTGTAGTCACGCAATAGGAACACTTTATTACCAGCTGCATCAGTTACTGTGCTTAATTTGCCATTCGATGTATTGACATTGTAGGTGAATACGTATGTAGTCTCACCAGTGAGTATATTCTTCGTAGAAACGTGTTGGCCGAAGCGGTTGAAGATATAAATTTCTTGCATATCTGGAGCGTAAATTTCATATTCGCGAGAAGTGCTGGCTTCAGGAATACTAGACATAACAGAGCGTATGCGGTAATTTGCCTGATCAGCGATATGTACATGACCATCTGGAGTAACAGCTAAGGCAGCAATCGTGTTGAATTTAGCACTTGTGGCTAAGTAATGCTCAGCTTCAAAGCAATCGCATCCACGTTCTAAGCAGTTACATTTAGATTCGGCACCGGCAAAAGCAGTAATACGTCCATCAGTACCAATAACTCGAACTCGATTGATACGTTGAGAATCACTTTCTGCAACATATAATTCACCCATGGGCCCAAATGCAATCGACTGTGGCATAACCAGTGTAGCTACTGTAGCTGAGTCCGAATCATAGGTTGACGTTGCAGTTGCACAGTGTAGTGGACGTCCAGAAATAACTCGCACACGTCCATCTGGTGTCATGCGTAGAATCATATGGTCATCAATAATATGTAGAGTGTTATCGAGTGGGCTTACGGCTAATTCTGTAGGCCAACGTAAGTGCATCTCTTCCAACTTTAGAGTGCCCTCACATGGTATTGGCTTCCAATGTGATTTGTGTAAATGATTACCAATTAAAGTAGAAACAAAACCATCTCGGTCGACCATACGAATATTGGTACCGTCAGCAAAGTAAAGTATATTTTCACTTGAAATTGCAATGCCTTTAGGATATGCTAATTTGGCATCTCTTGCTAATGCACCATCACCACAGTGTGCTTCATCGCCTGGTAAGCATCGTTCGCCAGAACCAACTACTGGTTCCCAGTTCTTTTCTGGGTCCGAGAAATCACTAGTATTACGAACACGTATGATTTGATGTGACTCTGGATCAGAGATATATAAAGTGCCATCGAGTGGGCTTAAAGCCATATGGTAGCGGTATGACACACGAGTAGCATTCAATTTAACCACTGTACGTATTGTGCCATCTATCATAATTCTGCGTATATAGTTGAAATCACCTACATAAAGGCTGCCATCGGCGGACGAAGCTAAAGCGACTGGCGCTAATAAACGTTGTTTCATAGCTAAACCTTCACAATCATTGCATTCGAGCGGTCTCTGATGACCATCACCCATTGTAGTAAGTATAACACGTGGTCTATTTTTCAAATATATATTGGAGCCATCGCCTTTTTGCAAAATACCTTCATGGAAATTGTAACGGTGATGTATATCTAAGTTCCAACCACCAACCTCAGAAATTGACATATCATGACCCGATAACTTAGTTGTTTGTATGTCCCAGACAATATCTTTGCAGTCTGTATATTGATATCCGACTTTAACAACGGCAGTAGTGACGCCATACACGCGCTGACGATAAATATTTAATCGATTCCAAGCGTACGTAAACTTAATACCTGGGTCAGCTTCGAATACACGTTCAAACAATATACCTTCAATCGTAATGCGTAAATGTATGAGATGTAGAGTATCTGGAATTGTTTCAGGCGTTAATTGCAATTTGATGGTGGATAAATAACCAGCAGCGCGGGAAGAATGATAAACCAAATTTAAGCCAGTGCCAGGAATTTGTAAGGATTCTTGTATAACTTGCGATTCTGCTAAAATAGCGCTGCGATCAGGACATGCGCCCTGAAAACCGTGTTTCCACGACGCTAAGACTACAGGCTTCATCACGTCATAGTCGTGGGAGAAACAAGTGTGCGTGGTGGTGGCTAAGTTCTTTTCTTCGGACATGGACATGACAACAACATCTATAATGATCACTTCATTCCAAGGAATTTGCACAATACGCGATTGTGGACGAAACGGCGAACGTCCAAATTGTAGCGTCACAGCACCGCCACCATTTACCATCAAATCAAACCAACCATCATCGCGTGTAAGTGTAAAACCCTCCAAAAGAGTGGTTGTGGAAACGCGTACACCAACCAGACCCATGCCAAGTGAGGTGACGACACGGCCACGAATAACGGCTGAACGGCTAGAGTTGCGAGGAAAGAAATTGAAATAAAATATTATTAGTGATGGGCTGTTATTATTTGTAAAATTATACAAAATAGTAACTTTCTATAGGCTAATTCAAAACTAGCATACTAACAAGCATTTAAAAATTCAACTTAAAATTCAATATAATAATTAATAATAATAAATAAACAAAACACTAAATTTCACACGCACAAAAACATAAATTCTTATATAAGATACTTTCGTATTTATTTATGAACACATAAGGTTTTTATCTTAAAGACATTTAGGTTATAACCTATTTTTGTTGTTGCATTACAGGTCGATCGGAGGTAGTTCCAAATAATAAATTAATAATCAAGTAATAACATAAATAATGAATATGTAGAGTAAAGAATTTAATGTTCTTATTTTCAAAACATTAAGGTAAAATATTATTTTAAAATAATTTTAAACATATTGTAACTTTAATTTTATAGGTGTGAGATATATAAGAGCTATAAAGGAACGAACAAAACGAAACTGTAATGTAGTAGATTTAATGAAATTACAAAAAATGAAACAATAATTAGTAAAATAGCCAAAATAATTAATTACCAAACAACCCTATGGAAATATTTACTTAATTTATTTAAGTATTTGAAAAGTAGTAGACTTTACACTAAGTTTTGAATGATTTTGCTTTCAGAACTCGGAATTTTGCTTACCTTGCATTGAAATAATTCCAAAATATGCTGTTAGTTTAATGTTAATTACATTTTAGTCGAAATGTTAAGTTAGTTATTGTTAATATACGAAGCATTATGACATTTTTTCGATTTATACAATTATTAGTAACATAATGCAGTTTATTATATAGATTTTGTAGTAGTAGGTTAGTAGTAATGTAGTTTCAGAGAGTAGGGCGCGCGTGAAAAAGAAAAGAGAGCAGAAATAGTTGAATTAGCTTTTTTCTTTATAACTTAATGGTTCTTAATTTAATTAATTTAATTCTTATTAATTAACTAAATTTCGGAGTTCGTCCGACAATTTGTGTCAATATAATTTATACATTTTTAACCATATATATATATATATACCCCGAATACCTAATAATTAACAAATGTGCATTGTTAACTACATTAAAAGTAGTGCCTTATGAAAAAAAACTAAATTCTAACAATAAAAAATTAATAATCATTACTTTTAACGATTTAACAATAATTATTTAGGTATTTATAAGTAATAATATATATAAAAATTTAGACCAATGTTAAGAAGTTTTTTAATTAGTTATTAGTAAGATGAATATAATTAATTATATTTTATACATTTATATATATAAAATGTTTTTAATTATTATTATAATAGCTAGTATTTATAATTAAGAATAGTTATAACAGATTGCAATACTGTATTTATATATAAGTGCAAATAATGAAAATACAATAAAGTCTATATAATAAAGTCCATAATAAAAAACATAAGTTAATTTATTATTATGTTTAATAATTATACACTTTATGAATTAATTTATACATAATTATATTAATTATCATTTGAAAGGCGTCAAGTTTTAGTTTTTAGTTAGAGATAACTTATTTCTATTGCATTATTGCTTAATAATAGTTGTTAGTAATTTTTTCCTATAATCCAATTAAATAAACAAATAATAATAATATTATAATATAAAGCTTTGTATTTTAAAAAAAAAGGTTCTTGTCAAAATATAAAGAAATAAGATTTCAAATTTCTTTTATTTAAAAATATAAATGTTTGATTGTTTAAACTTATATGTAGTAATAGAACTAGAAATTCTTATTAAATAAATTTATATTTAATTTATACGGTTTAAGAAAAAAATTTTTATAAAAAATTAAATTACTAATCCAACACTTATTATTGAATATAGCGAAATTTCTTATATATAACATATATTTAGGTATTTTTTAAAATATTATTTTCAAAGATTTTATATAGTAAAACATGTTATTTAACCATAATTCAAAAAACAAAAAAATTATAAATTCATCGACATATATTTATATATAATAACTATTAATTTATTATTAACATATATAATTTTTGTTTTTCACTGATAGGTACATTTTAACAAAGGACTTTGGGTCTTATATACAATGTAAGGACGTTATAGTTCATAGGAGGGGGAAATTAGACGAGGGCACAAATAATAACTCAAGTTAATTAAAAAAATTAATAATGCAAACTATTTAGTTATTTTAGCTAAGACATTCAATATAAATCCTTAATTATGTCAGCTCAGCAATGCTTTCAAATTTTTCATTTAACTTAAAACAATTCCAATTTAATAAAAGATTTCGTATTTCAAATAAATTGAAATGAATAAATTATAATTTACATATATATTAAATAACAAAAAATTGGTAGCAAGAAATGACTTACCTTTCATTGAATGAGTCCATTTTCGCATAGTTCTGTAGGCTGCTTTCATCAATAAGGAATTTCATACGTTCGAAGAAAGATGCTGTTATTGCTGGTGGTTGTTTGCGTAATAATACATCTATTGGCTTTGGAGCGGACACGCATAGCTGTGAGGTCTTACAAACATGACTAGCACAACATTCCGGATCCTCGCAATCAACAAGACCATCTATTTTAAATATTTATATATCATTTATTTGTACTGTCTCATATATTTTGTTTTATTAATTTCTCCTACCTTTATCATTGTCTTTGCTATCACCACAATTTAGTTCTAAAGCTATACCACAATCAGGACCATCCCAGCCCTCATAACAGCGACATTCCCATTGCCCCTCTGCACTCACACGACACTGTCCATGTGCCGAACAACCATTTGGACAACCTTCGATTGTGCAATGTTTTCCATTCCAGCCAGTGACACATAGACATGTGCCATTTTTGCATTGACCATGTTCATTACATCGTGTATCACATAACTTAGTGTTGCAATATTCACCACCCCATTCAGTGTCACAACTGCATGCATCACCCACGCAACGACCGTGCTGTCCACAATCTAGATCGCAAAGTTCTTTGGAACAATCATCACCGCTCCATTTAGACTCACAAGTGCATGTTTGTGTATCCAAATCAAAGCTCCCATGACCTGAACAATCCGGCAGACATTGTAGAGCATCTTGATCCATGGTAGCACAATCAAGACCTTTCCAACCTTTCTTGCATATACAGTTGCCATCGGCACAAAAACCATGACCAGAGCAAGTTGGATGTGGGCAGTCAACTAAATAATTAAACAAATTTATTATATTATTTGTGGAAAAACATAATTAAGAAAAAAGTTCAAATAAAAAATATAATTAAAAAAAAGGATAAACATAAATATTTTTTAAGTTGATTGTCACAAAATACTCTAAATTGGAACTTGAGCAATTTTACCTTCTTCACAGAATTTGCCTTTATAGCCACGCATACATTGACATTTGCCACTCACGCAATGACCATGACCATTACAGTCAGCCACTTCGCATTCATCGTGACGTAACGAACATTCTTTGCCCTTCCAACCAGGATTACAAATACATTCGCCATTTATGTATTCGCCATGCTGTGAACACAGAACCGGGCAAACACTTTCGCTGCAATCGTCTCCACCAAATCCAGGATTACACTGACAGTGGCCCAATAAACACTGTCCATTGCCTGAGCAACCATTTGGACAATTTTGTGTCATATCCTCAGCAACTGCAGCGTAAAATGTAACCTCCTGCACATCCCCATCGTCGTTGTACAATGACACGAACCAGTGACCGGATTCCATATAACGCGTTACTTCGCGCGTAATCGACAACTGTTGGTTGATTGTTTTTGTTGTTGTTGATGTTATTGTTGATGTAGTTGTTATTTGTATTGCAGTTTTTATTGTTGTTGTTAGCGCACAATTTACGGTCAAGAAGTACGAATGCAAGTATAGGAAGTGATGGATGGAAATGATGTGATGTGATATGTTGTGTAAAGGATGAAAAGAACACAGACAAAAATTTGATATTGGTTAATAAAAGCATTTGTTAGTTATACACAAAAAAAAAACAAATACAATAAAAACATATAATAGAGATTATTTAGATATAATATCTTAATAATAACCAATAACCCAATCTATACTAGGTAAGCAGCTAAGCTATTCCTGACCACTCAAACTGTACGTACCTGTGCTGCTCTTGCAGTTCTTGTGCTGGCACTAAATCCACTCAACACCTCCTTAAAGTGATATTGTGTATGTGTGGGTAGTGCATTGCGACGTCCGTAAACACCTATTGAGGCGCCCCGAGGGATGGTGTAGTCAAATTTCACATAAGCGGGCTCTGATTGATAAAATTGCATATTCCAATAACTATATGGTTGTATTTCTTTTGTCAACTTCTGTCCAAGTGAAATTTGTCCAAATGTAGTACCATCTGGTGGAAAACTTCGTGCCGGAAATGTGCGTGCTCCTATTTTTGGTTTTGTTTGAGCAATAATGCAATATAAAAATGCAATGCAACGGAAGAGAAAGAGAGAAGCAATTTTTTAAAACACGAAGCAAACGATTTGTTAAGTTATTTACAAATTTAAGTTATATATATAATAGTATTAATAAAAATAGTAACAATAATGATTATATTTCATGACGTATGTGGTAACGAATTGCTGTAATTTAGAATTTCTTTTAGTTCATTTTTATATTTTCCAATTCGATTTTTCCGTGTTGTTAGAATGGTGTTTTATGAGGATTGATTGAATAAATTTTTGCTTTTGTTATTTTATTCTATGTTTTCTTAATAAAAAAAAATTTTTGTTAAGAATAAAATAATGAAACATAATTTCTTTTCTGTTTAGATCCACTGAGTATCAACAAAAACCCATGTAGGTACACTGATTAGGCTCGAGTCGAACCAAAAGAGGTTTAAAGGTTAGGTCTAAGGATATATTTAAAAATATCCTTGCCTTCATAAAAATTCATTGATAATTGTCTAAAAGAATATCTCTGCATAACGGATCTATTCGCAAAAAGACATTTTGTTTTTAAATTAAATTTTAGTACTTAAAAAATTTTTTTTTTATAAAAATCTTTAAATTAAAAATTTGTGTTATTGCTGTCGATGTAATTACATATATTTATAAACATACATATATATATATATATACATATATATAATTTTTTTTAAGTTATATGTATTAAATATATGTATTTATTATTATTTATTTAATGTTAATATTATATGTATATAATGTAAATGAACATTAATTATATTTTTTTTATAATATTATTAATAATATAATATTATATTATATAAATCCCATGAATTTTTTTATTTATTTACAAATATTTTTTGTATATATATATGTTATATTATAATTAAATATTGTCTTGAATACAAAATTTTATATATAAAAAATTTTTGATATAAATTTTTTGGAGAAGTACAATCCCAAGCATTTTTTCTCAATATTAGTAAAGTAGTTGTTAAGAAAGCAGTGTGAATGAGCTGTGATGCCTCGTAGCCAATTCTTAATGACTTTACAGGTAATTGTTAAAATATGTTATATATAAATTTTTTTAATTAAATAATAATTATTATATAATTTTATCTATAGTAATGTAATATTATTTATGATTTGCACTTAATATAAAATTAAGATTAGTATTCATATATACATATACATTATTTAAATAAGTATTTACTATAAATTGTCTCAAGAATATTATATAGTACATATTTTATATGTTTTTATTTTATGTACATCATATGATAACCATATATAATAAGAAGATTTGTTAGTGAAAGTTAATTATGGAAACATAATAATATGAAGTTAAGTTCGTTAGATCATGAAAGCCCTTTAGAATAGTTTAGACACTTAACATAAAACACTAAAAATACAATCACCTTCAAGTATTAGAATTGGCATAACATCTGGACATGCAACATTATCACCGACATTAGACAAACTATGCCCTTTATTAGTATTATCAGCAAGATTAGTAGTAGTGTTGTAAGTTGTTGTTGTAGTGTCAACAGCACTAGCATCAAAAAATGCATGGGTGTTAGTAGCAACAGTGCTAGCTTCAGTAGCAGCAATATCCCACATGTTATTAACATATTTATTGTTAGTTTGTGTAAATCTAGAAGTAGTAGTTTGTGGAGCGGTGGACGTGGATGTTATTGTGCTCATGGTGTTTTTATGTATAGGTGGTACTGCATGTGTGTTGATGGCGTTTATGTTTGCCGTTGGTTCATTTGTTGTAACTAAAGTTTCAGCGAAGTGTGCGCATTTGCATGGACATTCCGGTATGGTAGGTGGTGGTTCAGGTACACAGTAAGGACTTGCATTAATTATGTCTTCACTGTGCTCTTGCTCTTTGGAATCACGTCTTTCGTGGGTTAAAATTTGTTCAAGACTTTGATGTTTATTTGTAGCTCCACTACCACCTCCTGCTGGTATAGCCACATGCAGTGTGTAAATTGAATTGCTGTCGTCTCCTGTGGCAATTGTTAGATTGACAAGTATACGTTTATTTGGGGTATCGTAAGTTTCGCTAATATGTGGTGGCTTCAACGTTATCATTGGCAATTGATTTTCTTTCTCCTTTCCCTTTGTCTCAGTTTTGAAAGTTTCATTTTCTATTGTTTTGCTCTCACTGGGCAATAGTGATAAGTTTTTTCTTACGGATTTCGGATTTTCAATATATGTGAACTGATGTGTGGGTATATCGATGACGGAGTTATCGATTGTTTTGTAGAGCTCTTCTTCCATCGAGTGCGTGTCTTCCAATTTAATAATATCTATATCATCTAAATTTTGTGCATAATTAGATTCCATAAAACCATCAATGCTGTTTAGCGGTATTAAACCGTCATTTAACATTAGCTCGTCTAAACTGTCAGTTGATGCATTAACTGAATTTGTACCCATGACATGCACGTTGTTGCTTGGGGTTTGAAATGTTGCTGGTGTAGCTGTTGTTGCTTCTGTTGTTGTCTTCGGCTGGGATGCTGTTGTATTTGGTGTAGTTGTTGTTGTTTGCTCATTTATCTCCATCATTTGTCGTTTTGTTATAATTTCTTTAGTTATAATTTTTTCTGTAGTGCTTCCGTTTTCCACAATTTCTGTTTCCGTTTCTGTTGCTGCTTGAAGTACAGCAGTTGTTGGCAAGGTTACTGGTGAGGCAAGAGATATCGTTTCGTATTTATGTTGGTCATTCAATTTGAATTTATCAAGTTCAGTTGCGGTGCTTGTCTTGTTTTTGTTGTTATTGGAAACCTCGTTGTCGACTATTGTTGTCGATGTTGCTACTGTCGTTGCCATTGCTATTGTTGTTGTTCTTGTGTAGACGTCATCATAGTTGTCAGCTAAATCATGCTCATTATTGTTATCATTTTCAGCATCATTTTCGCTATCAACAATGTCAACGCCATTATAGCGATTGATTTGAAAATTATTTTCAACATTAAACATAACGGTTTCAGTAACATTAGCAACATTTTCTGGAGCAATACTGTCGGCAATATCAGCAGCAATAGAAGTACCAAAAATGACAGAATCATTTTTATCATTATTGTCATCTCCTTCCGTTTTATTTTTTCTGGTACTCTCATTCTGTCCCAGCATTGCTACTGCTGCTGGCATTTGTTCCTGCTGCATAATATTTTCCACTTGCTCCGGCCTGTCAATTTGATTATTGTCATCAATAATGTCATAGTCGCCCAACTCCCCCAACCCATATTGTTCCTTTTGGTCTTCACTTTGCGTTAGCTCCAACTCCCCCAATTGTTTAACATTAAGCTTTTCGCTATTGTACCGCTTCCTTGATATCGTTTTACCTGATTTCATTGCCGGTGTGCGTAAATTGTTGTTTAATGGTTTGTTAATTTTTGCTGTTCTTAAAGTTTTTGACATTTTATCAAGTCGAGTCGAGTGGAGGGTGATTTTGACTTCAGTATTGTTGAATATCTCTGAGCTCGTATTAAGTGTCCTTACAGTTGCCGAAAAGTCTTTATTTTGATATTTTAAATTGTCATTAGCAGCTATTGCAAATTTTGATTCCACAAGATCATTACTTTCTAATGCAGCATTTAAACTGTTGTTGTCACTGTGATGCAGTGATGTATTCTGTGTGGTGTTATTTAGTTGCATTTCACTAGAGTTTTCCATTAATGTTTGGTTAAAACCAAAATTTAAAGTTTTTACTACACCAATCACACTGGGTATAGTATCTTTTTCCTTTCTCGCCTTCAGAACTATTTCGTTGTCATCCGTTGAGTTTCGAACTTCAGTCTCAGCGTTGTAATTATTATCCTTTAATTTCTTTGATGAAACTTTTTCCATTTTTGCATAGTTGTATTCTTTATTAACACCAACAACATCATCGTAGACTTGCTCATCAGTATAGACATAGTCATCACTTTCTTTGTCATTATTGCTTTGATTAAGATTTAATACGTTATTGATTTTGAAAGTCTTGCCATACTTGAAATTTTTTTTATGTTCATCGTTGCCAATTTTATTGTTGGCGTTGTTGCTGTTGCTGATGCCGTCGTTGCCGTTGTCGTTGCTGTTGTCGCTGCTGTTGTCGTTGTCGTCATCGTTGATGTCGTAGTCGTTGTCGTAGAAATAATTACTTTCTTTTGCCAGGAAGTTAACAGTTGCTTCTGCCTGCTGTGCTACCTTAAGTTTTGCTATTACAGTCTTTGTTGCTGTGTATGGCAAAACGGTTGTTGCTGTTGTTTTTGTCATAAATTCAAAAATTTCCTCCTGCTGCTCTTCCGTCTGCGTAGTTGATTGCTTTTCATTGACTTTCTTTTCATTTGTAATTAAGTCGATGAAACTTTTGGTTCCTGATAAACTTCGACGATAACGTTGATATTGCATCTTTTGTTGCTGTTTTATATCATACATTTTACCTTCTATATCTGGCGCGATTTTATATATATTTTTTATACTTGGATTATATCGAAAATACATAGGTTTTTGTTGCCTCCTTCTCCTGGCGTCGCCATAGTTGATTTTCTCTACTGATACGACGAATTCTGTTTTAATATTTTATAAATTGTTTTTTTTACCCTAAAAACTCTATAATAATTGTGCTCTATTTCTTTTATTTAAGGTGTTTTTTCGAAGATGTTCTGTTTTTATTTTTACTTAAATGTAGGGATTAAAAACGGTGGGGGTTGTTGTGATAACATAATAAGTATATAATATCTGTGCTTAAATTGATATATAAATATATTATGAGATAGGTAATGCCAACTAAGCACTACTTGCAATCATTCGTAGTGGTAATCTTAACACGAAGTGACTAAGAGATATATATTTTTATATAAACAATGAGTTTTGTTGTTGTTTTGTTAGAATTCTGAATTATTTAACTTATAATATCATCCGTTAATGACAATGTAAATTAATATATATATGGTTTAATATAATTATAATAGAAATCGCTCAGAATCATTTACTATATGCTTTTTCTGTATTGTGAGAGGGTTTGTTAAAACAATGCCTACAATTATTATTGCAAAGAGGAGTACGATTTCAATCTGAATAATTTTTTTTATATATTTAATTAATATAGAAACTCATAATACATATTACTAAACATGTCAGAATGTTTATAAATATGTATAAACACGTATATATATGTATATATAGAGTTTGTTTTAATTTCTGCGTGTTTTTTTATTATTATTTCTTAATACAATATATAATAATAAAAACCTAATATATTATTTAGAGCTATTTAACACCAGCTAGTTACATTATTAGTTAATTTTTTTGTATTAGCCAATTCTGGTCTTTTTTCTTTGGATACAAAAAAAAATAAAACTTTTTTATATTAATTTAAAATTATTTTGCTGAAACTTTAATGAAAAACAAATGTTTTTCAAAGTAGCTAATTTTTTATTTAACAAGAAACTATTCTGAAGCAAAAAAAATTTTCTTTTTATAATAAAATAATTTCGAAGTTTTAGTATTGACATAAATTACTTTGAAATTAATCGAATTTCTTCTCTACTCTAACATTTTTTAACGCTAAAAAAGTTTAACTTCAAAAGTAATTAATAAAAAAAAATAATAATATAAAAAAAATTAAATGAGGGAAACTCCAAACTTCTTTCCTGTGATATAATTTTAATTTATTTCCTTCGTTCCGCATTTGACCTTTAATTGAAGTTTTATTTTATTTTTATTTTTACTCTCATTTTATTTTTATTTTCATTTTTCTGTAATTTTTATTTAACTTTTAACTTCAGTTTTTTATTTGATTTTTTTATTTTCACAAATTTGTCAAGGCTGTCATTAACAGTGATTTCGAACAAGCTTAAACAAAATATAACAAAGACAACACAAAACTTCACGCTATGTCCTTTCATCCTTCCGAGCCTAACATTAAATATGTTTATCGTTCAGTTTTATAAACCGATTACCACCACCAATGGCGAAAAAATGTCAACCTATATATATGGAATTGTTTTCATTTCATTTTATTTAACTCCCTTTTATTTATTGTTTTTTTTATGAATTTTTCACAATTCCATTCTATTATCCTTTCGAAAATGGCATATGCGCGAATTGTTTTCCGCATTAATTTACATATAAAAATATAGAAACTCATTTAAAAATAATTAAAACTTAAGTATAATTACCTCCATTATTAGGGTTTGCTAAGGATGATGATAATGAAGAGGATGGCGATGTGGCCGAAGATCCTGTTACAGCTACGGAGGAGGATGATGTCGATTGAAAAGCCGATGCTCCATTACCGGGTACCCCTGCCGCCGCTGCTGCAGCTGCTGCCGCAGCAGATGATGCCGATAATGAAGAGCTAGCCGTAGACGCAGTCACCATAGATGGTTGTCCAGTTTTAGAACGTAATGAGGTATTATGCAGTTTTGATAGATCCGTATTAGTGCTTTTGGCGGCTGTTACTTCAGACGCCTCATTGCCGACTAGAACTGTACAGGGTGCAGAAGGAGACCAGTGCAAAACACCAAATCCTTTAGAAGAAATACATAATTTGTTTTATATTTATATTAAATACTTTAAATGAAGTTTAAATATTACCTGTTAAAATGATTAAAAGCACACACATTGACACAAAAACTGACACAGATACAATGGCCATACAACGGGCCGAACAGCGCGCTGCCAAGTCTTTGCGGAAATTCATTGGTGCTGAATAATGATGTGTTGGTAGGCCACTCATTACACTGCGTGGTGGAAGCACTGGGCCCATGCAACTATTCGTACTACGCTCGTAACCTTTGAGCGTGTCTTTTGTGGGTGTGGAGCAGGCTGAACCGCTTTTATAATCGATGGGAGAACCTTTATTGATATCTAAAATATAAATCGGAACGAGAAGGAACGTTTTAATAAAAGATGGTACAGTACAGTTAATAATAAAGTAATATTTAAATAGTAAGTTATTTATATATACATAAGTCAATATATAAGATAAGCCTTATGAATAAAATACTTTATAAATTTTTGTTTTTGATTTAAAACAATAAAAATGAAAATTCTGAAATTTTTAATCCTGGTACATATAACATATCGTAAGTTATTATATCGTATAAAAATCGTATTTTTTTATAATATAAATTCGTAAATGTATGTAATTAATTGTAAATGGCGGATCAAGTTTTTTTTATTAGTTTTGTTAAGGACTTGAAGTAATGTTGATAGTAGTTAAAGATGGACATACAATGCTCATATATATCAGTATTAAGTAATATGATGGATGCACGATTTATGTCCAAAGTGTAGATTCAATTTAATTAAGGTAGGACACACAAAACTTTTTTTATTGAATTGCAGTATCCATATCACTACTCAAAATTTTTAAGTATGACTCATAAATGGAGGGGGTCGTTGTGATAACATAATAAGTATGACTTTGTTTATTGAATTGCAGTATCCATACCACTACTCAAAATTTTTAAGTATGACTCATACTGAATAAAAAAAATTTTTATTACATCGTAAAAAATAACTATAAAGTATTATAAAAAAACCTTTTCTCAAAATATACTATATCTATATCTTCAGAATTTTATAGCTTCCTTAAAATAATTAACTGAAATGTAGAGCTTAAGGAACGTATTAAAATCCAGCTAAATGCAGTTCATTTAATTGAAATTTAATGATTCTTTATTTCCTAAACTAATATATACTTTCGTATCGATTAAAAACATGCCAATAAAGTTTCAATTACACTCCCTTATGCAATTTCATTATCCTACGATAACAGCTAACAATTTGGCATTTAAAAAAATAAAAAAAAAATCAATTAAAATTATTTGACCATAAAAAAGGAACTATTAATGAAAAAAATGCTGAAGAGAAATCCGAACCGAAACGAAATACTAACATTAAAATCACACCTAATTCTCTAAAAAGGACTAAAAAGTAGTAAGTAACCCGCATTATGACTTCGACAAACCCTTAAAAGGTTTGGTCACTGCTTCCAAACAGACAGTATAAAAAACAAATAAAGAAACGAATAAAAAATTAAAGAAAAAATAGAATAAAAAGAAAACGGAAATAAAAATGAATGGACTTTGACGCAAAAGTCGGTCTATTGTGTTCGTGCAATTTTTGCTTATCGTTTTTCACTCAAATTTCATTTGTATAAAAGGATTTGCGAAGGATAACAAAGTGACATTCGAACATAACCTAACAAAATAGTCAAGTTGAATATAACAAAAAAATATAAAAACACGGAACTGAAGAAGCAAAAGTGGCCAAAATAATCTTCTCTGCTTTGCGTGTAAAATCAAATGGATTTTCAGTAAAGATAGCTTACCGGAAGGGAAAAAATTGAAATCATTTGTTGACGCCATGATGATAATTCGATTATGTGACATGTAAGCTACTTCCAGAAAGATATATTTAAAGTAGAAAAAAATTAAGGGTGCGTCCATATGACCAAAGAAAAAAAAAACGAAATAAATAAAAAAATTTAAAAATATATTTTATGTTAAAATGTAATCAAATTAAAAAACCTTTATCGAATAAAATGGAAGTTAAGGCTGATGAAATCGCATTCAATGTTATTCTGTCTCATATGAGGAGTAGTAGACGATATACATATCACTGACTGACACTTAGGCAAAAAAAAGCAAAAATAATTTGATGAAAATGCAGAATCATTTATAAAACAAAACATTCATAAAATTCGCAAGGCTAGACATTTCACATCAGCTCATGCCTCCATTTTTAGACCAGTAAACACTATCCTGTGCGGTTTCCATAAGTACTTTTGCGTATAAAAGTACACAAAATGGAAGACGTGGCATTACATGAAATTTGCATTTGCTAAATGATATATTAGGAATATATATTTGTGCGATTATTTATAAATTTTGTCTATTCATTCAATCAAACAGACAGTTGATCAAATTTGTAAAGCTTTTTAGTGTCTACTTTTTCTCAACTTCGATTAAATTGTTCCCAATTTTATGGAGAATTTTAACCGAAACGCTTTGCATGTAAAAATTTGTTTATGTATTCAATTGAATGCAAAAAAATTATTTAACATTTCAGAATTTTTTTTCCGGATTACTTTCTTTTATTTTGGTCTGTCCACAGTAATATTCCCATTTATTGTCTGCTGCAGTTGAACGTTTACCAGCACTGAACAAACATAGAATTTGTCCTTCGCACAAGGTTGAGGTTATTTCCACAAGTGTTCTGTGCAGTCTGATTCTGAGTGCCGCTTACATCAGTGTTAGTGTACTGAAGCTGCTTATTGTGTTGTTAGTGCTGTTAGTGCTGTAGCGATTTGAATGGTTGTCTGCCGTAGTACTTTGCTCCCCTTGCAGACTTAAAGTTTGCATAAGCTTACGATGTGCTGATTTGTGGTAAGAATATGTTTGGCCTTGTGACAAGCGTACGTACCCGTATTTTGGAAGAATCGTATAAAGTTTTTTCTATTGTTTTTAGTTTTTTTTTCTTTTTTTTTTTGGGGAATAACTAACACGATATGCTAGTTCAGAGTAATGGTAGTAAAACAGGATGTGTTCTAGTTAAGCGTACAATGGCATGAAAAATGCCTGCGTCATTTTTTATGCAGATACTACCATTACTACATATACGTTAGATTTATTTCATGCCAGAATTTAAGCATGTACGAGAAGTTTATGTGTTAGTATTTCGATTTAATGCCTCAGCTCTTGTGTATATACGAATGTATATAAATATACGAGTATATGGGAGTACATATGTATGAAAATAAATGTGCATATGAGCTATCATGTGTTAAAATGGTAAAATGTTCTGACTTTGGTTTAACAAGTTTGGATTTTCACATTAAACTTTAGTTCTAAGTGTGTTTGTACTGTGGAGCAATTTTATTGCCAAAACGTGTTAAAGTTACTTGTGTATAGCGTGAATAATTAAAATGGTTGATCTATATTACCATAGCTATTTTCGGATATTTGGACGTGAGCATAAGTTGCCTTTCAAATCGCAAATACGAGTATTTCTTATGTGCTTTTAATAGGACTTGATTTAAACTTTGCTTGTTAATAGAAGAAAAGTTGAGGGTTTAATTAAATTTTAAGATCTCTTTTCAATTATAAAAAACTCTCACTGATTATAAATTAAGATATGTAGGATTCAGGTATATTTAGATAACATGCAATAAAGGTTTAATATTAATTTTAATTTTATGAAAAAGTAGGCCATTAATTTTTAATTAAAAATTTAAGAATTTTTAAAAATTTGGAATGCTTGTTTTTAGTTATTTTTTTAAAGTATTTTATAATTAAGTTCATTTTAAATATATTCTAGTTATGAACGAAGGTCAGCGACTGATATAAACGTTAGCTGATACATATTATTTACCTTCAAATATATAAACAATAAATTATTTCGAATTATGAAAGTTATAAAAGTTGTTTAGAGAAATGATTTTTCGATGACAACTAAAAAATAATAAGAGTAACGATTTTTTATGAGACAAACGGCTTAAGACGAAAGTTATAGAAGTTAATGAGAGTAACGACTTTAGATGAGAGTAGAAAAAGAATATGACTAAAAGTCATGTTGTATAGGGACCTGTTATGTAGAATGTCTCGGTCACGACCCTTTCAGACTATGAGGAAAATGCATGTTATGTAGAGTATCACATCAGTATTGCCAATTTCATATGAAACGTACTAAATTGTAGTAATTTGTTCTAAAAGGCGCAAATTCTGACAATTATTACTGAATAGCTCTGCTTTGTCTAAGTGCCGAGGCACAAATAGCTCGGTACTCATGCCAAAATTTAAACCGACATATTGTTTTTTCTCTCACACTCAATTTGTTAATTTGCATTGAAAATAACAACAATGTTACTCATACCGTGGCCGAGACACTCTATATAATATGGCCCGTAGAGTGTCACGGGAGTACCGATTTTAATTTAATCCTGAAGTCTTTCCAGCAAACAAAAATTGTAAATAAAGTAAATTTTTAAATTATATATAATCAAATAAATTTTTTTTTAGCATTTTGAAAACAAAACACTTATGGAAACACAAATTAAATCATTTAACTTTAAAAATGTCTGTACAGTTTTGAGTACCCACATCATAAATATGTTATAAAATAATCTTTTTTTTTAATTTTTTTAATATATATAATTAAATTTAAAATGTAAAACTATTGCTTAAAAAAATATACTTTGCGTCGTTAGGTTTTGATTTTTTTTTTGAATGTATGAAATTTACAGCATTTAAAAATATATATTATATTTTAAAGTATATGTTTATTTAAAATAAATTTTTAAATACAATTTATGAAAATATTTTTATAATAATTGGAAACAGATTTCATAAATGAAATAGTTCATGAATATAAGTCTATTAAAGTTTAATTAACAAGTAATAAATATTTGGAATTTATTTTTCATATTTAATTATTTAAAAGTTTCGACTTCATAGCATTGACATTTAATAGTTTTTTATTCTCTTAATTTTAATTCCCCCCACAACTGTCACAAACGCAATAAAAACACTTTTTGACAGCTGTCATAATTACTTGGAATTTCGTAACTCAGCATTTATTCTGAGTTTTTACATTTTGAAATGGTTTTTTTTTTTTATCAAGTTAAAACTTTTTAAACTGCAGTTAAGTGAAGTTAAAATTAAATTTTCTGTATGTGAACAAAAAAATGTGAGTTTATTTTTTGGTAGTTTGGTACCAAAATAAAATTTGATTTAGTTCGCGGCCAAAACTTTATGGGAATACTCATATAAGCATGGATATATATCTCCCTACACGACCCCACACGACCCCTACACCCACACAACAGCTATACAATTACACATATAAACTTTTTCGTACAACTT